AGGCTGCTTCCTACAAAGTGTTCTAAGCGCGTCAGACAACTCTTGTTCAAATGTTGTTTGATCAGGGTTACAACATATAAGGCCTCAGCAATGTTTTCAAAACGTTATATTTGCCGCATCAGAGACACACATGATGTAACATATGTTCCCTTTTTTAGGTAAACAGTTGAGTTACCTTTGTGTTTGTGACGTATGCCATTGTGGGACTGACACCGCGAACCGGAGGTATCACCACTATTTGATGAAGTGATTCATGCTTATGTTACAGTCGGAATCTGACAATGAAATCTTCTTTCAGTAGAGATTTGTTAGGGGCAATGCTAATGGTTTTGATACTTTTATTTACTATTTCTGATAGGAGTATGTGAGTGAATTGGGTTTAACACCGCTTTAAACAGTATTCCAGTTACATCACGGCGTGTCAGCTTAATGTGGGAGGAAAGCCCGAAGTGATGCAGGTCTCAGACGTTTACCACTTTGGTGAAACCCAAGAGCACGGGTATGGTGCTGACAAACCTAGAAACATAATCGGGGCGATCCCGGATTCGAACCCACAATCATAGGTTTCTGGCGTGCCCGAGCGACGCATAGCGAAACCCGTGCCCCCGGTAGAAGTATGAGAATTAAGGCATCATATGATCGTGTTATTGCTACATCCGCTCGATGGGTAGAAGAAAGTGTTTCATCCCCACGTGAACAATATTAGATGCCCATGATATCAAGTACACTCGGATTAAACTTCGGAACGGTACACACGTAAAATGCTGATTGACAACAGCCTTACAAATCATAGAGCCAAAATTTTCTAGACAAGAAAACGGTTGTCCAAAGAATACGAAATAAACACATGTTTATACTGACGGTTTTCCATGAAACTAACTCGGTCTAAATGACAAACATTAGCAATCGGGTCCAATCGGGTGATTTTGTTACCTACATAATAACAACAGTGGAGTAATTCTGATTGGTGTCGCTGTAAACAACATACCGACTTAACTCTCCGCGCCGAATATAGCCCGCACATAGTGATTATCGATCTTGATAAATGGTGTTTTTAAAAATATTTTTAACAGGAATTAAGTATACAATTATATAATGGGTCACGACTGCTGCAAGGCTGTGTTCTGTTATGTGATAGACACGTGAACTAGTGACACTAGTAAATCCAGTTGTGGATTCATCATGGGTTCATTTCAGTGAGTGAGTATGGTTTTACGCCGCTTTTAGCAATATTCCTGCAATATCACGGCGGGGGACACCAGACATTGGCTTCACACATTGTACCCATGTGGGAAATCGAACCCGGGTCGTGCGAACGCTTTAACCGCTAGGCTACCCCATCGCCCCTCAATATGATTAAGGTGATCCGATTGAGAAATTAGGTTACAAAAAACTTCATATTCCGGTCGCTATATGTTTATTGTTTAATGCCACACGCAGCAATAGTCCAGCTACATTCTTAGTCTGGACCAAAGAATCCTGAGCAGTGATCCACACTGCCGTGTACGATGACGGCACAACACCAAGTACCCGAGTCTGACCACTCCAGTCATTACGTCGCCTCTTCCGGTTAGCATGAGGACCAATTCTAGCCTGGATTCCCCACTGGGTTCGCTGTATGCAATTGTTAGCGGACCACCTCGTTATTTTATCCACTGCATTTGGAAAAAGGAATAAACTGGATCTACTTCCTCCATTTCAGATGAAGAAATTGGGCAAAGATTTAATATGGAACAACCTCAGTGTTCGGTTTTTTACTTATCTTTCCACATTTCGAACGTTTCCAGTTCTAAAATTGACGTGAACATTGATAAAATAGATAACGATCCTTGATATTCCTCTAAATGAAAGGACGACAGTGTTTAGAATTAAGGGGTACATGTGATAATGTTAAATCCGAGGTACTTAGTATTTATGGAGGTACATGGGTACCAACATGTACGTTGTGAACAGTTGCAGATATTGGAGAATTGTACTTTCGAGCACGGCCAAAATGAGTAAGTCCATTTGGGGTAGAATAGGTCTTCAACAACCAATGCTTCTCTAAAAGGCGACTGTGCTTCGCGTACGAGGCGTCTAACGGGATCAGGTGATCAGGCTCGCCGACTTGGTTGATGCATGTCATCGTATCCCAATTGCGTGAATCGATGCTCATGTTGTCAATCACTGGATTATCTGGTCCAGACTTGATTATTTACAGACCGCGCTCAGATAGCTGTATTATTGCTGAGTGCGGCGTTAAACAACAAACAAACAAAAGAATAAGTGCATTTGTGTTATTTTGGTTTAAGGGGGGAAGGGTACAATTATAGAAAAAGTAAAGAATCTTGTGAACGAGGAGGGTACAGATTCATCACTTTATCGATTTAAGATTTTTAATACCGGGGACTCAAGCGGGTCCTTTTACATGTACCTGAAGTTGGGTTTAAAAAACAAGAGCATATTCAAATTTTGGCATTTAAAATGTTGAATGTCAAGTCCCAAAACTCAGTTTCTAAGGTAAATGTGGGCGTTACCCTTGTACACTCCATGGAAAGTGTATATGATGTTGTAGTTTTATAAGTTGGGCAAGCACCCGATATTTGCTGTTTTCAAAAAGTGGCGGAATCGCTCAAGTGATCAAGAAGCCTGCTTAATGATCAACTCACGTGATCTTTTCCACTAAATGAATAATAACTGTGTTTGATATTAGTATATTATAAAAGTTGACTTTTATGCAAGCCCCATGCATTTCAGTACCCAAGAATGGGTATAAAAACATGTGCGTTAACGGGATTCCATATGCATTGTTTAGCATCGTGCTGACGACAACCACTCAAAATTACGCAATTATTCAACATTACAAAATGCCACGCCTGTCTGAAAATGAGTGCCTGCGAGCCATTGGTATGCTTAAAGCAGGATCGAGTCAACGTGATGCTGCAAGACAATTTAACGTCCACAGAAACACCATTTGGTGTTTATGGCAACGTTGGCAACAGACGAATGCAGTTAGAGACCATCCTCGGAGTGGCAGGCCACGCGTAACCAATAATCGACAAGACAACTGGATTCGAACAACATACCTACGAAATCGATTCCAGCCAGCAACAGTGACTGCAAGAAGCATCCCTGGCCTTCGACGAATATCTTCACAAACCGTATGTCGTCGCCTCAGATGTGCAGGGATTGTCGCCAGAAGACCCTCCAGACGTCCCATTTTGAAAGGAAACGACTGTCAAGCACGTCTACAGTGGTGCAGACAGCGTCTACGGTGGACGGCCATACAGTGGGGGGCAAGTTCTATTCACTGACGAGTCTCGTTTTCACCTCAGCCACAGCGATGGACGGATTCGGGTGAACCGACGTCGAGGTGAACGCTACGTCAATCATTGTGTCATGGAAGAAGATCGGTTCGGGGGCGGCAGCGTTATGGTATGGGGTGGGATAACAGCAAGACAGACGACCCGTTTGATAGTGCTAGAGGGAAATCTCAATGGACAGCGCTACCGCGACGAGATCGTCAGCCCTGTTGTTCTACCTTTTTTGCGTCGTCATGGCCCAGGCATTACCTTTCAACATGACAACGCCCGACCCCATATTGCTCGATTTGTTCAGGACTCTCTTCAACGAAACAACGTGAATGTGATCCCCTGCCCGGCTCGCTCCCCTGATCTCTCACCAATCGAGCACATGTGGGATGAGATGGATCGGCGCCTTCAACTTCAACCACGTGTTCCACAGACACTCCAGGATTTCCGAAACATGCTCCAGCAGATATGGACAGATATCCCACAGGACTTTGTGCGACGCCTGGGCCATTCCATGAGACGAAGATGTGTTGCTTGCATCGCAAACAGAGGTGGACACACACGCTATTGATTTGTAAATAGACATTTTGGCATGTTCATGTTTTGTTTTTTATGAAATCACACATTTTCTGAAGTCAGTATGGCAAATTAAACCATTTGAACACTTACAGGAGTCTTTTATCTGTTGCAAACCGAAATGGTTTCAGATTTGGTAAAAAAAATAACTTTGCATTAAATCTTATTCAATGTCACAGGAACTTTTGTTGTTTAGTATACATTAATATTTTTTTAGAGTGTAACCACAAACGTCTTAGTGAAAGTTTTCTATCTTTTCATGACATGGGCCAAAATAGATCCCCAGGTCCATGTGGAATAAATCCAATGTAAGATAAACTCAAATCTAAAAGCTCTTTTTCACAAGAAAGTACTATACCTCTTTTCACATTTACTTCATGGGTGACCTCTACCATTGACATAGATGCAAATGACATTGTTAAGAAACGTGTCATATAAACATCATGCCTGTACAAAAAATAAAAAAATCTCTAAAAAGGTCTTAATAATGTCAATGACACTAAACTTTCCACAAACCTGAATGACCTTGACCTAAAAGCCATTTCAAAGCAAGGCCCCAACCAAGTGAAGGTACATACCAAGTTTAATGATAAATGCATGAATACTTTGAGAAATTGTTTCTGGTATTTTCTATCTGGTGACCATGGCTTTTGACCTTTACATGACAAGTGCCAAAAGAATTGTCCAGGGCAATTTGGAAGAATAAGCTCAAACTAAGTGTGGTGGTCCAACGAAACCTTAAAGCAGTCCTGTTAGATGGGGTTGCTTATAAATGAATCCATCTTAGAGATTGTTTCTTCATTTGTTGTTGATCTCCACACTCAGCAATATTCCAGCTATATGATGGTGGTCTGTAAATAATCGATTCTGGACCTGACAATCCAGTGATTGGCATTATGAGCATCGATCCACTCAATTGGGATACGATGGCATGCACAAACCAAGTCGGAGAGCCTGACCACCCGATCCTGTTAGTCGCCTCTTACAACAAGCATAGTCGCTCTTAGAGATTGTGTGATCTGATATTTTATTGTAATTCAAAAGGTGTAAATGCATGTATGTAGATATAAATAACAAACTGGGTGAAGTAAAACATCCCATTTCAACTGATGTACAAACAACATTCTCTGGGTGTAAGCAATACTCACATCTTTATTGACAATAATCAATGACTTGATTTTACTCATACATGCGCAAGTAAATCATCTGGATGTCAATGAAAGCTATAATTCTCTCAAAGTACATATTAATAGCCTTTGCGTGAAATATCATGATTTGTCAACAACAGAGCAGAATCATAGTAACTTTATCTGCTTACACAAAGAGTACATGTCTCGACGCATAAAACATAAGTGAAAGATAATATAGTACATATTAACAAACACAGGTTTTCAAACTATTGCACGGACCAGCTGGAGTGAAACCCTTCAAAAACAAGTTAACCATATCCAGAATTGATCAGTGACAACTAATCTCCCTCATGTGATCTACGAAGGGTAGGCATTGTGAACACACCTTACTGTTGGAGCACAATGATCTTAAATGAAAGCAAAAACTACAGAATCTAGAGACAAAAAGACTAGCAACACTCTTGAAAATGTTTCATGATACCGGTAGATATTTTCCATTGTCAAGGGTCTCTTTTAATTGACAGTTGTAAAATTGCCATGTGCTCAATCACAAAACATCCTTCTCCCAAACCCTTATTCACTTTAAGTACATATGGGTTACAAACAATTCAGACAATTGTTTTCAGAAAAGGTTCCACTGCATAAAATACTGCCTTTGGCACTGGTTCACCACAGACCACTTTGAACATGGGATATTAGTTGTTGTTGATGCCAACATGAGAGGTCGTCTACTTCATACTAGAAAATGCACAGAATGTTTGTACACTGAAGAGCTGACAAAAAATAAAGCTTCCAATATCTTCAACCATTGCAAATAGAGTATAACAAAATATCAACCACAATTATCTGTTGTATGTACTTCATGATCCAATTTACACAGATGCAACAGAAGTGGAAATATACATGAACACAATGTAACAAATACTTCTCCAAATGTAATGCCTTACTCTATACCAGCCCAATAACTTCATAACATCACCCTTAGCAAGCTTTTAAGTGTTTTCTATTGAGTGAGTGAGTGAGTTTGGTTTTACGCCGCTTTTAGCAATATTCCAGCAATATCACGACAGGGGGGTGGGGACACTAGAAATGGGCTTCACACATTAAACCCATGTCAGGAATTGAACCTGGGTCTTCGGCGTGATGAGTGAATGCTTTAACCACTAGGCTACCCGACCACCCCGTTTTCTTTTGTGTTTGATGAGTTTGATGACCACATTGTGTGACCATTACACATGATGAAAGACACATGTTTTCCATCTGGAGCGGTGCCATCATTTGTACTCCAAGGTAGGTCATGACGACCTAGATCGAAATAACTCAAGATTCACTAACTTTCAATTTGAGCTTGACACTTTGTCAATAACGTATATGGAATTGATAAAACTGCAATTATTTCATATATTAAGATTTTATTCAAACATTACAGCAGTTAAATACATGTACATCGTGCTACTTTTTAACAAAATAAAATAAAAGTTATGGAATTTTTGGAAAGTGGAAACAACTTCTTGGCATGCTAACATTAAGACTACTAAAATAGTATCCTCTGATAACATGAGTTACAGTTAGATACTTCCCTCATCAAACTACGATTAACATAACGTACTTCCATGTCATGGGAATACTCCAAAGTTTTAGATACTAAGCATGCACAAAATATTCAAAGCAGCAATAACATCTGTTCTAACTTATCCAGGATTTATCGAAGAGAGAGAGAGATAGATACTCACTTACACATGGTAAAATGTCTTCAGAAATGGCTTGTACATGATTGAAGACAACAAGAATAGTTGACGAAATCTTACAACACCTAATACACCTTTGACACGACCAACAACTTGGACACAAAACAAGCGGGGCTTATAGTACATGGTCAAACATAAAAAGGACAGCTGCACCAACTGAAGCATCCCGTGGGAAACATTCAACTCAATGAGCTTGTTACATGATCAGACTGTGGTCTGGTCTACATGGCAGACAAAGGGAGACTACCCAGACTTCACGAAGCAGATTCACCAGGGCACCACTGTATACTAGCATTCCAAGATGGTGGATCTTCTCCGAAGTTTGGGCAGTGTGGTCCTGTGTCGTGAATGACGTGGAATAAGCACTGTCCAATGTGCAATAGAATTGCAGTAAAAGTCACATTTTGTTCTGTTCAGTTCTACTGCTGTTGTTCATCGCCTTGGCTGATGTTTGAGAAATCAAACTTCTCACCAGTAATTTTTTCGAAGCGGTCCAAGACGTCATCACAAGTGGTTTCAAAATGGGTAGTTGCATCGTACGACTTGGTGATGAACACCTGCCCAAACAGAAGAGGATGTCACATTAAGTTAATGCTTGGGATATACTATAGGCTATAGAATCTAGAACCGTTCACTGCAAAGTAGGACTAACTGCCTTCAGCACCTTATCGAGATACAGGTTTGCATGGCTATGATGTCACCTGTGCTTGCACGAGTACTGTGAATCTTGAAATTGACGTGATCACGAATTAAATGTGGAAAATGCCAGGGGTCTTTGCTCGCATTAATTAACTAGCCGTTCTTGTCTCCAAAATGAATGTCAACAATAAGACAGCCTCACTGCACACTTTGGATAGCGGAAATACCAACTTGAATATAAACACAGACACGGTTTATGGAGCAGCAATTGTATAAGTATTTAATAATGTCATTCAAAGAATAGGAATTACACAATGGGCATTTGGTGAGTTATCACTGCTGGGGTCTAGAGTTCTACCCACTCGTGTCAAGCTTGTTGACACTTTCTCCACATACCAATCTGTGAACTGTTGTTGGTTCAATTATTTTATTGTTGTTGAACTTCCTTAATGCCAGTCAACGGAGTAAACATATAAACGGTGTGTTGTTTTTAGGAAAACACTGTTTATTGTTTTTACGGAAGTGCTCTACTCAGTGCTAATAAACGGTGCTATTTGCTGTTAGATTGGATTAAGGCAAGGATATGTATCATTCCACTAAGGATGGGGTGGGATGAGTCACATTTTTGGCTAGGGGTCAGCAGTCGTATTAATTTGGAGACGCATTAATTTCATGATTTACAGTATATAGACTTACCTGACTGTCAGTTCCATCGTCTGTGGGAGCCAGTAAATCGGAAGTATCGACAAACCTGGAGAAAATAGACAGAAATGCCATATCAACCCTTGTCATCATGTGAGAAATTGAGAAGCATCTGTACACGAGGCAAGCAACAACTCATGCGGTATAGGTTTTATTTGTGTGTGTGTGTGTGTGTGTGTGTGTGTGTGTGTGTGTGTGTGTGTGTGTGTGTGTGTGTGTGTGTGTGTGTGTGTGTGTGTGTGTGTGAGTGAGAGAGAGAGAGCTATTTAAATGGTATTCAATACCTGCTCAGTATATCCTGGGATGAACGAATATATATCATCAATGATATAACAGGTATGACATGCCATTGTTAGATGATGTCACGTTCAATAGTGACGTTATCTGGTTTGTTCCATATTTGTAAAAGTGGGTCAGTCACATTCGTGTCGACTGCAGTGAATGTTTCAAAACTGATACTGTTGTTTCTTTTTATTTGATAACAAATTCCATCCATTTTAGCTATAATAACGGAAACGCTATTTTTCAGGGCACTATCATTTGCAGAAGCCGTCAGTCTTTTCAACTGCCTCCTTCGTCGGGCTGTTAATGGAAGACCTCAGGCTTCTGCAAATGATAATGCCCTGAAAAATAGCGTTACCCTTACAGTGGTAGAAACTAACAGTTTGGGTCCACTAGTCCTTAAAAATGATAGTAACATATAGCAAAACCTTTAAAAATGGCTAATTTCTATTAGTCCTTATGATACCTTAACCATTGTGCAGTTTAGCAAGGACTAAAAAACTAGTGCCAATTTCTAACGCTGCCATCATACCATGGCATGTTATTTCAGAAAGTTGAAGGATTAACCTAACCTTTCCATTATTCATCCTTCTACTCTTACTGGAACACTGCAGTGTTTGAAGCCAAAATCAAAACCTGATCACCTCAATACCATTCTCTTTAACCACAGTGTTAGAAACTAACAGTCTTATAATGATAACATATATAGCAAAACCCTCAAACAGGGAAAATTTCTACTAGTGCTTATGATACCTTAACTATTCGGCAGTTTGGCAAGGACTATAGGACAAGTGCCAATTTCTACTAGTCCTTATGATACCTTAACTATTGGACAGTTTGGCAAGGACTATAGGACCAGTGCCAATTTCTACTAGTCCTTATGATACCTTAACTATTGGGCAGTTTGGTAAGGACTATAGGACCAGTGCCAATTTCTACTAGTCCTTATGATACCATAACTATTGGACAGTTTGGCAAGGACTATAGGACTAGTGCCACTGGTTGAAAGTAATCAAATAACACTCACTTCTCAACAATTGCGCCCAGAAGGTCAAGTCCTGGTTTGAGTTCAGCCTCTGGGTTGTCAGTCTCCACAGTTGTACTAACAATGGCCAGGAAGAAGCCCTTGGCGGCCACTTGATGGGTATAGGACACGCAGCAAACATAGATGTCTGGAAGCAAGGGAACATCTACATACTCACTGCTACAGATGGACATGTGTTAGGAATATATGGGACCTTGTGGTGAATCTGCATAAGAACTGGACCCCAGCAATCTATGGCTATTGTAAAGAGACTGGTTGGTTGGTTGGTTTGTTGTTTAACGCCACACTCAGCAATATTCCAGCTATAAGATGGCGGTCTGTAAATTATCGAGTCTGGACCAGACAATCCAGTGATTGATATCACGAGCATCGATCCACGCAATTGGGATCGATGACATGTATCAACCAAGTAACCGAGCCTGACCACCCGATCCCGTTAGTCCCCTTTTACGACAAGCATAGTCGCCTTTTACGGCAAGCATGGGGTTGCTGAAAGACCTATTCTACCCCGGATCTTCATGGGTCGTAAAGAGACTGACCCTGACAACATGGGTTGTTGCTCATTACATCAATCATTGGATTGTCTTGTCCCGACTCAATTACATAAATGGAATAGAGCTGAGTGCTGTGTTGACAACAAACGTGCACTACCTGGTAGTGTTACATGGTAAACCAATCTGAAGCTTTATACTCAAATATCCCCTTCAAACAATGTGCATATTCCCAAGATAATTATCTTGAATGATACATAGATTAGCTGATATGAGCCTGATCTTCAGTTACCAGGGGGTGCCTGCTTCATGTGCAACCGCATATCCAATGACGTCTAAAAACAGTGTGGGTTGAAACGACATGCTTCAAACTTAAACATTATGGTGATATAACTCAGTATAAAATTCCTGTTTGTTGTTTAACGCCGCACTCAGCAATATTCCAGCCATATGACGGTGGTCTGTAAATAACCGAGTCTGGACCATACAATCCAGTGATTGACATAATCAGCATCAATCCATGCAATTGGGATACAATGACATGCATCAATCCATGCAATTGGGATACGATGACATGCATCAATCAAGTCAGCGAGCCTGACCACCCCGATCCCTTTGGTCACCTCTTACGTTGGTTTGTTGTTTAACACCGCACTCAGCAAAATTCCAGCTATATGACGGTGGTCTGTAAATAATCGAGTCTGGACCAGACGATCCAGTGATTGACAACATGAGCATCGATCCACGCAATTGGGACCGATGACATGCATCAACCAAGTAACCGAGCCTGACCACCCGATCCCGTTAGTCGCCTTTTACGACAAGCATATTCGCCTTTAATGGCAAGCATGGGTTGCTGAAGGCCTATTCCCTACCCTGATTTTCACGGGTCTTAAAATTCTAGACATCAGGTAGGTAAGATAAACAAACAAGTTCTAAAGTTTAGTAGAAACATAAAGACAGAACACAAACTTACCCGAATTACGTCCAACTTGGTTCTGTGGAATGATGATTTGAGAAGACAAAGCATCGGAAGTGTTGGGAATTGGATGGTTCAATATGCATATAGCACGCACCACCTGTAACACAAAGGTAGGAGAATCTGAGTAGAGATTTGCATTTTACCCAAACACAGGCTTACTGCAGCTTTGTCATAAAAGTTCTATAGCTCAGGGCTACATGGTACATTGCTGAAGTATCTTAACACAGCATCAATGCAGGGCACACAACAAAATACTGTTTGTACAGAATACCATTTGAACAAACTTCAAAAGAATTCTCAATTTGTAAAACAATCTCTGTGAAGAGAAGGCAGTTTGTCAAGGATTACAGTACTAGTGGTAATTTCTAACGTTGCATAGCGGTGAGCTGGTTCTAAAGCCCCTGTTACAGTCTCTTGGTCATATCTCTGCATGTCAGCTCAAAACAGGAGGAAATACCTGAGCAGTAAACATCTTATATTTTGACCACTTTGGTGAAACTCATGAGCACTGGTAAAAGCACTGACAAATGAAGCAGCATAACGAAGGGAATCTGGGATTCCTTCAATATTGTTTTTGTTTGTTTGTTTGTTGTTTAACGCCACACTCAGCAATATTCCAGCCATATGACGGCGGTCTGTAAATAATCGAGTCTGGACCAGACAATCCAGTGATTGACATCATGAGCATCGATCCATGCAATTGGGATCGATGACATGTATCAACCAAGTCAGCGAGACTGACCACCCGATCCCGTTAGTCGCCTTTTAGGACAAGCATAGTCACCTTTTACGGCAAGTATGGGTTGCCGAAGACCTATTCTACCCCGGAATCTTCACAGGTCTTCAATATCACACTACACTACACCGGTAACCACAGCGGCATGACGTACCTGCCCCACTTTCTTACACTTCTCCTTGGCATAGCTGGGGTCACACACAACCATCTTACACCTGGCGGTCTCTCCAACTGAAGACACGCCCACAACCTTGCCATCCTCGTACACTATTGTAGCATCTTCCTTGTCCAGCATGTAGGTTCCCCCATAGATGGCACTCAATCTACACAGGGAGAGACAGCATTAGGACATCACAAACAGACATCAGATGTTTATCCTCATTCCACTCACTTCAAAATAACAAGCATGAATTATTATAGTCTGTCTCCCAGACCTAGAGATTAAACAAAGAAATGGATCCAACTCAAATCTCGAATGATATGTCGAGTTTAGTCTGCCTCAGTTCAGGTGAAATTCAGCATTGTTCTGGGGTCTATTTGGATTTTCTTATTTATTTTTGTAGATATATATTTTTTAATCAATAACTTCATTTCTAGGACTAAATGTTGGTCTCCATTTATAAGCATAAATTTTTAATTATCACCACTTGCCAGTTTAAGTAATTAGAGGCCTGTCACAGAGTTCATTGTAAGAAACCATTGGAAAGCTTGAACAACAATACCCGTTGCCCTTCCAAATATGTTTGTTTGCTGTTACACCGCACTAAGCAATATTCTAGGTATATTATGAGAGGCTCACAATAATCAACTCTGGACCAGGCAATCCACTGATTGACTTTATAAGCAACGCTCCACGTTGTCAGGGTGTGATGAAACACAATCAACCAAATCACTGAGTATGACCAGCCAATCAATTTAGACCCCTCCTCCAACAAGCTTAGTTGTGGGGAATGCCCACAGTATGATAAGTGATGTGTGATGTGAATACAAAGTTTCATCAAGATGTATTGAGTGGTTTATAGGTTATACGCTTGAAACAAATCCTTTGCTCATGAACTAACAAGTTGCCTTTAAAAAGCAATAAATAACATGAATTTGGGTAGTCATGATATAGGCACACTTATCCAGACACATCTTATTGTAATTCCCTTTTCACTTTGATCATATAACACAGAACCCAAAACGTGCCTCTGACATCAAAGGCAGCTGTTGCCCTTGGTTACCAATCAGAGTTATCTGTCCTTGATCCCTCTTTGCCTTCTTATGAACATGAAGCTTGATATCAAGACTAAATAAATAAATAATGGCACCAATTTTTAAACTCAAGTCTTGACAAGTATCTTTTAGATAGGCATGTAAACTTTCATTCATGTCATTTCAGAAGTTTCTCAGAACACTTGTCCCCATTTCACACAGTATGCATTAATTCGAAAAATAAAATGCAGCAAGGGACACAACTCCGCATAAAATGAATTTATGACACCAATTTTCAAACTCATTTGAGATCAGTAACATCAGTGTGTAAAACTTCATTTCTCCAACTCTCCTGATAGTTTTAGAGACAATATGTCCCCATTGGGAAGCCGATGGACGTACGGATGGACGGACAAGAGGCACACTGGCCTAACGTCGACACTGGAATTGCCCATCCACAATGTGGTAGAACCACACTGGTTATAATAACCACAGCGCCCCTGGTTAGTTTGCTTGTTTGGTGTTTAACGAACACCCCCTTGTTAGTTTGTTTGTTGTTTAACAAACAGTCCTCGTTGGTTGGTTGGTTTGTTGTTTAACGAACACCCAGGGTGGTTTGTTGTTTAACAAACACCCCTGGTTGGTAGTGAGATGGAGGGGAAAAGTGAGGAATGTAGGGCACCCAAGGGCAACGGTCGCAACAGATGTAGAAAATGAATTTTTCAGATTCTGCAGTATATAATCAAAGTGAAGAAGGAAATTGCAATATGTTGTGTCAGGAGGAAAAAAAAGAAAAAAAAGAAAAGAAATTAAACACCTGAGTGGCAAAGAGCACCTGCATGATGTCCATATTAAGTTTCACAAAGAAATAGTCAAGAATGGTATAAGAGTTATGCTCTGGTGGAACACTCTCCTCTTTTAAATCCAAATACAACTTGTATCCCTAGAAACGCAAATTAATTGAAAAAAATATATATTATTCCTGAAAAGGCGGCAGTGTACATCATAAAGAAATATTGAATGGTTTATGTTTTATGGTCCTGACATGAAACATGAAATCACCGGCAACAAAATACTTTTGTCTTATCGAACTATTATGACCACACTTTTACAGATTCGAAACATTACCAGCCCCGTTTTAATAGCAAACAACACTGCCATCTGTTATTACCTTGCAAAGCCTTGTGGCAGTTCACCTAGACCGTAGAGAGGGTACAGGTATGGGCTCTTGCCATACTTGGCCAGGGAGTCACTGTACAGCTGGCAGCGCTTGATCAGGTCCACACACGGTCCATTCAGGTAGCTGCACACAGGACATGGCAACAAGGTGAATTACAGGCATAGATGCTACAACTAGCGGAATACTTCAAGTACATAATGCCATCTTATTCATGGTATCTGTATCTTTGGCCTTCTTAAGCAAACGCATAACTGGTATTTTGAAAATGCATGAAGCAGCAGGCATGGTAACGATGTCATTGTCTACATCCATTGTCACATTTCACATGACTTGTGTTGAGTAAGCTTGGTACGGATTATCTAACTTGTATGTATATTTAACCAATGTCAACAGTGGATAGTCCTTGACTAACTGGCAGTGAAGAAGGTTAAAGAAGATTCTCTATGAATGCAAGAGTGGAAAAAAACATATTCTCCTCTGAAAAAGACGTGAAAAAACATTGCAGCTGATCACGCCAATCAACAAATCAGCAATTTTTATATGTAATGGTCAGAAATGAATTGTGGCAAAAGGCTTTAGCCAAGCTCAACCTTTGTAGCAATCTCAAAACTATCATATGTCCAAGGAAGGGAATTTATGTCAACTTCTTTATTATGAGGAATACAACGTTTGTACTGATTAGCTAGCCCCATTTGTCCATTGCCATTCTTATTATCACCAATCAGTGCCAATTACCCCGACCTGTTTGCCCATTGTCCATTGTCTTTTACCAAACAGTGACAACCTAAGTCCTGGCTTACTATTATGTGTTGGCTTCCACTTGTCCATTGCTAATCACCTATGAGCGCCAATTATCTGTTGACTTCCCTTGTTAAGTTTCCACCTTTCCTATCTTATTACTTTCGTTGTACTTACATGTACACATATATATATATTCTCTCTCATGGCATTTATTCACCTAATGAACAAGTAAACATATACCCTGAAACGTTGTGTTCCTCATAATAAGGAAGTTGACATCCTTAAATACTCTTCCTTATGTGCATCACTTCTAAATGCCTTTCAAAGATATCATAAGTCTATTCTCAAGCTTTCATTTGCTCTAGATATGAGAAATACCTACGTGTCATCTCTGTAGAGAGCCAAGGCATGGCCTGCAAAGTCAATGGTTCCCTTGTCTAAACTAAACTTCTCATACACTTGTGCGGCTGTTCCGTTGATATTGATATCCTTGTGGGTCTTTGGGTCATCTTCCTTGAAATCGGAAACAAACTGCAAGAAGCTCTTGAACCGCCTCTTCTCAAACAGACCCATTAGAGCTGAAAGGTACCACAGAGTACTTAAACAACACCAATACAATTATTAACGTATGTAGAGTTCAGATGGCTGTCGGTCACTGTTCATAGACAGAAAATTTCAATTTGACAGATGATTTAAGTGGTGGGACTATTGACTGATAGAAATGCTAAGCAAGACATCACAAGTTTTTAAGTTAAAAAGTAAATAATAATGATTAGTCCTTCTTACGATATCCATTTAATAAAACAAGGCACAGCCATCAAAAATCATAACTAAAATTCTGAACAGCGCATGTCTTTGCATAACGCTTTCTGTATCATATGGAAACACTGTCTGGAGCTAGCTACACTGAATTAGTCAAGTGCATTTCTTATCGCGACGTTCACTGGCCAGATAAAATATTCATGTCCGATCACGAACCTCTGAAAGCGTAGTAAGATGTCTCGGGTCTTTACCTACACATCTGAGCACACTGGCAAAGAAATGACTCTAACCACAAAATTCTTTATGCACGTTTCCAGAGCTAAAGATAAGCCGCATACTTGCGTACAATCCCCCACCACCTCTCTAAAAAAATGTTAAAAACCCAATTACTTTCACTTAAATTGCGTACAGAAATGCATGCATTAAATGAAAAACTCAAATGTATAAAAACACCACGCGTAAATACCCAACAAAGCCTTTTCAGCATGCAAACAACAGAGCTAATTTCCGAATTATTTCTGAGTCAAGCCTACAGTCAATGTCATGACAGTTAGAACCGTTTTATAAATCTCAAAATGTTTACTTATTTTGGTAAAAACCCAATAGAGTGATGAATAATAGATGAGTGAAAAAATATTGGTTACCCAATGAAAAATGTAATAACCCAAATAAAATAGAAACCTTTGAGTAAAAACTCAATTGCTCAAAAAGTTATCTGGAGCTCTGGAGTTTCTCTTCTCATCAGAGATGATTCAATTTAATTTTCTTTGCCACACATTCTTATTGCAATGTTGAGACCATAGTTAAAAAGTGAGTGAGTATGGTTTTATGCCACTTTTAGCAATATTCCAGGGGAACCAGAATGGGCTGGACATATTGTACCATAGAGGGGAACTGGCCTAGTTTGGCTGTTAACAGTTTCTTGAGATATGGTTAATCAAATGTAGGTTACAACTTACAATAAACAGACTTAACAATAACAGTGAACCAACCATACATCAATTGTTCTAATTTTCTAAGGGTGTCTTTCCTACCAGACACCCGGCAAAACGTCAAAGAATATAGGTTTCACTTTTACACTACAAATAGGCTTGAGTGGACTGAAGGACTGAACCTGATAGACAACGCTCAAACGAGACAATAAGCAGGCAGCATTGATCAACACGACTCACATGAAGTCAGGGCCTCCTTCTCATTGCAGGGGACCTTGTAGATCTTGCCTTGCTTGTACACGTAGCTTCCTTCAATGGACTTGAACTCCAGGTACCTGGTGACCTTAGTGTGGAGGAGTAGCTTCACCAGCTGGCCTGAAAACACATCCAGCTTTCAACACAGCATACTAACAGTCAGTCGACATCCAAGATCATTAGGGCTCGGACGATACACTGATCTGATACGTATCACGATACCTTAGTCACAATCCGATATGTATCACGATACTTGCATGTACTCTTATCTGTGGTGCGTAAGCCATCTTTTCCAAAGACAGGATTGTCAAATACCTGGCACACTGACATTTACAGTTGGCAGAGTCAAATACAGCGCGATGGATGAAAATATTTACGTTTTCACTACTTATTTTCACTACCAATTAGTGTTTGATGGAACGTTTATTAGAGCAAACATTTAAGGAATGAATCAATATTTTTTACTTAGTGTGCAACTGTGATCAATACTTGTATCAGGTAAAACATTCTGTTCTACCGATGCATCGATGTATCGACCCACCACTATTTAATATAGGAGTTCTTGGAAAATCATCTGTTGTTGGTTCATTCTCAGACTGTTCACTGATCACAATTACTTAATTTTTCAGCAATGAGTGAGTTGGGTTTTATGCCGCTTTTAACAGTATTCCAGTTATATCACGGCGTGTCAGCTTAATGTGGGAGGAAAGCCCGAAGTGATGCAAGTCTCAGACATTTACCACTTCGGTGAAACCCACGAGCACGGGTATGGTGCTGACAAACCTAGAAACATAATTGGGGCGAACCAGGATTCGAACCCACAATCATAGTTTCCTGGCATGCCCAAGGGACGCAACTCTGCACAGCGAATCGCGGCGCCTTAGACGACTGGGCCAGCTGTGCCCCCCTTTTCAGCAATGAAGTATAGGGAGCTGCATCGGTCGCCCCAAAAACTAAATTCATATGCAAAGTCTTCTCACCATTGGCCATCAACAACTTGGGAATTAGGTCAACATTCCAATCCCTTCCTCTTCCAAAAATATTGTCATCTGCAGGATACGGCCGTCCTTTATGTTTATAGAACTGAAAGAACAATTAAATCTGTCAGTAGGCAAGTGTTGGTTCGATTGATTGAATGTAAGTCAATCAACAGGATCCAGCTGCAGTCAAACACCGTTGTGTGGAAGTTGAATGGACCTACGTAAATACTTCGAGTTCTCCGAGTTTCTACACAGACGAAAATGATGAATACAGAAGGAATACGCAGGGACCAAGCTTTTACTTCGAGACAACCAGAAGTTCGACACAACGGTGTTTTACAGAAATCATATGGTCAAATGTAGATCTGTCACACTGAGATTATATAAAGGCAGATGCAGGCCAAGTTGGTTTCATATTGCTAATATTATCATAGGAACTGAAATCTCACGCCTTATATCAACATGGGTGGAAATTAGTCAAGAATGTCTACTAGCCTGAATAGTGATACCACATCGTAATACTTGCCAAAATGTTTGAATTCTACTTGCCCTTAGGATTCTCTTAAAATTAACATAATGTGTCCATGCTAAACCAATCTTCGCATGAAAATCTGTTTGATTCACTCTCCAACTACTTGTGTCATTCCGTATTTCTTAACTGATAGCAAGGTTTTGGTTTGGTTTGTTGTTTAACCCCACACTCAGCAATATTCCAGCTATATGATGGCGGTCTGTAAATAATCGAGTCTGGACCAGACAATCCAGTGATTAATATCATGAGCATCGATCCACGCAATTGGGATCGATGACATGCATCAACAAAGTCAGTGAGCCTGACCACCCAATCCTGTTTGTCGCCTTTTACGACAAGCAAAGTCGCCTTTTGCGGCAAGCATGGGTTGCTGAAGACCTATTCTACCCCGGCTCTTCACGGGTCACTGATAGCAAGGAAGGTCATGGGTAATTATCAACAAGAACAGGACACACAGGACACAGCAAAGGACATGGGTAATTATCAACAAGAACAGGACACAGCAAAGGACATGGGTAAGTATGAAAAGAACAAGACACACAGGACACAGCAAAGGACATGGGTAATTATCAACAAGAACTAGACACACAGGACACAGCAAGGACATGGGTAATTATCAACAAGAACTAGACACACAGGACACAGCAAAGGACATGGGTAATTATCAACAAGAACTAGACACACAGGACACAGCAAAGGTCATGGGTAATTATCAACAAGAACTAGACACACAGGACACAGCAAGGACATGGGTAATTATCAACAAGAACTAGACACACAGGACACAGCAAAGGACATGGGTAATTATCAACAGGACACACAGGACACAGCAAGGACATGGGTAATTATCAACAAGAACTAGACACACAGGACACAGCAAAGGTCATGGGTAATTATCAACAAGAACTAGACACACAGGACACAGCAAGGACATGGGTAATTATCAACAAGAACTAGACACACAGGACACAGCAAGGACATGGGTAATTATCAACAAGAACTAGACACACAGGACACAGCAAAGGACATGGGTAATTATCAACAAGAACTAGACACACAGGACACAGCAAGGACATGGGTAATTATCAACAAGAACTAGACACACAGGACACAGCACAGGACATGGGTAATTATCAACAAGAACTAGACACACAGGACACAGCAAAGGTCATGGGTAATTATCAACAAGAACTAGACACACAGGACACAGCAAGGACATGGGTAATTATCAACAAGAACTAGACACACAGGACACAGCAAAGGACATGGGTAATTATCAACAAGAACTAGACACACAGGACACAGCAAAGGACATGGGTAATTATCAACAGGACACACAGGACACAGCAAAGGACATGGGTAATTATCAACAAGAACTAGACACACAGGACACAGCAAAGGACATGGGTAATTATCAACAGGACACACAGGACACAGCAAAGGACATGGGTAATTATCAACAAGAACTAGACACACAGGACACAACAAAGGACATGGGTAATTATCAACAAGAACAGGACACACAGGACACAGCAAAGGACATGGGTAATTATCAACAAGAACTAGACACACAGGACACAGCACAGGACATGGGTAATTATCAACAAGAACTAGACACACAGGACACAGCAAGGACATGGGTAATTATCAACAAGACACACAGGACACAGCAAAGGACATGGGTAATTATCAACAAGAACTAGACACACAGGACACAGCAAAGGTCATGGGTAATTATCAACAAGAACTAGACACACAGGACACAGCAAGGACATGGGTAATTATCAACAAGAACTAGACACACAGGACACAGCAAAGGACATGGGTAATTATCAACAAGAACTAGACACACAGGACACAGCAAAGGTCATGGGTAATTATCAACAAGAACTAGACACACAGGACACAGCAAGGACATGGGTAATTATCAACAAGAACTAGACACACAGGACACAGCAAAGGACATGGGTAATTATCAACAGGACACACAGGACACAGCAAGGACATGGGTAATTATCAACAAGAACTAGACACACAGGACACAGCAAAGGACATGGGTAATTATCAACAGGACACACAGGACACAGCAAGGACATGGGTAATTATCAACAAGAACTAGACACACAGGACACAGCAAAGGACATGGGTAATTATCAACAGGACACACAGGACACAGCAAAGGACATGGGTAATTATCAACAAGAACAAGACACACAGGACACAGCACAGGACATGGGTAATTATCAACAAGAACTAGACACACAGGACACAGCAAGGACATGGGTAATTATCAACAAGAACTAGACACAGCAAAGGGCATGGGTAATATATGTTTTTGTATATCCCTATAAGCAATACTATGCAACATGGTCTATGAGCAGTAATGAGCTAAGGTTTAATTTCAAACATATATAAACACTTGTCTGAAAGCTGTAATAAAACGAGTTCTCTACCTTAGTTATGTGATGAATACAAGAACTTACCTCTTCAAGTGGGGTCATGGAGGCACTCTCGCCGCCATAGTACTTGTTTCTGTCCATATGCAGGACCTTCTTCCCGCTCACGGACAGCATACCGCTGAGGATGCATTCCTGCAAAGAAAATTGAAATATCACATGTTAATTCTGTGATACTTATCAGAAAGGTACCCAATGTTGGCCATCCTCACTGAACACTACAGTGAACATGGTGAAGCTGTTTATCATCAGCCACACTGCTGTCATTGTGAGGACAGAGTCATGAACAAATATTGCAAAGCCTGGGTGGATTGTTATGTCCCTTTATATAAATCACAGTTCATGCAGAGTTCCATTCATCGTATCCCAGCTCTGTTGATCGATGCTCATGATGTCAATCACTGGATTGTCTGGTCCAGACTCAATTATTTACAGACCGCTGTCTATGTGATCTTGAACATAGTACAATATATTCACCTGAGTCTAAATACATGTTTCAAATACATTGCCAAAGATTTGATAACTTCTTCATTGGTCAAATTCAACAAATTGATCATCAACTGATTGTCTTTGTGTGTAATATCTAAAGTAGGTAGAAACTTTAATCTCAATGTTTTATATTTTTCACATATAAAAAGAACATGAAACTCGTCTTCATTCTCCTGGCTGGTACAGTAAGAACATATATAATTTTCAAAATCAAGATCGTTGGTTCTACGATATTTATTGACAAGGAAGTTATGGAGAGATATTCTAAATTTACAAAGGGTTCTCAATTGAGTTTTATCTTGTAAAAGGCTTAAATATTTTTCTGGTTGCAACAATGATTTAATACCAGCATAATGCTTGAGAAAGTGTGAAGAGGAAACTTGTTGGTGCCAGTTTTGCTGAAATATGTCTAATAATCTTTGTTTTTTAAATTAAACTTAAAGCAAAAATAGTTTTTCATTACCAGTGTCTTGTGAGATCCATGCAAAGGATAATCCAGTATTAAATAATATGCTTCTTACACCAGCCACCCAATTCATTTTCCCTTCACCATCTGATTGCTTTAGCATTTTGTACATTGAAATGGGTACCTGTGAGCTTCCATTTTTAATGATTGTATCCAATATTTAACAACAACCGCTGGCTATGTACATTTTTACTACAGCGACACGTTTCACCAAGTACAAAATACAAAGTGTGAACTTTCTCAACGGATTAAAAATATTCAATGCCCCATATTTCCGAGCCGTACCACAAAATCCATAGAATTTTACCATCAAATATTGAATTTGCTGTTGAAAATGAGATATATTTGTTTTCCTTGAATAATTTATAAACAGGAAACATTGCCTTAGGCGCCTGTAGTGCTAAGGTCTTACAAGCCTTGGACCAATTTAATCTTGAGGACATTAATAGTCCTAAATACTTATAATAACTTGCAACTTTTAAATGTTTATCACCATATATGCAATTTTCATGCTGAGTTCTATTCATCGTATCCCAATTTCATTGATCCATGCTCATGATATCAATTACTGGATTGTCTGGTCCAGACTCGATTGTTTACAAACCGCCGTCATATAGCTGGAATTTGCAGAGCATCGATCTACGTAATTTGGATATGAAGACCTATTCTGTACCCTCATCTTCATGGGTTGATCTAGTCAGATCTACCCTGGCCACCTGTACATTTGAGAAACCCATAGATTCCTCAACACCTGACTCAAAGAACATGAGACCTGTCACAAACTAGGACTGAAATCAGCTGGACTGAACACATCCTGAAGAACCAAGACCGTAACATCATGTGGGAAGCCACCAAAGTCCTGTCTACCAACAACAACAACTGGCAATAAAGAAAACTACAAGAAGCCATTGACATCAGGGGACACCAGCCAGCCATGAACCGTGACCAGGGCACCTATCTGCTCAGTGCTAGGGATTTATTGCTTTGATCTGTGTCGGTGGTAATTGTCAAGCTGGCTTCCATTTGCCCATTGCTATGTCCATTCTTTTACCCATCAGTGCTAATTACCCCGGCCTCCCGTTCGCCCATTGCCAATTACTAATCAGCATGATCAGTGATCATCGAAGTCCTGGCTCCCAGTTGTCGATAAATATCAGCAGTAATTACTGAAAAGTGTTGGCTTCCATTGTCTATTGCTAATCACCTATCAGCGCCAATTATCTGTTGGCTTCCCTTGTTAAGTTTCCACCTTTTGTTATCTTATTACTTTTGTTGTTCTTACCTGTACATATATATATTCTCTGCCTCATTGCTTTCATTCACCTGAGAAAGCACATGCTACGAAACATTGTGTTCCTCATAATAAAGAAGTTGACATCCATAAATTCTTTTCCTTTTGTGTATCACTTATAAATGTGTTTCAAATACTAGTCAACAATTGTTTATAGTGTTACCATGGTTACTATGACAGTTTAGCAAATAATCTCCCTGTCGTTAAATCTACTAGTTACATTAATTGGGTGGACTAGCTCTGATACATTCTGAGGACTGGTCAATTACTACTGTGTGAAAATCAATTTCCAAGGCAAACACACATTTACATTATCATGACTGATGACATGCCTGTCCACTGTGTGAAAATCAATTTCCAAGGCATACATACAATTACATTATCATGACTGATGACATGCTTGTCCAAAAACTTTCAACCAACTGTTGACAGTCATATCCCTGTGCCAGTAAGTCAAGGGTTAATAATTAAATTTTCCTTGTGTTCATTAAAATTCCTGCATTCTGATTATCTGAATTGGTCACGTGTTATTTAATTGCATTCATTTCCCAATGAATGTAAAAAATTAAGCCACGCCCACCAAAGCGGACTACTATTATAACGAAGTGTCAGGGAATCCCAATATTACAGTCGAGGGAATTCCCTTTCTTCTCATGTGTATCGTCATGTACAAGGCATTTAGCAAAATTCATGCATATTCATGAACAACCCTTTGAGATAAAAAGCCGAGAAGGAATGAAACACACACACCCCTCGCTTCGGTTCCACAACTTTCATGTCTTCGGTGTTTCATTTCTAACCAGCATTTTTCCAACTGTGTCTTCCCGTTCTCAGTGAATTAATCTGGCAGCAACTGACCATGTCATTTGAAACAGCCACGTTCTCCCGGACATATTTGTTCCTGTTCGTTACAGTCTGACTGTTGCAGTTCTTCTTGGCTCTGGCGTTGATTGAACTGTGTTTTGAGTCTACTCTCCGTTGATTGGCTACTGACTTTGTGGGCGTGTCAAGTTATGTGCATAAATTAAACAATCACCTGATTCATGTCACGCCACAGTACGTATTCCTACACCTGGAATGTTTATCAATCTCATCATTTTTGACTGTTTTGATATAAACAACTGTTTTTTGTTAAACTATTGTTATGTTTTTGTTGTCAAATTTAATAATAAACATTGACTGTGTATTTTTTTCGTTTCATTGAGGAATGAATCGAAAAACCGATGTGCAGACTTTTGTAAGAATCCGCTATGCCAATTCATATAGTTCGCACATCGGTTTTTCAATTCATACCTCAATGAACCAAAACAAATACACAGTCAATCCTTAAGTGAGAATTGGGTAGTTTCTAGAAGTTGCTATATCATAACTCATTATGGTGATTTTCATATGCACATTTACATTCTAAGACTAATGTATGATAATATATATTTACATATTAATGGACTTGCATATAGACGCTCATCATGTTACAAGTCATGTACAGCATATGAGGCAATCTGTGGTTTGTTTCATGTCTTCACTGATCGATCATGTGACGCTGTTGCCATGAATGGCAATGATACAAGAATTCAGTGAGTAAATTATTTTACAACACTGGCAATATTGGCTGTTTCAAATCCCAATACAAATATCGTAATACCCTAGTGTTATATATGAGTATGCAAATCCAGTTTGTGCCAAACACTTTTGGGTCTACAAGCCTGACCATGTATTTTATAATGTAGTTTATAAATTCATACATATGTAATATTGGTGACAATAAGCGCCTTACATCTGAGGTAGAAGGTTTTTTTTATGTTAATACAAGCATTGCTGCTGTGGGTGTAAGATTAAGTTACAAGATTAAATGTCAGTTTTCTGATGTTCTGTTCATGGGATATCAAAGTTATTAGACTTCTGCATTAGAAGTTTGCGCTAGTTGTATAGTCCCTGGCAAACTGCCCAAAAGTTGAGGTATCAAAAGATGTATTTGCCCTTTTTAGTGTTTTGCTATATGTTATCATCATAAGGACAAGTGGACTGAAACTGTTAGTTTCTATCACTGGTCTTGGTAATGACATGCATTTATCCAAATGGCGAGATACATGCAACAAGATATATGTCAATACCCTAACTAACAACTGCTGTCACTTCTGCATCTTTCCATTATGATTACATGCAGTGTTCCCGTTTACCGGTAATTACCAGTTTTTCACCGGTAAAATTAGGCTTGGACCGGTAATTCATGTGACTGCCAGTGCCTGTGGACCGGCAAATAAAGTACCTTATTAATCTTTGTTGTTGAACAAAACATAGTCAGCTTCTCTGTTACCCTCAGGGTTTCCCCTTGGCTATTTCTAGGTTAAATATCCATTTGTAGTGACTTTGTCTCGAAATATTAAAAACAAAGGAGAGAAAATTGTGACTGAAGTTTGTGTGAATGACATATAGATCTAACTAAGTTACTTCAGAGATGACATCTTTGCACCGAACATGATGTTGAAAGAATTAAAGCCAAATAATTTGCATACAATTTTTATGTTTGTTGAAAGTTGGGACTGGTAATTTTTAGAGTTGCCAGTCCACAAGGACCGGCAGTTTCAAAGCCAGCGGGAGCACTGACATGGAATCATGTTCTTTGCATCAATAGATCCTCTTATTATCCACTTTACACAACTTTTGAAAATCAAGCTGAATGTTCCTGTCAAAACTATCACCTTAGACATGGCAACACTGAATGGGATTCATACTTGTCAAAAGTTAGAAAGATTACAGGGAGAATATTTTGATTTGAACTCATCTATCATCCATATCATGCAAAGATAATGGAGGTGAGAATAGTTTTAGAGTCTGTGTTTGTTTCAGATCTGTGGTTACTTAATGATTCATAGATAACTAGATTATTTTCACGGTCACATACTTGTGAAGGTAAACTGTTGACACCCATGAATACCAGCAGGGCACAAAAAATCCACTCAACCGAACGTACTGACGAGTGGCAGCATGTGCATGGCGAGAAAGAAGCGACCAAACGCTCGTCCTACCGGGCATATCAAATCATCCTTAATCGTTTTCAATGAAATATGCAAGGTGACTTCGAACCTGAAATACTTTTTCAAATCTTGTACATTCTTAGTAATAATAACGAAATACATGTCGCTCATATCATAAATAGACGGCATACTTGGCAACTGTCTGTTGAAGAAATAAATAGGAAGTGAGTTTGCACAGCAGGCCTCAAAACTAGTTATTAAAAGGGAGGTAATTATATTTATTAGTTTTGTTGTCAGCGACTTGTTATGAACGCTCGTATGTCAAAGCAAAAATGATTTTGTGAGGGAAATGGCTGATAAAATCAAAGTATTAGGTGCCTCGTTCTGAGTGTGTGGATTTGAACCCCAGTTGGGACTGAACCGAATAAAGTACTAGAATTTGTACTTTACCAAGAAAGTGTTATACCAAATATAACATTTGTTAAATGCACTTGTTGTAGAGAAAATGTACTATGTTAAAAAAACGTATTACAAACTACTATTTTGTCTATTAAAAATAAGTAACATGACTTTTAATTGGATTAGAATGTACAAAAGCATGGAAACTACAGCTGACCTCAAACATCGCAAAACTAGGTCTTGGTGGGTAATTAATATTCTTGACTTATTCCTTTTATGGATTTTGTTTGATTGTTTGTTGTTTATCCATTGGTAACGCTGCACTCAGCAATATTCCAGCCATATGATGGCAGTCTGTAAATACTTGAGTCTGGACCAGACAATCCAGTGATTGACATCATTTTACGCATGGGTTGCTGAAGACCTCTTCTACCCCGGATCTTCACTGGGTTCCATTTATGGAACAAGTACCAGGAGAAGTTTGAGGTCATTGGTAATAGGCCTGTATTATGTCCGAGTTGGATTCAAGTGTAGACATAAATTTCAGGTTGATATTGTCACCGATGTTTATGATTAGATTGATGTGTTATATTGGAAAAAGCAGATTGAGTGCTATTGCCTCTCGAAATGTTATTTGAAGAAAGTTTCTTGCATTGTAACTATTTTTTGCAAACTTATGGAGTGAGTGAGTGAGAGAGTATGGTTTTACGCCACTTTTAGCAATATTCCAGCAATATCACGGCAGGGGACACCAGAAATGGGCTTCACACAATGTACCCATGTCGGGAATCGAACCCGGGTCTTCGGCGTGACAAGCGAACGCTTGAACCACTAGGCTACCCGACCGCCCCAGCAAAAACTTATGGAAGTGATCAGCCGACGCCGTTATTCAAACTTCATAGACTGTGTACCAACCTTGGAGGTAATGTCTCACTAAATAAAATGTCTGCCCACATTTAGAAATTGATAATCAGCACAATAATTAATAAACAACCCACTCGAAGCTTTGTAGTAGGCCTACACAAATGTGGGCCCACTTGCTTGGATCACCATACATGTTGGGGGGAAAACTGGGCCGACATTTCAGAAAATGATAACCAGCACTAAACCAACCAAAGAAGATGCACATATTAGACTTAACATTCTCAACTTTCTAGAATGTTGGCCGACCTCTATTCAGGAAAAAAACGTGGGCCCACACATGGGGAAAACTAATATTCACAAGTTATTAATTTCATTGGCAAGCACTGTTATAATTTTCTGCAAGTTACGAGTGGAAAGATAAATGTATAATGTATTCTAACATTTAATAAAGAATAGTTTATTGCATGGATTAGATGGAGAATTAACAGTTGGACCAACGACAACGTCCAACTGATGCCATTTTTTCGCAAATACGGAAAAAAAACAGCGATAGCTCGCTTAGAGTGACCTCCCTTTCCCAATATGAACCCAAGCTCCCTACAGCAATAGCCCATTTGTGGACCTATCTATAATATCACAGCCACCACTCAAAGCTCCCCAGAAACCGACTGACCGTTATGTTTACAAAAATGTGATGACTGTCCTGATGTCCAAATATTCTCTTTATCATGTTTATTGTCTTTCTTTGTCAATTTGAATTTCAATTGTATCTCAGATATGATACAATTGGTATAGTAACAATGTAAGGGAGAAGAAGGTGATTTTTCATTCGTCTGCAATCTCAAACCAATCTGATTAAACAAACAAAATGCTAAATTCATCATGACCATTCTGGTCAGTTGTAAAACTTTTCCATATTTTGCTACGGTGGCATCCCTAAAGACAAAAACAAACATAAAAACCTGACTACAATTGGGGTTAGAGGGCAAATTTCAAGATTCTTGCAATGGCCGCTACCACACTGATGGCAGGGATGTTACCGAGAGTGTAATGAAGGTGTCACACGCTGGAAAGCTGAATGTTATGAAAGATTGACAATGCAGTTTCGTTGTTGGTTGGGTGTGGTGATGGTAGCAGTAAAATGGGAGGAAACTTGGTTCAATCAGAAGAGAGCACATTTCAATAAATATTCACTATTTTCTCATGAAAGTTTAAGAGATGGGATAAAAATAATTATAATGGGCTAAAGGCAGCAGAAGATAAACAAATCGCCAACAAATCTGTAAATTTATGACAATTTAAGTTTTCCTCAATTCTGAAGCTAATCTAATCTTATCAAGATCCTGAAATACAAACAAAGGTGCCAATTAATATTCAACGAAGTGTTTTGATAAACAAAATCTACAAATTTATCAAGAAGTCGATGTGCAGGTAACCATCAAATCTATTATTGTATATTACTCAGTTCCTCCCTCCCACTTTTTGATAATGACATGGCCAGTTGGATGGATAAGTAGGACTAACGTCTGGTGTGTCACGGTCTTCGGTATTGCGTACGATTGTGTTAAAAGATACAAAACTGTTTTCAGGAATAGGTTAAACTTACGTTATATCTGACTAAACTCAATCTAAAATCACATCAGTGCATGCCGCTGCTATATAATGACGTGTTGGTCCTATTTTCGTCTGTGTCGCATGACTCCCGACATCACAATAAATTGATCATAGAAAAACAACTCATTCGGAGCTAACAGCTACTCAGCGTAACAACATTACCAACCTTCAAGCCTGTTCCCAAAACGATGACATCGTATTCTTCATCCATACCTACTAGTCTACACTGTTTACACGGACACTACGAAGCGTTTTCTTTAGACAGCCACCGGCTCTTCTCAAGATGGCTAACACCCTCCGAAAAACTTATACGTATCTCCCTACAACTGGTTCCAACATGTTAGCACATTCACCAAGGCGTCTGGTGGATTGTGACAAGGTTCATGGAAGCGATAAATATCTAACGACATGATACCTTAGTTCTCGTCAAATCGGTTTTTATAGTGATATGACATTATTTTGGGGAGTCATTTAGGATTATTCTATAGTTTTAAGCTTCCCAAAGAGCAGTGCACTTTGGTGAAACCCATGAGGATGGGTATGGCGCTGGTCAACCTAGAAACATATTCAGGGAGAACCGGGATTCGAACCCCAACAACAGCTAGTTTCTGGCACGCCTAAGGGACGCAACTTTGAAGAACGGACCACCCGTGCGCTCAGTAATTTTTAAAGTACTTACTTTTAGCAACTACTGAATGCAGGGTATTGACATTGAGACCTGAAATAGTTATTTTTTTCTGACATTTTCTCTCATATAATCTCATTGTAAATTTCAGCTTTGTAAATCATTCAATTACAAAATCATGAGCCCCGAGGAGATCCGGGTTAGAATAGGTCTTCAGCAACAAATGCTTGTCGTAAGAGGCGACTAACGGGATCGGGTGGTCAGGATCTCTGACTTGGTTGATGCATGTCATCGATCCCAATTGCCTGGATCGATGCTCATGATGTCAATCACTGGATTGTCTGGTCCAGACTCGATTATTTACAGACCGCCGTCATATAGCTGGAAAATTGCTGAGTGCGGCGTTTAACAACAAACAAACAAAACAAATCATAAATCTAACATGAGGTTGTATGGCGTTAGTATAAAACAGCATTAATCTTATTTTCTTCTGCTGTGTGTTTGCAGGCTAGACACAGAAAACTATCGATTCCATCAAAATGCTTAAAATTTACGTGTTTATGTGTTACCCTTTATTTGTTTTGTAGTGTGAAGAAGATTAAAAAGATGATTTTTTAGCAGACGATTTAAACAAGAAGGAACAAAAGACAATAATCACATGACGATGTGCATTCACAATAAATATCAAGCATGTCGGAGTAACCCGCAACGTCAAGAAAAGACAAACAGTCTGTCTGTACGTGACTGAACATGTTCAGGCGACAAGGGCAGCAGAGCGGGTTTCCCGACACCGGCCCTGTTTCAATATCGGTACAGAAATGAAAATGAAAAAACTGAGAAAACCGGTGTTTCGTGATAACCGTAGATCGTATATCAAGTATGCTAATACTGCTACCTTTTCTACCACATAGCTCGGGCCTGTTTACAGCCAGTTCCAGCCAGTTTACAGCCAGTCCCAGCCAGTTCCAGCCAGTTCCAGCCACAGTCCATCCACATCAGTTCAATTTAGACCTGATTGTAGATTTTTTGAAGGACGTGAAAATGTTTGTGATGTAACTTAATTCCTTATGCTGGTAGGCACGTGAGTTGTTTGTCTATAGTTATATAATGCTGCCTTGTAGCGAGCTTGGCAATGGGTGCGGAACTTTGGAATATCTGCTGACCACAGGTCAATGACCTGCTGACTATTTTATTTAAGAAAACCTTCTAGATTGTATAAAAGTATTTTTACGAACAGTTTGCACTTTTCTAAAACACAATAAGAAAGGTCCCCACCACCCTCTGACGAGCGTTCACTAGACGGGCTCCCAGTGACACATGGATGATTGTCTGTGTGCGCCTATAAACCATGGATGTACATGTGACAGCCAGGGCTCTCTGTAGGTCAGTTGCGACACATTGTTTCAAGGTTTGTCAGCGTCACACCCGTGTTCGTGGGTTTAACCAATGTGGTAAACGTCTAAGACCTGCATGACATCGGGTTTTCCTCCCACATCAAGCTGACACACTGTGATGTAACTGGAATACTGTCAAAAGTGGCGTTAAACCCAACTCACTCACTCACATGGGTTAAATTTCTGATATGAGCACACATTCTTATGTATGTTCAATTTTGCAAAATTGGTATATATTCAACTCCCTTACTCTTGAAAATGGCAAGGGACACTGTGATAACGACAGTGAACACTGGTAACGACAAAGGACAATTTGATAACGACAAGGGGCATTTTGGTAACAAGACATACCATGATAACCACAAGGAACACTGCTAACGACAATGATGAACACTGCGATAACAAGGGGCACTGTGATAACCACAATGAACACTGTGATAACCACAAGCAACACTGCTAACGACAATGAACACTGTGATAACGACAAGGAACAATGTGATAACGACAAGGAACACTATGGTAACAATAAAAGGCACTGATAACGACAAGGAACAATGTGATAACGACGAGGAATAATGTGATAACGACACGGAACACTATGGTAACGACAAGAGGCACTGATAACGACAAGGAACAATGTGATAACGACAAGGAAAATGTGATAACGACGAGGGACAATGCGATAAAGACAAGGGGCACTGTGATAACGACAAGGGACACTGTTATAACGACGAGGGACAATGCGATAAAGACAAGGGACACTGTTATAACGACGAGGGACAATGCGATAAAGACAAGGGGCACTGTTATAACGACAAGGGACAATGCGATAAAGACAAGGGACACTGTTATAACGAAGAGGGACAATGCGATAAAGACAAGGGGCACTGTTATAACGACGAGGGACAATGCGATAAAGACAAGGGGCACTGTTATAACGACGAGGGACAATGCCATAAAGACAAGGGGCACTGTTATAATGACAAGGGACACTGTGATAACGACAAGGGACACTGTTATAACGACAAGTAACACTGTGATAACGACAAGGAACACTGTGATTACAACAAGGAACACTGTTATAACGACAAGGGACCCATTGATAACGACAAGGGACAATGTTATAACGACAAGGAACACTGTGATAACGACAAGGAACAATATGATAACAAGGGGGCACAGTGATAACGACAATAAACACTGTTATAACGACAGTAAATTCTGATAAGGACAAGGGACATTTATAACGACAAGTGACGCTGTGGTAACGACAAGGGACACTGGTAACGACAATTTTATTATTAAGTGACATTGTAATAACGTTTGTTGTTTGACGCCGCAATCTGCAATATTCCAGCTTTATGACGGCGGGTCGTAAATAATCGAGTCTGGACCAGGAAATCCAGTGACCGACATCATGAGCATCGATCCACACAATTGGGATCGATGACATGCATCAACCACACCATCCCGTTAGTCGCCTCTAACGACAAGCATAGTCGACCTTTATGGCAAGCTTGGGTTGCTGAAGACCTTTTCAAACCCGGATTTTTCCACGGGTCTGATAACGACAAGGAACACTGTAATAACGACAAGGAACACTGTAATAACGACAAGGGACACTGTAATAACGACAAGGAACACTGTGATAACGACAAGGAACGCTGTATTAGCGACAAGGGACACTGTAATAACGACAAGGAACACTGTGATAACGACAAGGAACGCTGTATTAGTGACAAGGGACACTGTGATAACGACAAGGAACACTATGATAACGACAAGGAACGCTGTATTAGCGACAAGGGACACTGTGATAACGACAAGGAACACTATGATAACGACAAGGAACGCTGTATTAGCGACAAGGGACACTGTGATAACGACAAGGAACACTATGATAACGACAAGGAACGCTGTATTAGCGACAAGGGACACTGTGATAACGACAAGGAACACTGTGATAACGACAAGGAACACTGTGATAACGACAAGGAACACTATGATAACGACAAGGAACGCTGTATTAGCGACAAGGAACACTGTGATAACGACAAGGGACACTGTGATAACGACAAGGAACACTATGATAACGACAAGGAACGCTGTATTAGTGACAAGGGACACTGTGATAACGACAAGGGACACTGTGATAACGACAAGGAACGCTGTATTAGCGACAAGGGACACTGTGATAACGACAAGGAACACTATGATAATGACAAGGAACGCTGTATTAGCGACAAGGGACACTGTGATAACGACAAGGAACACTGTATTAGCGACAAGGGACACTGTGATAACGACAAGGAACACTATGATAACGACAAGGGACACTGTGATAACGACAAGGAACACTATGATAACGACAAGGGACACTGTGATAACGACAAGGAACGCTGTAATAACGACAAGGAACACTATGATAACGACAAGGAACACTATGATAATGACAAGGAACGCTGTATTAGCGACAAGGGACACTGTGATAACGACAAGGAACACTGTGATAATGACAAGGAACGCTGTATTAGCGACAAGGGACACTGTGATAACGACAAGGGACACTGTGATAACGACAAGGAACACTATGATAACGACAAGGAACACTGTGATAACGACAAGGAACACTATGATAACGACAAGGGACACTGTGATAATGACAAGGAACGCTGTAATAACGACAAGGAACACTATGATAACGACAAGGAACACTATGATAATGACAAGGAACGCTGTATTAGCGACAAGGGACACTGTGATAACGACAAGGAACACTATGATAACGACAAGGGACACTGTGATAACGACAAGGAACACTATGATAACGACAAGGGACACTGTGATAACGACAAGGAACGCTGTAATAACGACAAGGAACACTATGATAACGACAAGGAACACTATGATAATGACAAGGAACGCTGTATTAGCGACAAGGGACACTGTGATAACGACAAGGAACACTGTGATAATGACAAGGAACGCTGTATTAGCGACAAGGGACACTGTGATAACGACAAGGAACACTGTGATAACGACAAGGAACGCTGTAATAACGACAAGGGACACTGTGATAACGACAAGGAACACTGTGATAACGACAAGGAACGCTGTATTAGCGACAAGGGACACTGTGATAACGACAAGGAACACTATGATAACGACAAGGAACGCTGTATTAGCGACAAGGGACACTGTGATAACGACAAGGGACACTGTGATAACGACAAGGAACACTGTGATAACGACAAGGGACACTGTGATAACGACAAGGGACACTGTGATAACGACAAGGAACACTGTGATAACGACAAGGAACGCTGTATTAGCGACAAGGAACACTGTGATAACAGTTCATACATGCATCATGCAGTATATGCATTCTCGAGAATGCAACGGTTCCTACTCTGTGACTGTTGGGTTGAAATTTAAGGAGCGCTTCAAGTCCTGCTGATATAGCTCGTTCAGAAGTGGTCAAACATTTGTGCATCACTCAACTTTGAGATCATGATGAGTTCATGTGTAAATAATATAATTCATTAATTGATGTAAACACGGGCACTCTCTATACCATGCAGGCAGGGTCCATGTCACTAGCTTGTGCTAGACGAAGCTAATACATAATACTTACAAATCAGTGTCAAGAGAAGCGAACATACCAGTGAAGCCAAGGAGCAAATAGGAAACATTAATAATGTTTGGCGAGGTAAAAGACAACCACATTTTCCTTATTAGCATCAACAGATGTGTAACAGTGTTCGGTTGCTACAAAGTACTGCCGTTTCCCACATGTTACAACTTGCAAACCTATAAAACACTAGGCATTTATATAATCAAAACAGGCCTACTCGCAATTGAAAAAAACAACCCAACAAACCCTCCCCCCCAAAAAACAAAAACAAAAACAAATCCACAACAAACAAGCTACCAATGAAACATAAATCATAAATCTAAAAACAACAACACAACTTCACAAACTCTTTTAGATCCCCCATCTGATTAGCATGGCATATTTCAAAATCCAAATTTAATTCAAAATTAATTAAGCGACCATAAAGCCCCTCCAAGCTGCATGACCTTTCGGACAATGCCCTCCTCGACCACATCGGGGGTAGTGTCCGGCCCAGTCCTCTAACCTTTGATTGTGGGTTCGAATCCTGGTTCGCCCCGATTATGTTTCTAGGTTTGTCTGCACCATACCTGTGCTCGTGGGTTTCACCCAAGTGGTAAACCTGCATCACTTCGGGCTTTCCTCCCACATTAAACTGACACGCCGCGATATAACTGGAATAACGTTAAAAGCGGCGTTAAACCCAACTCACTCACTTACTCACTCTCGACCACATCATTCAATGACCTGGCGGGGCCGTGCGAGACATAAATGTCGTATATGTCTGAAAGCGCACTTTAAAACCCAAACTAAGTAAGTAAGTACTTGTTATTGTCCTTCGTGCGCTGATATTCCTCGGCTACCGATGTACCATCAAGCATCACATCAATACTACTCAGGTTTTAAAAGGGATATTTTTTATTTTTCTCGTTTATAAATTATTCGTTATTGTTTTGAAGTTGCTCTTCCAGAAAGGCTTCTATATACCGCGATCTCGATCTATCTACATTTAGTATCTCTAAATAGGACCACCACAGTACAATGATTCATATTATTTTCATCATATTATCTATATCTTTATGATAATGACAACTTGATGTGGAAGTTAGGAATAATTGGAAATGTTGTTTTTTAAGTCGATTGCATTTTTTTGGTACTAAGAAATTAGATATGCGTTATTATACACTGGCGAATTTTTTATTGTGTTAGTATTGTGACACAGAGTAAAATAAACCTGCTATTTAGAGTCAGTAATCGCTCTTTATTCGGGTAGAACGTATACAAAACATCTCCGTTCAGCTGATGCTTTCTACTATATTTAACAACAGTTGTTCATACTGTAGTACATTTTGTCTTGAGCGGAAGGATAAACGCACCTAGGGGAGATAGTTCAATATATTGAAGAGACTCACATTAATCCAGTGATATATATCAATACTCGTTGGTGGTTATATAAATAAGAACATTGAATTGTCCCTAAAATAGTTTTTCTTCCTTCGTAAATGATACGATGTTGCCTTTTGGCAAACATGGGCTGATAGGCGTAATGATATTCAATGATTACCTAATACGGACTTAATAATCAAAATATTATGTTATGTGTAGAAAAGATATACACCAATTGTCCTTGAAATCTCAGGTTGGGATATCAAAAACAATATTTATGATGACGATAGGTCTTATGGTAGACTTTTAGCTCGATTCTATTCACTTCGTACCTTTGAAAATGGTGACTTCCGGTTGAAAACAAGGAATTTCTCCTCCGATAATTTGAGCAGACGCCTCCCTGTCATGACAGGAATATTATTCTAATCACAATATAACTCTTCGTCATGGCTGACAGCAAAAAGAGCAGAGGGTTGGGTCACGTCGTAAGATCCCGAGAGTCTTCAGATCAAGGTATGTGTAAAGTTGTTCAACATTTTCAGTGGCATGATCAATGGATATTTTCTTGCCAATCTAAAACTTGTTTTTGTTTTGTTTTTGCAAACGGCGTGCAATCCATTAGTTCCAAATAATCTACTTGACATGTTTGAAGCATGCCATGTCGTGGTAGGAGAGCCTGTAGTCATATGGGTAATAGGAATCAAATAGTAACAAGGTCAACAGCGGTAGAAACTAACAGTTTTAACCCACAGGTCCTTTTAATGATGACATATAGCAAACCCCTTAAAAATGGCAAATTTCTACTAGTCCTTATGATACCTTAACTATTAGGCATTTTGGTAAGGACTACAGGACTAGTGCCAATTTCTAACACTGGGTCAATAACATATTAAAGGTTAATGAGAAACGGGTAAAAATAATAATTGGGAATCGATGTTTTTTTTCGATGTGTATTTTATTTGAAATAAAATGTTGATCGACAAGATCGTTTAGGCATGAGTAGTAAACATGGTAAATGCAGTTTGACGCTTTCCTGGTTTTCAAAGTAGCAATATTTATCATTTACAACTGATATTACTCTTACTCCATGAATGTACTAGGGCTGGGACGGGTAACTCGGGTATCCAGGTCGGGTTTGTACTGAGTAGGACCCGGGTACCCTCAGGACTACCCGGACCCATGGTTAGTCACGTGATATATTGTTTAATGACAAAAATTATCTAGAACTCAATGGTTACACTACAAGTCACTTATGTTTGCATTTCTTGCACCCAGCCAGCCATTCCTTCTGACTTTTCATATGGATGAATAAAGGTATAACTTAAGTCAACTTCAGTGTATGCATGACCAGATTATTTAATACATGTATCTAAATACGTTTTGCCAGGGCTATGGTAAAACAAAATTCCCAATCAGACATTTTGTATCTCTTGAGACCTATAGTGGGTACCCGGGTAGGGTCGGGTAATAGGGGGTTGGTACCGGGGTAGTAAATGTGGACTCGTCCAAGCCCTAGAATGTACACAGATACACATTCATAACAAAACATACAAAACAAACACGTTCAAACAGTAGGCTGATGTGCCTTTGAACTTGTGGAGGATAAGATATAAAAGGGCTCTTTTCTTTGACAATATATGGGGACTGGTTGTTTTAAAAGCTATACTAATTGCAATCATTAATCATACCATTTGTTACTGTTTTTTTTCCACTGGATACCCGGATTATATCCCAGAAATCTCTGCTAGTGTGGCCTGTGCTACACCCACTGTAGGTTTGATGCTTTTTTGATAGCATAAGGGGGAGCATGGGTGGCCCAGTCGTCGAAGGCGCCGCGATTCGCTGTGCAGAGTTGTGTCCCTTGGGCACGCCAGAAACCTATGATTGTGGGTTCGAATCCCGGTTCACCCCAATTATGTTTCTAGGTTTGTCAGCACCATACCCGTGCTTGTGGGTTTCACCGAAGTGGTAAACTTCTTAGACCTGCATCACTTTGGGCTTTCCTCCCACATTAAGCTGACACGCCGTGATATAACCGGAATAATGTTAAAAGCGGCGTTAAAACCCAACTCACTCACTCACTGATAGCATAAGGGTGTATCTTCACATTGATCAACAAAATAAATACAGTTTTGTCCTGGCAATAATAAAGAAATGTAGTGGTGGGATCGGTAATGTTGACAAAGTTTTGATAAGTCACCTGTCTGTACTGATAACAACAGTCCGAGTTAATTTCAAATCATAACATTCAACAGGGTGACGGACGAGATACCTGCGTCATTGAGGTTTATCAATGCACCATTCAGGTCTGTAAATACAAAAGGTAGACAAGAAATGTGATTGGCAGTTATTCCTGTAATGTCACAAATGTCAGTACTTTCACTAATAATTCTTCTGGTAGATGTAACAGTTGAATCTATAAAAAGTAAACACTTGAATAAGAACATAGAGATGGAAAAGTATTGCTTCACCTATTTAATCATCAAAATGAGTTGTGATATTAAAAGTTTGAAAGATGACCTTTCATGACCTAATCTGTCAGTAATAGTGACAGGGATATCACAACCCAGCAGTAGAAACTAACATTTTTAGCCCACTAGTTCTTATAATGATAGCATATAGCAACACACTTAAAAATGGCAAATTTCAACTAGTCCTTATGATACCTGAACTATTGGGAAGTTTGATAAGGACTATAGGACTAGTGCCAATTTCTAACTCTGAAACAAGTGAAAATATCTGTTTGGGAAATAACATGACAAACCACAAAGAGTCTCAAAAGCTTTGAATGATGATATTTTGTGAAACTGAAATCGTCACAAGTGTCAACTTCTGATTGTCCTTGAAAATCTTGGCATGTCGGGTCATCATCATCACTTTGTGAAGATAGTTCCCACAAAACGTCTTCATCTGTGAACATATGAGCGGCCATGTTTTTGTGGATTGGCACCTTCTTTCAGAAATGGTTTCAAGGGACTGTTGTGTGTCATAAATATATCGATGATGCAATGCAATTGTAATGTTTAAGCAGCCGATGGGCTGTGTCACACTGGATGATAAACGATAGAAGACATAGGAGCGTGGACGATGCTGAATTTTATTCCCTTGCTTCCATGACCGAAGGGGCATAACTCCCATGCCTTGTTGCACAAAGCATACCACTAAAATACATATCACACTGTGATATACTCGTGCTGACATGTGAACACTACAGCAATAACTATGAGAGGTAGGGGAGACAATAAACATTTGGAGGATACTTCAGTATCTGGCAACTCACAAAATATAATTATCTCAAATTTTCTCGATGTGTATGTTATCACTATCTTCCCCAAGGCCTTCACATGTAGGACACTTTGTGCTTAATTATTTTTCTATCGATGAATTTTCTGCCCCCAAAATGAGTTTTGGCCATCATTTCTTTATTTTGCTAGATCCCTACACACACAGTTTGCTGCGTCATGTGTTTTCTGATCAAGAAAAGTCGTCTGAAGCAGGGGCTGCTGGTGTTGAGTAAGTATGTGAGGTGGTTGTTCGTGAAACAAGTCTCCCAATTAAAGCATTTAAGGACAGAATACCTACTTGCTTGCCATGTAGTAGGGCTGAGATTTGTAACTCAGGTAGTCAGTCAGGTTGGGTGGGTTGTGAGTAGGACACGTGGTTAATCACGTGATATATTGTTTAATGACAATAACAATAAAACTCCATAGTTACACTACAAGTCGTTAGTGTTGGCATTTCTTTCTCACTAGACATGCATTCTTTCTGACTTTCATATGTTCCAGTACAGATAAAGCTGAAGTCAGTGAATGCATGATCAGATTGTATTATTCGTATTTCAAAATAATTTTTGCCAGGGGTCCGGCAAAACAATTCCTAGTCAGACATTTTGTACCCCAGTGGGTACTCGTGCAGGGTCGGGTAATAATGGGTTGGGTACCCAGGTAGTATATTTGTACTTGCCCCAGCCCTACCATGTGGTAATTTAAAGGATGGACTCATTGCTGACTAAGGTTATTAGGACATGACCCTCACTAACCTACTCCCATGTTTTGGGTAGCTCCGTGGTTAAAGCCTTTACTTATGATGCTGGTTATATTTAAATGTGAGGTGAGCTGAAATTGGGTTTAACGTCGCGTCCAAGATTATTGCACTTAAATAGCGACGTGCATGTACGTGTATGTGTTTGTGTGGTGGCTTGTACTAGTCTGGACTGATGCCGATTTTTAGTGCTAGCTCACTGAGATACCATGCCACAGTTTAACATGAATACCCCACTCAGACACAGTATGCTGACTCCGAGCCGACCAGTCCTTGTTTTAGCCCCTTAATGCTGAGCGCCAGACAGGGTAACAACAAGTACCATCTTTTAACGTCTTTTGGTATGGCGCGGGATCGAACCCCGGACCTTCTGCTCTCTGGGCGGACCCTACCATTAGACCACGGAGGTGGTCGGTTATGTTTAAAACCTGATTGGGTCATAAAAGAGATGTGGGAAGCCCATTGATATTGCCCTCTGCCCTGTGAATCACTTTATGAACTCTATTAACATGATTAAGACACCAAATTCATAAGTTTTATTTATATTTTATTTATTATGTCCTGAAGATGTTTAATGTATATATTTTGTTTGTTGTTAGTTGTTTTAGTATAATGTAGATACATATCTAGATACAGTCTCTAATACAAAGGTATATTTTTTCTTTCATTTGAAATATATTATGTGGTGGTTTTGCCTAGGACAAATGTCATTCGGACACATTCATTATTTTACCAACTTTTGGTAGGACAGTTTTATGTGCTGTTATCAAATTTGGAAAAAACCTCAGGACAGTTTTATTGACTATCAGTCAGTGTAACCAGAAACATAGCTGGTCCTTGGTTAGGACTTCCAAGTAATTGTTCTCGGGAAATGGTAATTATTTATTTTGCAGGAAAGCCATGGACCTACACAACCTGCAAAGCTACATCGACCTGTCTCTCAGTGACGCTGTCAACTTGCAGGGAGCTTGTGCTGGAGCACGGGAAGAAGGTCTGTCTGTAGCAGGGTTATCTAGTCTATATACTCAGGAGTGAGTGAGTTGGGCTTAATGCCGCTTTTAACAGTATTCCAGTCATATCACGGCGTGTCAGCTTAATGTGGGAGGAAAGCCCGAAGTGATGCAGGCCTCAGACATTTACCACTTCGGTGAAACCCATGAGCACGGGTATGGTGCTGACAAACCTAGAAACATAATCGGCGCAAACTGAGATTCGAACCCACAATCATACGTTTCTGGCGTGCCCAAGGGACGCAACTGTGCACAGCGAAACGCGGCGCCTTAGACGACTGGGCCACCTGTCCCCCCCCTATATACACAGGAAGAAGGTCAGTGGTTAAAGTGTTTGCTCGTCACGCCGAAGACCGGGTTTGATTCCAGACAATATTGCTAAAAGTGGCGTAAAACCTCTCTCTCTCTCTCTCTCTCTCTCTCTCTCTCTCTCTCTCTCTCTCTCTCTCGCTCACTCTCTCTCTCTCTCTCTCTCTCTCTCTCTCTCTCTCTCTCGCTCTCTCTCTCGCTCTCTCTCTCGCTCTAATCAAGGAAGTGTTGTTTCAGAGTCATCCCCAGATGAAAACTCAGGTCGAATCGGAAGTAAGGAGGTCTTCTTTGATATTTACTCCAATGTCGGGACACTCATCGTGGAGCCAGACAGGCTTGGGGTAGGAAGGATGTTGGATTTTACAAATAGGCATTATCTAGGGCTTAACTAAATAAAAGAATTGGTTCTCATGCAATGGTTTTTGAAAATAAAGTATGGGCGGCGGGCGGTGTTTTTGTTTTGTTTTTTGGTTGTTCAAACTCCTAACTAAATAAACAGTTGTGTACAATCAACCGGGGAAAGGGCCTCCCTACCTTGATGAGTTAAATACTAGAATACTGTAATTGATTACTGTTAGAGTTGGAATATTTAAGGATTTTTTATATTTTTTTAAAAATGGAAATTAAAACGAAACATGCGGCGAACTTTATGATGATGCGGGCAGTGCCTGAGAATCAAGACTATTATTTTTTAAGCCTAAATGTTTTAGCATGATTGGTGACATTCAATATGTTGGTTTAATTAGAATAATGTTGAAGTTCTTAACATTGTTGACAGAAATTAACATTCATTGCACAATGATAATAGACATGCTATGTAGTTGCTAGTACATGTTGTTATGGAAATTTAGGAAATTTGTGTCAGTCACGTTATCTGACATTTTTTTAACAGCAACAATTTAGCCTTGTTTACAGAAGCATGGTGAAACCTTGTGTACTGAAACATGGTGAAACCTTGTTTACTGAAACATGGTGAAACCTTGTGTACTGAAACATGGTGAAACCTTGTGTACTGAAACATGGTGAAACCTTGTTTACTGAAACATGATGAAACCTTGTTTACAGAAATATGGTTAAGCCTTGTTTCCTGAAACATGGTGAAACCTTGTTTACCACCCAGGAGACCATCAAATAGTGGTTGAGTCAATGTTAGACCATAATGACGATCATTGTTTTTCCCTTGGATGACGAAGTTACATTTTAGATGAGATATCGAGACAACAAGATGAAAGTTTCACCGTATATACCTACTTTGTAATGCAAGTTACAATAAGGCATCTGTAGGTATGATGTTGGCTAGAAATGCCGCTGATGTAAAGGTAACCATGGTAACAGTCTGTGTTTGGGCTTCAGGTCTCCAGTCTGAGTAACTTCAGCAGTATGAGGGCCAACACCTGTGTTTACAAAGGTAATGTATACATGCTTGCTTGTAGAACTAGAAGAGGGGACACGTGAAGATCCGGGGTAGAACAGGTCTTCAGCAACCCATGCTTGCCGTTAAAGGCGACTATGCTTGTCGTAAGAGGCTACCAACGGAATCGGGTTGTCAGCCTCGCTGACTTGGTTGATGTATGTCATCGATCCCAATTGCGTGGATTGAATCTCATTATGTCAGTCCCTTGTTGGTCTGATCCAGACTCGATTATTTACAGACCGCTGTCATATATCTGGAATATTGCTGAGTGCGGCGTTAAACAGCAAACAAACAATCAATCAATTGTAGAAGATCGGAATGTCCCCTACAAAACACATCTCTACTTTTATATTTTGACAAAACCTTTTCTTGTGGTAAATATTTGAAAAATAAACCAGAACTCTTACTGTCTGTATTTATACTGTGTTATTCGCCCTTGCTTGATGCACGAGGAATACGTTCTCTGTTGCAAGTGCACCAAGCTCTGTCGCGAGCTGATAATGCATGGTACACAACTCGTGGGATCCTAATCTAGTATTTTATCAACTCACTTGTGTGATGTAAGTACAAGCTGATGGGGATTATAGGAAATACAATGCCTTGAACAAAGATATATATGTTTTTATGATATACCTGAATTATGATATACAGAAATTAGCAATTGATTCCTGTGATTGAAGAAGCAAAACTATTTGTGACCAGTTTCCTTTTTATAATGTGTCTATGATGCATACATTGTGACATCTAACAAAATGGTGGCCAGTTACGAAGATGTCAGAAACGTGCAGGGAAACAGGTTTATGACAAATTATAGATGAAAGACAGTGTTCGAAATTGGCACTAGTCCTATAGTCCTTGCTAATAGGATGAGTAGAAATTTGCGATTTTTAAGGGTTTTGCTATATGTTATCATTACAAGGACTAGTGGATTAAATCTGCTTGTTTCTACCGCTGAAGGAGCGAATGCGATATATTGTGGTACGTATCGCCACTCAGGAATAATTATTGCTATAAATTGCTATACGAAAGTGGTTCCAATACACTCTATAGGTCTTCAGCAACCCATGCTTGCCGTGAAAGGCGACTATGCTTGTTGTAAAAGGCGACTAACGGGATCGGGTGGTCAGGCTCGATGACTTGGTAGATGCATGTCATCGGTCCCAAATGCGTGGATCGATGCGCATGATATTAATCACTGGATTGTCTGGTCCAGATTCGATTATTTACAGACTGCCATCATATAGCTGGAATACTGCTGAGTGCGGCGTTAAACAACAAACAAACCAAACAACAAACAAATCCAATAAACTCAGTCGTGTGGACTATGACCTGCACTGTGGACTGTCTGTCTGTCTTCAGGGAAGTGGGTGTATGAGCTGATGCTGGGCTCCAAGGGCGTAATGCAGCTGGGCTGGTGTACCATGCAGTGCAAGTTTTCACAAGAGGTAATGTCGTCATACAGACTTGAGGGTCCATGGAGCCGATATTCAGTCTGTTACTCATCTTGTTATTCTTCGTTGGTCAACTCTGCACTCAAGGTGCTACATGTCTAACACCTGCAAGACTTCTGGCTTTTAGTCCCTTGACATGCTGATGTGAAATATTGTTGACAGTGATGTTAATCCCAACTTAATCACTCTGGATACTGATGTTGAAATTGATGTCCAGATGAACATTGATAGATGAAGATGATACAGGGATACCTGTAAGTGCAGAGCCACACTTGCAGTGATCACGATGAACCTATGATCTGGATTAATGCTGTTGTATGGATTAACAGGATTTTACTGTAGTCTGGACGTTATGAAAGCTGCTGATGGTATTGATGATGATGTTGATAATGATGATGATGGTGTTGATAAAGATGGTGACGTTGATGGTGATGTTGATGAAGATGGTAATGATGGTGCCGTTGATGGTGATGTTGATAATGATGGTGACGTTGATGGTGATGTTGATAAAGATGGTAATGATGGTGACGTTGGTGATGGTGATGATGATGATATGATGGTGTTTCAATTACAGGAGGGTGTAGGCGACACTCAAGACTCCTATGCTTATGATGGGAGTCGACTGAGGAAATGGAATGTGAAGACACAGAAATATGGAGAAGTAACTAAACAAATTATACTACTTTCCATATCCTCACATGCATACATGTACATACTCTTTTGGATTTGAAAGTGTAAAGGCTATGAAACGAATTGCACAATTCCCAAGTTTTAATAGATTGTGTAAAAATATAATGACAGTACACTGTTGTTGATTTCGTTTCTTATCATGATTGTAATTGCGTAATATCATTTTATTTTTAACACTATTCTCCTTTTTGACAGCCATGGTTGACTGGAGATGTGATCAGTTGTGCCATTGACTGTGATGAAGGAACGATGACATTTTACAGGTACGATACTCCGAGGAAAACATAGCATTCATGATGTGTGTAACAGAGGTCCTCTTTTATGGACAGTCGGGGGCACGGGTGGCCCAGTCGTCTAAGGCGCTGCGATTCGCTGTGCAGATTTGCGTCCCTTGGGCCCGCCAGAAACCTATGATTGTGGGTTCGAATCCCGGTTCGCCCCGATTATGTTTCTAGGTTTGTCAGCACCATACCCGTGCTTGTGGGTTTCACCGAAGTGGTAAACGCCTTAGACCTGCTTCACTTCGGGCTTTCCTTCCACATTAAGCTGACACGCCGCGATATAACTGGAATACTGTTAAAAGCGGTGTTAAACCCAACTCACTCACTCACTCACTCACTCACTCACTCACTCACTTATGGACAGTCACTCTGTCATCCGTCCTTTCCTCCTTCAGTCCATTTGGGACAAATTTTATCAAAAACTGTTTAACTGGTCATGATAAGTTAATAAATTGGTGTCTTAAATTCATTCTTTAGAGAGTTATGGCGCTTGTTTCATGCTTTTGAACTTAGTGCATACTGCTAAAATGGGACAAGTTTTCTCAGAAACTACTGAAGTTACATGAATGAAAATTTGCAAGCTTATCTAACAGATACTTCTCAAGAATGAGTTCGAGAATTGGTGCTATAAATTCTTTTTTCCAGAGAAGGGGCCTTTTGTGTTTATCAATTTCACATTAATTTTTTTTTCTGATGACATAAAATGACCCCACTGCCTATCTCTCCTTAGCTATACTGGACTCATTTTTTAGTAGTGTTATTCACTACTAGAGGAACAAATTGCATCCTCATGTGCCATTTGGCCGGGGATAGTGATAACGCTGTTTTTCTGTGTCTTGGTATTTTTCGGTGATATGATTAACATATGTGAAAATTTATGGTAACTTCCATGTGAAATAATGAGTGAGTGAGTGAGTGAGTGAGTGAGTGTCGTTTGACGCTTTTAGCAATATTCCAGTAATACAAGTATCGTGACACGTTTTGTGACATACGTATTCAGATGCTTTGTAGTGTACCCTCATCACCGTGACAGTTTATCATGGGATGTTCAAGAGCAAAATGATAAAAAAAAAAGTTTAAAGAAATTTGGTTGCAAAATTTAATTAGATATTGAACAATTTGAATACACACTCCACATTCTTTCTTTGCATAACTTCAAAAAATGATTGCCTGGATTAACATGTACTAATAATCTGGCAATGTTTCAGAAATGGAAACTGCATGGGACAGGCCTTTTCAACAGTTCGTCGCGGGCCAGGCCTGGCCTACTTCCCTGCTGTTAGTCTTTCAATATCGGAGAACCTTCGTGCCAATTTTGGCGCCACACCTCTAAGGTAGTGATACAGAATCCATTAGATGGGGGAAGGTCTGGTTTGATGTTCCCTATCCCTCATTATCCAGTGGATCATCATCCATTTATCCATTACAGCTAAAATGGATAGAATTATCACTAACCCGCTTGCATGTTATCAGAATTGAACGGGCCACTTCAACTTTATAATGCCCTCATATTGCTTGTCGACGGGCCATTATCACGCCCGTTGCAAGGTGATGTCATATGGACTGGGATTTGAATGACACGATGCTACAGTGGTCCAATCAGAATGCACACATCAGTGAGAGGGATACTGTGCCATGTTAGTGATAGAGATAGGGGTAGCTACGGGGTTGAATGGATATATATCATAAAAGAATGGTAAAATATTCATGATTAAATACTACATAACAATTCAGGATGTATTTTTTTATCAGCTGTGAAATTTCAAGTAGTTTAAATGATAAGATGGGTAACACAAGAGAAATCATGCCATTGCTGCATAACATGAAATCAGTATTAGACCTTGATGTGTATCTCCTTGTATGGGGGTTAATGTATCTTGAACAGATATCCGCTGGAAGGGTATCAACCACTGCAAGACCCCCCCCCCCCCCCCCAAGTCAGATCTAGTTGTGTATCTCCTTGTATGTGGGTTAATGTATCTTGAACAGATATCCGCTGGAAGGGTATCAACAACTGCAAGACCCCCCAAGTCAGATCTAGTTGTGTATCTCCTTGTATGTGTGTTAATGTATCTTGAACAGATATCCGCTGGAAGGGTATCAACCACTGCAAGACCCTCCCAAGTCGGATCTAGTTGTGTATCTCCTTGTATGTGGGTTAATGTATCTTGAACAGATATCCGCTGGAAGGGTATCAACCACTGCAAGACCCTCCCAAGTCAGATCTAGTTGTGTATCTCCTTGTATGTGGGTTAATGTATCTTGAACAGATATCCGCTGGAAGGGTATCAACCACTGCAAGACCCCCCCAAGTCAGATCTAGTTGTGTATCTCCTTGTATGTGGGTTAATGTATCTTGAACAGATATCCGCTGGAAGGGTATCAACCACTGCAAGACCCCCCCAAGTCAGATCTAGTTGTGTATCTCCTTGTATGTGGGTTAATGTATCTTGAACAGATATCCGCTGGAAGGGTATCAACCACTGCAAGACCCTCCCAAGTCAGATCTAGATGTGTATCTCCTTGTATGTGTGTTAATGTATCTTGAACAGATATCCGCTGGAAGGGTATCAACCACTGCAAGACCCCCCCAAGTCAGATCTAGTTGTGTATCTCCTTGTATGTGTGTTAATGTGTCTTGAACAGATATCCGCTGGAAGGGTATCAACCACTGCAAGACCCCCCCAAGTCAGATCTAGTTGTGTATCTCCTTGTATGTGTGTTAATGTATCTTGAACAGATATCCGCTGGAAGGGTATCAACCACTGCAAGACCCCCCCAAGTCAGATCTAGTTGTGTATCTCCTTGTATGTGTGTTAATGTATCTTGAACAGATATCCGCTGGAAGGGTATCAACCATTGCAAGACCCCCCCAAGTCGGATCTAGTTGTGTATCTCCTTGTATGTGTGTTAATGTATCTTGAACAGATATCCGCTGGAAGGGTATCAACCACTGCAAGACCCCCCCAAGTCAGATCTAGTTGTGTATCTCCTTGTATGTGTGTTAATGTATCTTGAACAGATATCCGCTGGAAGGGTATCAACCACTGCAAGACCCCCCCAAGTCAGATCTAGTTGTGTATCTCCTTGTATGTGTGTTAATGTGTCTTGAACAGATATCCGCTGGAAGGGTATCAACCACTGCAAGACCCCCCCAAGTCAGATCTAGTTGTGTATCTCCTTGTATGTGTGTTAATGTATCTTGAACAGATATCCGCTGGAAGGGTATCAACCACTGCAAGACCCCCCCAAGTCAGATCTAGTTGTGTATCTCCTTGTATGTGTGTTAATGTATCTTGAACAGATATCCGCTGGAAGGGTATCAACCACTGCAAGACCCCCCCAAGTCAGATCTAGTTGTGTATCTCCTTGTATGTGTGTTAATGTATCTTGAACAGATATCCGCTGGAAGGGTATCAACCACTGCAAGACCCCCCCAAGTCAGATCTAGTTGTGTATCTCCTTGTATGTGTGTTAATGTATCTTGAACAGATATCCGCTGGAAGGGTATCAACCACTGCAAGACCCCCCCAAGTCAGATCTAGATGTGTATCTCCTTGTATGTGTGTTAATGTATCTTGAACAGATATCCGCTGGAAGGGTATCAACCACTGCAAGACCCCCCCAAGTCAGATCTAGTTGTGTATCTCCTTGTATGTGTGTTAATGTATCTTGAACAGATATCCGCTGGAAGGGTATCAACCACTGCAAGACCCCCCCAAGTCAGATCTAGTTGTGTATCTCCTTGTATGTGTGTTAATGTATCTTGAACAGATATCCGCTGGAAGGGTATCAACCACTGCAAGACCCTCCCAAGTCAGATCTAGTTGTGTATCTCCTTGTATGTGTGTTAATGTATCTTGAACAGATATCCGCTGGAAGGGTATCAACCACTGCAAGACCCCCCCAAGTCGGATCTAGATGTGTATCTCCTTGTATGTGTGTTAATGTATCTTGAACAGATATCCGCTGGAAGGGTATCAACCACTGCAAGACCCCCCCAAGTCAGATCTAGTTCGGGCTCAAGTTCTGTTTGGCTACCTGGAGAAGCTCCTGCCTGTTATGATAGAAGATGATAAGGTGAGACAGGCTCTGTACAGGATGTCTAGGATTTTGATGATGTTAATTGTTTGATGTGGTTGATGTAGATTGTGAGCAAACTGGTGCAGATCAGTAGAGACATTGTGTCTCACACTTCTGGCGCTGTTGATAATGTCCTTTTGTTGCAGTGACGCGTTTTGATAGAATTAATGATGACAAGCTTGATAAAACAGATATGTAAAATATATATTATGCAAAGAGAGAAGGGAATATTTTGGTTTGAGGTGAAACCACAGGAAAATACACCAATGTCTGGCAATGAAAGAAGGTGATTTATGTGGCAAGAACATTTCAAGCTCAAGCTCCCAAACACGGCATGGTTACAGTCATGAGGCACGTGACCTCGCACAGCATATGCATGGGCTGATATGCCAGATTTACCATTGTCACTCTCTCGGTTGTTTTCTTTGAACCAAATGCTCAAAGACACTTTATTAAAATATTGATGGCCACAACTTCCTGCAGGTCAATCAGAGGCATCAGTGGTGTAGGGAATGTCAGCACTGGGACAATACAGCTGGGGCTAATGTCATGTTTTCTGACGAATCGAGGTTCACTCTCGACTTCATGATTGGAGGAACGTTAACATTGTACAGCATGATTGTTTTTGGGGTGGGTCTGTAACAGTATCGGTAGGTGTCACTAAGACTGGCCGAACTGCACTCCATATTGTCCATGGCAGAGTCACAGATCAGTACCATGAAGACATCACTGCAGCACCCATGGTGCCATTGGCACAACGTTTCATCTTTCAAGATGATAATGCACATGCTCATCATGCCAGGATTGTGCCAATTCCTCCAACAACAAGACCTGTGAAGATCTGGGGTAGAATAGATCTTCAGCAACCCATGCTTGCCGTAAAAGGCGACTTTGCTTGTCGCAAGAGGTGACTAACGGGATCAGGTGGTCAGGCTTGCTGACTTGGTTGATGCATATCATCAATCCCAATTGCATGGATAGATGCTCATGATATTAATCACTGGGTTGTCTGGTCCAGACTTGATTATTTACAGACCGCTGTCATTTAGCTGGAATATTGCTGAGTGAGGCGTTAAACAACAAACCAACCTACCAACCTCCAACCTCCAACAACAAAACATCCATGTCATGCCATGGCCAGCACTTAGTCCTGAGCAGTGTGAAACTCCTGCTTGGTGTACACTGTCATGGTAGGCAGGGAACTTGCCTTTAAGCCACTGAATTTTCCTGTTTTGAATACAGTGGAACCACACTTATACAGACCCTGATACCCAGAAACCTTGCCTTCTGGACGTGAAATGAATTAACAACTACATAAAATTCTTCTTTTATCCGTAACTCTGGTTCCGGATGGTGAATTTCAATTACCACCAGTGCCAAATACATACTATTGTGTTCTTCTTCATGGACAGGGACCACGCTTGACGATGTTCGTCTTTGTAATTCATCACCTGACAGTCAACATCTAGGGGCCGGGTTTGAAGTGATCAGTGTTTTAATTAGTTACATGTCTTGCTCGTTAGTTCGGCAATTATTGTAATTTGACACTGAGGTGATTTGCCGGAGTCATTTGGTAACAAGAATATTATGTTATAGAGTTTTTTGTGCCTCTGTAGAATTTTCATAGGGTTGGTAACTCTCATCAGTTAACAAATGATTCAGATATCCGGAAACTTGTTTAAATGTGGAAAATATTTAAGGGCGGATACAACATTTTTAAAAGGGAGGGGTCCAATAACCAAATCCTCTCTCCACGTGTGTGTGTGTGTGTGTGTGTGTGTGTGTGTGTGTGTGTGTGTGTGTGTGTGTTTTGTCTATAACAGACTACATAGGTCTTTTTTCAAATCCAGACACCCCCCCCCCCACACACACACACACACCCCACCCCCCCACCTCTCATCCCCCTTCTGCATCCGCATGAGAAAATGCAAGTGTCCGGATAAGCAAGATTTGACTGTTCTTCATTCCCAGTCAGTGCTCTTCAGTTTGAAAGAAACATTATTTTGAATTTTCAGGTTATTGGTGCTGAAGTGATTCAGGGCAAAGGAGAGGAGGCTCTACCTCCTCTGACAGAACACCGGACTCGGCGATGTACGGCCATGCTGGTGGCGGCACATATATTTGAAAAATTGGCGCCACTCTTGGTAGGGAATGATTATTTCTGCTGTAAGATTACCACGGTCTGTGATTCCCTGTATACTGATCTTGTTTTGATGTAAAGTCAGAGTTCACTTATGGATTCCACTTTATTCCAGGCCCAGCGATCTTAGTGCTCAGTTGGTCGTAACTCCCATACTTTATCATAGGCTTACGATCAACTTAGCGCTAAGATCACTTTGTGGAACGGGGCCCAGGTGATGAGTTGTTGGTGCTTGTCGCCATGACAATGGCTTACATTATCTTTTAGTGGCGTTTTAGATTTTGAAGAGAAAATAACATCAGAGTTGACTTGTGGATTTCTTCTACTTCATTCAGTAATAAACAACTGAAATCCTTAGATCTTCTTTTGAAACTAAATGTTCTAAATGCCATGTAAGGATATTGTTTTTATTAAACTTTGTCACAGTGATATGGGGATCCTTGGCCATGTTTCATACTCAGTATCTGCCCATAGCTTAGGTTTCTACCAGCCCTAAGTTGTCTTTACGTTACTTCCAGTCAACTTTAATCATAAATACAATTGTTAGCCGCCTTTATCAGATCAGTTTTGGTCGACTTGCTACAAGTAATGATCAATATGTGATATGTGAAATATGTTGTTAGACATCTGTAGGAATTGCTTAAATTTTCCTATACTTTGCACCAACAGTAATTAAGATGATTCATGGTTTTCATGTTTCAGAGAAGTGCCTACATTGTAGAAGGGCATTTGTTAAAGTTTTTGTTGAAGTTCCGCGACTGTGATATACATCTATCAGAACAGCCTTACATATCGAAGCTGCTGGACCTGTTCTGGGCTCTACTTCAGGTAAGCCGCATGGGGACACTGGGTGAGAACTGATCCCCAGCAACCTGTGCTGGTCTTCAGAGGCCACTTCATGAATTGGGTGGTTACTTGGGCTATATGGCGAGGTCGGGTAGCCAAGTGGTTAAAGTGTTCGCTCGTCACACCGAAGACCTGGGTTCGATTCCCGACATAGGTATAACGTGTGAAGCCCATTTGTGGTGTCCCCTGCCGTGATATTGCTGGAATATTGCTAAAAGTGGTGTAAAACCTCTCACTCACTCACTCACTCACTCACTCACTCACTCACTCACTCACTCACTCACTCACTCACACTCACTCACTCACTCACTCACTCACTCACTCACTCACTCACTCACTCACTCACTCACTCACTCACTCACTCACTCACTCACTCACTCACTCACTCACTCACTCACTCACTCACTTTGGCTATATATAGCGTGCCATCTTACCTTGATTGCATGGATTGTTGCTCATAATATCAATTACTGGATTAACTGGTCCAGACTTGATTATGTACAGGGCGCCATCATATCGTTGAAATACAAACAAACAAACAATATGTATCATCATTTGTACAAGAATTAACCACTTATGTTTGTTTGTTGTTTAATGCCCCAGTTTGACGGTGGTCTGTATATAATCATGTTTGCACTAGACAATCAAGTGATTGACATCATGAGCATTGATCGATGCAAGTGGTACACAATGACAGGCATGAACCAAGTCGATGAGTCTGACCACCTGACTTGTCTGATTAAGTGGTTGCCTCTAACGACAAGCATGGGTTGCTGATGACCAATTCTAACCCAGACCTACACAGGTTTAACCACTTGAGAACACTGTAAACACTCATATTTATGCAAATCTTTAAAAAAAGTTTATGTAAAAATTTGTTTTGCAGTAAATGCCCAGATTGTGATGTATCAGTAGCATAATGTCAATGAGGGGTACATTTATAACTTATCACACATTAAACACATTTTTTCTTTTCCTCCAGGATTTCGAGCTGAAGACATGTCTGGAGCATCTGGTGACCACGCTACTGTCATCCTATCGCTTCTCCCCTGTAACTTCAGATTTCCGATATCCGGTAAGCTATGCCTCAATACTGCAACTTTACTATCACATTAATCCCCATGGGCTGCTCACTAGAATGGATCCGGTGGTGAGGCTTGGTGGTGTGGATGATTGCATGTCACTGACAGCATGGGCTGCTCACTAGAATGGATCCGGTGGTGAGGCTTGGTGGTGGGGATGATTGCATGTCACTGACAGCATGGGCTACTCACTAGAACGGATCAGGCGGTGAGGCTTGGTGGTGGAAATGATTGCATGTCACTGACAGCATGGGCTGCTCACTAGAATGGATCTGGTGGTGTGGATGATTGCATGTCACTGACAGCATGGGCTGCTCAATAGAATGGATCAGGTGGTGAGGCTTGGTGGTGTGGATGATTGCATGTCACTGACAGCATGGGCTGCTCACTAGAATGGATCCGGTGGTGAGGCTTGGTGGTGGGGATGATTGCATGTCACTGACAGCATGGGCTACTCACTAGAACGGATCAGGCGGTGAGGCTTGGTGGTGGAAATGATTGCATGTCACTGACAGCATGGGCTGCTCACTAGAATGGATCTGGTGGTGTGGATGATTGCATGTCACTGACAGCATGGGCTGCTCAATAGAATGGATCAGGTGGTGAGGCTTGGTGGTGTGGATGATTGCATGTCACTGAAAGCATGGGCTGCTCACTAGAATGGATCCGGTGGTGAGGCTTGGTGGTGGGGATGATTGCATGTCACTGACAGCATGGGCTGCTCACTAGAACGGATCAGGCGGTGAGGCTTGGTGGTGGGGATGATTGCATGTCACTGACAGCATGGGCTGCTCACTAGAATGGATCCGGCGGTGAGGCTTGGTGGTGTGGATGATTGCATGTCACTGACAGCATGGGCTGCTCACTAGAATGGATCCGGTGGTGAGGCTTGGTGGTGGGGATGATTGCATGTCACTGACAGCATGGGCTGCTCACTAGAATGGATCCGGTGGTTGGGATGATTGCATGTTACTGACAGCATGGGGTGCTCACTAGAGTGGATCAGGTGGTGAGGCTTGGTGACGTGGATGATTGCATGTCACTGACAGCATGGGCTGCTCACTAGCATGGATCCGGTGGTGAGGCTTGGCGACGTGGATGATTGCATGTCACTGACAGCATGGGCTGCTCACTAGAATGGATCCGGTGGTGAGGCTTGGCGACGTGGATGATTGCATGTCACTGACAGCATGGGCTGTAGCTCATGTCAACCACTGATTTGTGGGGTCCACATTTGCTTATTTTAAGGTGAAAGTGATGTGGCTGGAATAATGCTGACTGACTACTCACTCTACCAATAGACCTAGGGGGTACAGTTCTCTGAGATATGCCTTACTTACTGCAGGGGGCACGGGTGGCCAAGTCGTCTAAGTCGCTGCAATTCGCTGTGCAGATTGTGTCCCTTGGGCATGCCAGAAACCTATGATTGTGGGTTTGAATCCCGGTTCGCCCTGATTATGTTTCTAGGTTTGTCAGCAGTATACCCGTGCTTGTGGGTTTCACCGAAGTGGTAAACGTCTGAGACTTGCATCATTTCGGGCTTTCCTCCCACATTAAGCTGACACGCCGTGATATAACTGGAATACTGTTAAAAGCGGCGTTAAACCCAACTTACTCACTACTTACTGCATCTTAGAACAGTAGGTGTCTGTAAAATATTTCTGTGTAATGATGTTTGCAGCGGTCTCTGCGTGTTAATAGCTCTTGCCTTGTCTTTTCAGAAATTGTATCTGAACCTCACCCTGGCAATACTACAACACGGACGCACAAGAAAACACCTGCTGGCCAATGTTCTATATCCTTCACTCTATATACTTCTTTGTCATGTTCTATGTTTTACACAAATGCATAAGATTCCTCTCTGGCAGAGGAATTGTTGTACCCTGAGAAATTGTGGTTAACTTCTGCTCAAGTTTCCCGGGTAATCTTTATGTCATATTTTCCTCACATTGCCATGAAAATATATTTCCATTCTTGAAAATTAATAGGCATAGTGGCTTCAACAGTTTTGGAGGAGGCTTTCTTATGTTTATGAACTGTTAGGCTTTAAAAAACAGAATCGTTTCTCAGGCATTGACCTTTGAAAATATGGTGGTCTTTTTTGCTTGTTCAAACTAGTATGCAACCAAATATACAGGTGTGCACCATCAACCTGGGAAAGGGCCTCCCTACATAAACAAGCATACAAACTCCTATTACCGCCATGACCACAACACGAGATGCGCAGTAAAGCAGTGTGCATGTAAAGGGAGGTAACTGTGTGTATATTGGATCGCATTGTTTTTATAAGTATTAGGAGTTATAATTTTTTTCTTGAAAATGGAAATAAAAACAAAACGTGTGGCAGACTTGATGATGATGGGGGCGGTGTCTGAGAACCAAGACCAATATTTTTTTTAGCCTTACGTATTGTTTTGAGAATGCTTCTCCTTCTGTTCCTGTCGTGTCAAGGGAACATCACAGCCTGTTTTATTAGAGAATCCTGACATTTGAGTTACACACTGAATCTTCACTTTTGTCTTGTTGTTGTATCCTTGACTGTGGTGCACATTTGACAAGGTGAAGTTCCCCATCTTCCTACATATCAAACCCCCTGACGACGGAGGCCTGGCGGAGATGGTGCCGATAGTGTACTGGGAGTACCAAACCAAGGTAAGTGTTCACACATTTGTAAACAGATACCAAATATCAGTGTTCGAAATACCTGCCTGCCCGACCGTCCGAGACGGGTTGATTTCAACTCGGGCTGCCAGATTTTCAAATCCCCATGCCCGACGGTCGGGTTATATTTCATATGTGAAAATATTCAAAATATTTCCCGATGATAAGCATTAATTCACATGTAAAGATGAATGATAAAATGTAACCAAAAAGAAACCCCGTTAGCTTATCCTGAGAAACATATGATTATAGTGGGCAGACAGGTTTTGGTCAGGGCTGGCAGGTATTTCAGCTAGCCAGTCCTGTGGTCTGGCTGAAATTTTTGGGAGTGTCATACCCTGCAAATATCCATAAAAATCAGTTTCCAAGCATAGACAGTGGTCTGATTAATTTAGACCTGGTAATATATGATGCCGCTTGAAAAGGTGTGGCCAATGTCATGAAGATGGACATGCCTTATGAAACTGGCAAGTCAATGTCTCAATCCAGTATATGCTACTTAGGCAATTTTAGCATCTTGTTGATGTACAATTTGGTCACTAGGAATGACTTTCTTACTATAAATAAAATATGAATTTGATCATTTTTTGTGTCCTGACTGACACAACCTTTGAGAATGAACAGACATTATTAAAATTGGAAGGACCCTGGTTTAAATTCAACTGATGAAATATTAACATGTCTGGTCTGACCTTGCCATCATCGTAGCCTGGGACTGGGACACTGTTCGTTCCCCTGTCATGGGATAGCCTGGCCCAGTGATTATGTACAGGCTGCTGTCATACAGCTGAAATATTTGTCTCCGTGGTGTAAAGTAACAAACAATTGCAGGAGGAAGATGACCCTGTTCCCGATGAACCCCCCGAGGTTCTCCGGAAGAAGAAAGACTACCTGGCCTCCTGTGAAGAACTCCGGAAACAAATTGAAGGTGAAGTGTCCCTCCCTCCAGCTTCTTCATCTAACTCCAATTGAAATGTTTGTGGTCGGGTAGCCTAGTGGTTAAAGCATTTGCTTGTCACGCTGAAGACCCGGGTTCGATTCCCCCCATGGGTACAATGTGTCAAGCCCATTTCTGGTGTCCCCCGCCGTGATATTGCTGGAATATTGCTAAAAGCGGCGTAAAATCAAACTCACTAGTTTGTTGTGACTTTTTAACAGGTGTTAGACAAAGTATCCATTACCAAAAGCTCCATGCCCTTTTCTAAGGTTAGGGACTGGACCATGATGGTACATGTATTCATAGGGGGCACTGTAGCTCACCTGACAAGAAAGGTGTTGATCCTGTTCAGGAACTCACGTCAGTTTATGTAGTTTTGATCGTGGCGGGTGTGTAGTTCATGTGATATGTTTAGGAGAAAACATGCCTTCGAGGTTTTGGTAGAAAATGTAAACATGAGGGAGAGGGAGATCCCAAGGACCCGAAGTGAACACATATTGAAGTCATGACAAGTAAAATTGAACAACTTTTCATCACCTACCCCGGTGGCTCAGTGGGAAAACGGTGGGTTACAAAAAGAAACACGATATGTGAGGTTGCAGGTTCGATTGCCGTCATCCATAATGTTTCATTTCTTGTCTTTGATTTTAGAACTTTGGACGTTTGAAACACCAAGTACAAATTTCATCTTCCACTGAACTCATCAGGTCTTACCAGGAAAAAGTAAAACCTCCTAGCCTGCTTACTTGGACAAAAAGATAGGAAGATAGGAGATGTTCAGAGATAGGAAGATACATACAGTACAATAGGCAATAGTGGCCGTAGGTTTATAAGTAATATTACTCTGTTTCAGAGGTTGAAGATATCCAAGTGGCGATGCTCAAAGTACTTCTGATTTGGAATGACCCCAAAGATGTAAGACATTTCTGTTGTTACTCTCACCCTTAGACGTTTGTATTAACTATTTCATGTTGAATGACAGGACAAAGTAAGACCAGGTTTCAATACATGATGGTTTACTGTTTAAAATACTCACTGGCCATTGCTGGCTGATCTAGACACGTGTGTTTGGCCTGTACCCGTGTATGATCCAGACACACTTGTTTGGCCTGTACCTGTGTATGATCCAGACAAAAATGTTTGGCCTGTACTTATGTATGATCAAGACACAAGTGTTTGGCCTGTACCTGTGTATGATCCAGACACACTTGTTTGGCCTGTACCTGTGTATGATCCAGACACAAATGTTTGGCCTGTACTTATGTATGATCAAGACACAAGTGTTTGGCCTGTACCTGTGTATGATCAAGACACAAGTGTTTGGCCTGTACCTGTGTATGATCAAGACACAAGTGTTTGGCCTGTACCTGTGTATGATCCAGACACAAGTGTTTGGCCTGTACCTGTGTATTATCCAGACACAAGTGTTTGGCCTGTACCCGTTTATGATCCAGACAAAAGTGTTTGGCCTGTACCCGTGTATTATCCAGACACAAGTGTTTGGCCTGTACCCGTGTATTATCCAGACACAAGTGTTTGGCCTGTACTTGTGTATGATCCAGACACAAGTGTTTGGCCTGTACCCGTGTATGAACCAGACACAAGTGTTTGGCCTGTACCTGTGTATTATCCAGACACAAGTGTTTGGCCTGTACCTGTGTATTATCCAGACACAAGTGTTTGGCCTGTACCCGTGTATGAACCAGACACAAGTGTTTGGCCTGTACCTGTGTATTATCCAGACACAAGTGTTTGGCCTGTACCTGTGTATGATCCAGACACAAGTGTTTGGCCTGTACCCGTGTATTATCCAGACACAAGTGTTTGGCCTGTACTTGTGTATTATCCAGACACAAGTGTTTGGCCTGTACCTGTGTATTATCCAGACACAAGTGTTTGGCCTGTACCCGTTTATGATCCAGACAAAAGTGTTTGGCCTGTACCCGTGTATTATCCAGACACAAGTGTTTGGCCTGTACCCGTGTATGAACCAGACACAAGTGTTTGGCCTGTACCTGTGTATTATCCAGACACAAGTGTTTGGCCTGTACCTGTGTATTATCCAGACACAAGTGTTTGGCCTGTACCCGTGTATGAACCAGACACAAGTGTTTGGCCTGTACCTGTGTATTATCCAGACACAAGTGTTTGGCCTGTACCTGTGTATGATCCAGACACAAGTGTTTGGCCTGTACCCGTGTATTATCCAGACACAAGTGTTTGGCCTGTACTTGTGTATTATCCAGACACAAGTGTTTGGCCTGTACTTGTGTATTATCCAGACACAAGTGTTTGGCCTGTACTTGTGTATGATCCAGAAACATGTGTTTGGCATGTACCTGTTTATGATCCAGAAACAAGTGTTTGGCCTGTACTTGTGTATGATCCAGACACAAGTGTTTGGCCTGTACTTGTGTATGATCCAGACACAAGTGTTTGGCCTGTACTTGTTTATTATCCAGACACAAGTGTTTGGCCTGTACTTGTGTATTATCCAGACACAAGTGTTTGGCCTGTACCCGTGTATGATCAAGACACAAGTGTTTGGCCTGTACTTGTGTATTATCCAGACACAAGTGTTTGGCCTGTACCTGTGTATTATCCAGACACAAGTGTTTGGCCTGTACCTGTGTATTATCCAGACACAAGTGTTTGGCCTGTACTTGTGTATTATCCAGACACAAGTGTTTGGCCTGTACTTGTGTATGATCCAGACACATGTGTTTGGCCTGTACCTGTTTATGATCCAGACACAAGTGTTTGGCCTGTACTTGTGTATGATCCAGAAACATGTGTTTGGCCTGTACCTGTTTATGATCCAGAAACAAGTGTTTGGCCCGTACCCGTGTATGATCCAGACACAAGTGTTTGGCCTGTACCCATGTATGATCCAGACAAAAGTGTTTGGCCTGTACCCGTGTATGATCCAGACACAAGTGTTTGGCTTGTACCTGTTTATGATCCAGACACAAAGAGTTTGGCCTGTACCTGTGTATGATCCAGACACAAAGAGTTTGGCCTGTACCTGTTTATGATCCAGACACAAAGAATTTGGCCTTTACCTGTGTATGATCCAGACACAAGTGTTTGGCCTGTACTTGGGTATTATCCAGACACAAGTGTTTGGCCTGTACCTGTGTATGATCCAGACACAAGTGTTTGGCCTGTACTTGTGTATGATCCAGACACAAGTGTTTGGCCTGTACCTGTGTATGATCCAGACACAAGTGTTTGGCCTGTACCCGTGTATGATCCAGACACAAGTGTTTGGCATGTACCTGTGTATGATCCAGACACAAGTGTTTGGCCTGTACTTGTGTATGATCAAGACAAAAGTGTTTGGCCTGTACCTGTTTATGATCCAGACACAAAGAGTTTGGCCTGTACCTGTGTATGATCCAGACACAAAGAGTTTGGCCTGTACCTGTTTATGATCCAGACACAAAGAATTTGGCCTTTACCTGTGTATGATCCAGACACAAGTGTTTGGCCTGTACTTGGGTATTATCCAGACACAAGTGTTTGGCCTGTACCTGTGTATGATCCAGACACAAGTGTTTGGCCTGTACTTGTGTATGATCCAGACACAAGTGTTTGGCCTGTACTTGTGTATGATCCAGACACAAGTGTTTGGCCTGTACTTGTGGATGATCCAGACACAAGTGTTTGGCCTGTACCTGTGTATGATCCAGACACAAGTGTTTGGCCTGTACCTGTGTATGCATGTTATGGTTGCTGCTGTTACATCCAGTTCCTGATATTTTCAGGGTAAAACCACACGAGACATCTTCATGGAGAAGTTGCGGGCCTTTCTGAGGGAGAACAGCGCCTACACAAGAGTGAGCCTATTTGTTTATAAAATTTTGAATGAAAATATTGACTCCCTTTTCGTCTGAAAGGTTGAAGAAACAAAATAATTCTTAACATTTACAAACAACATCATTTCACAGAGTCTATCTGAGAAACTTTTGCTTTGGTACCACACAAATATGAGTCTATTACATTAAGTAATACGTTACCACTGTTATACCGAGGCTGTTGTCTCCCACAACTGCTGCTATAGCGAAATCTACCACAGAGATCTCAATTACCTCATGCAGCACGTGCGTAGCCACCTAGCTGCCATGTGACACCCTTCACTCTTGTCTCCTTCGTCTGCTTAGCAAGACGTGTTTTCTCCTGCTGAAGCGTTCCTTGAAGATTTGGTGATATTTATTATAGTTTATTCTCTAATAAACTGTGCTTTTATGGGGCGTTGCGGTAGCTACGCTTGGTTATAATTTTCCCGCGAAACTGAAAAATTTTCCCGCCCTTTTTTCTATATACTTGCGGGGTTCGCGTATGCACGTTGTGTTTTACGTTTCCCCTGTTCTTGTATGTTTTGGGGGTTAACATCACTTATTTCTTTAATAAAAGTTATATGTGTATGTTATATGTTCACATTGCTCGTTTCTTTTCTTGTGAAAATGTTCGTTTGTGAATCATTGTGGTGCGTGCGTTGTAACCATGTTTTGTTCTTTGTTTATAGCAAACAATCAATGTCTGACATGGATATGTCCCCAGTATCCACCCCCTCTACCCCTGCTCCTCGGAGTTGTGGGGTGTGCAGAAAGTTTTTTTCGTCCCGGGATCCCCACGATTGTTGCCCGCGGTGCAGGGTTCCTTGCGGGGACACCCGGTGCATCCTGTGCGAAGGTCTGGGGCCTGCGGAGTTTGAGCGGTACCGGCTGTACGTACAGTCCTTCTCCACCCCTGTGGTGGCCGGTTCGTCCGGTCGGGGTCCCCGTGCGGGTACCACCTCCTCGGCTGCGGCGGATCCCCTTGCAGCCCTCGGGCTGTCTGGGGATTCCGTCGCCGCATTGTTGTCGAAACTTGTGGTCTCCAAGCTGGCGGCCTTATCGCAAGATAGGCCGCTGGCTGTTCCGTCCCCGGCCTCTTCGGTGGCCGCGGGGTCGGACGCGGGGTCCACCGGTAAAGCAGCGGATCTCTTGGCGGCCCGTGTGCTGTCCGGGGATTCCGTCGCTGCATTACTTGCATAACTTGTGGACTCCAAGCTGGCGGCCTTATCTCAGGTTAGGCCGCTGGCTGTTCCGTCCCCGGCCACTTCGGTGGCCGCGGGGTCGGACGCGGGGTCCACCGGTACGGTGGCGGCTCCCGTGGTCACCGGTCCTTCCCCCGAACCGTTGCTCCCGCTATCGGTTTAGGACCGCGTGGCCATGGTTTATGACCTCTTTGAGGACATGCCCCGGCCGGTACCGCGGGGAATCCACGACTGTGGGTTCCTCCGAGGTATACGATGAGTCTTCCGACACGGCTTTCCCCGCATCAACCTTGCTGCGCGGTTTCAAGCCTTCCTTGGAGAACGCCTTCGCGGCGGCCTCCGGTCGGGGTCTCCCGTTGCCTCCGACGTCGTGGAGAAAGGGTTTATTCCCGGTACATGACCTTGCCTTTCCCGAGGCTGGTCCTACCGCGGAGGCCCATGTTGAGCGGTTGGGTGTCCGTGCCCCACCGGCTGCTACGGTAACGCAAGCTACCTTGCACCAGCTGGACGCCCTCGCTCGGCACTCCATGTCTCACGGAGACACTTACTTGGCTGCAGCGGCCCGTCTGGTCGAAGGTTCTCCCACGGACCGTGACCAGCGCATTTACAACTGCCTGCTCAGTTTAAATGCTTCCCTGGAGTACGTTGCCGAGGACTCTCGGCACACACTTGCTCTTGTTGGGTCCCTGCATAGGCGCCTGGGTGCCGCTCCTAACCGGAGCGCGCCCCAGGCTGCTGCGGCCGGTAGGTCTAAGGGGTCGGGTTCTTCTTCCTCTGGGAAGTAGCCCCGCCCTGAGGGCTCCGGTATGGGCAATCAGCTGCCCTTTCGCGGGAAGACGGGAAACTGGGGGAAGCCCAAGTCGTCGACGGACGGCAAGGGCCCCTCCAGGTGACTCTCATTGGAGGGGTTCGTATGCCGACAGCGCCAACTTCGGTTGGCCCTTAGGCGAACCCGAGTCACTTGGCCCTGGACAGTTGCGCCTGCCGCAACCTGTCAGGGCCCCCTCTCCTTCCCCAGTGGGAGCCAGACTCCAGACTTACTGGGAGAATTGGGAACAAGTGTTCGACGACCCGTGGGTGGTCAACACGATTCGGTACGGCTATCGGCTTGATCTCAAAGCGAATCCACCGCTCACCGTTGCCCCGTATGCAGGTTTCGATTCGGAAACCGATCTTCCCATCCTCGCCGATGCCATCGGCAGGTTGGTGGAGAAGGGGCAGTACGGGAGTTAGCTCTACCAGGATTAACACCGGGGTTTTACTCCAGGATATTTCTCGTTCCCAAGTAGGACAGTGCCGAACTCAGAATGATTCACACGTCCGCTCCCTGGCTGTTCACCCGGTTAACCACCCTCATAGTGGGGTTCCTCCACAGGAGGGGTGTCCGGTACTTCGCGTACCTGGACGACTCGCTAGTAGCAAATCGAATGACGGACACCCTGTCACGCCATCTCGTTTTCGCACGTCGGCTCTTGGAGCAATTTGGGTGGATTATCAATCTCCCCAAGAGCGAGTTAACCCCTTCTCAGAACTTGCTGTTCATCGGAGGTCGGTTCAACACGGTTCAACCCAGGTCACGCAGTCGCCACTTCCACTGCCTGTGAGACCGGATCTCTTGATCCACCCTCACACCCGTCAGCTTCATCCAAACGCAGGGCAGTTCAATCTGCACGCGTGGATGTTGTCACCGAGCGTCTGAGGAGTAAAGTTTTTTCTCGCCGGGCGTCTCGGGCATACGTTAGTATGCATCGTGATTCTACCCAGAAGGTGTATAATACACGTTTGGTTATTTTCATGTAGTGGTGTTGTAAACATCACATTCATTCGCCAGATAAGGTATCTGTGCAGGATATTGCTCGTTTCATGTCTCACTTGCGAGAGACCCGGAAACTCTCCGGGGGTTCCATTGCCAACTATGTCTCGTCCGTTGCTACGGTACGGGGCGTTGCTATGGGTACCAGTCTCTCCAAAGAGCCGGTGATACGGGGTATTATCAAGGGTTTCAAACAGCACGATCTTAAGAAGGGCCGCCTTCGGGCACCGGCCTGGGATCTTTCCCTAGTGTTGCAATCACTTACGGAAGCTCCGTATGAACCCTTGCATAGTGCTTCGTTCCGGCATGTGACTTGGAAAACAGCATTTCTCCTCTCCTTTGCCACGGCGGCACGTGTATCCGAAATTCATGCACTCGATGTCGCCAAGGTACGATTCGATAGGGGTGACGAAGGAGCGGTCCGCCTGGGCCTGCTCATGGGCTTCGTCGCCAAGAATCAGAGAGTCGGGCATACGGAGAGGGAATTCACTGTAAGATCACTCAAAGAAATCTTACATCCTGCTGATACTGAGGACAGAGCGCTGTGTCCGGTTAGGGCCCTTAAGTATTATCTTAAGGCTTCGAATGAACGTAGACAAGGGCGTGACCGTCTGTTCATATCGTGTAACCCTAATCGCACGGTTGACATAACTCGCAACTCGATTGCGTTGTGGCTTCGTTCTGTCATCAATCTGGCGTACTGGTTTCGGGGGTTACCGGTAGCGGGGTCAAACCCGCACGAGATCAGGGCGCTAGCGGCAACATTTGCCCTACACTCGAATATCTCTGTTCGCAGAATATTACGAGGTTGTTACTGGCGTTCTGACTCGGTTTTTGCCAATCATTACCTCAAACAGGTCGCTGATGCCGTCGTGGAGAGTGTGCACCGTCTTGGCCCGCGGATCGCGGCGCAAGCGGGCACCTAAGGGGTGTGCCCAGCGCAATTCCGAACTCCTCAGGCGTCTGACCTTGCACGGTGGTCAATCTGGGTCGACTCCAATGTTCCCACTGCCGTGGGTACAGGAGTTGGGGTCCCGCAAACCAGCGCACTCACACCACAGGTGAGGGCGGCTTTTTGTGTGCTTTGTCCTTATTTGTATTTTGACAATTATGTCTTTAATTGTCTGTCGTGTATCCCAACCTTGTGATGCATGCTTACAAATACTGGAATTAGGTCACGCGCCTAATGCATACTTTAAGTAGGCTTGCTCTGGGATATACGGTCTGAAGGAAATTAATTTCCCTCTTTTCGACTGTTTAACCTGATCTAAGATTAAGCTCACGCGGATACAGTGTTCTCATCCGCTGCGGCGATGAAATACCTATCCAGTGGGGCCGTTTGGAGTCACCAATCGTTTTGGCAATGACGATTGAGCCTTACGGTATGCGCTTGACAGTGCTTTGGTATTCCTATAGGGTAACGCCTAGCTAGGTGCATGCGCATCGAGTGCTTCCGCCTTGGTGTTTACTTCCGCTGGTCGGAAGGAACGCTAGCAGTCAGGATTCGGGTTGTAGGTGCTCCCCACCGCCTACTGTGGTAGTCAGCCTCGGTATAACAGTGGTAACGTATTACTTAATGTAATTTGTAGAATTTTCCTATTCGGAATATTCTATAAGTAATACGTTACCACTGGGCTGCTGCCCGCCCGTCCGTCCCCCGAGCACTTGCTCTCGCAGGAGACAAGAGTGAAGGGTGTCACATGGCAGCTAGGTGGCTACGCACGTGCTGCATGAGGTAATTGAGATCTCTGTGGTAGATTTCGTATAGCAGCAGTTGTGGGAGACAACAGCCTCGGTATAACAGTGGTAACGTATTACTTATAGAATATTCCGAATAGGAAAATTCTACAAAATTTCACTGATGTGTGATATGTGTTTGTGTGCCAACTGCCAATCTTGGAAATGAACAAATAAGCATGGTTATGGATTCAAGAAACAACCCTACCCACACCGTCATAACCCCACCAACACACCCAATCCCACCTTGCCCCACCTCACTCAGTCCCACCCACACAGCCAATCCCACCTCACCCCACCTTGCTCCACCTCACCCCACCTTGCACCCCCTTGCCCCACATCACCCCATCTCTCCCCACCTCACCTGTTATTTTTGGCAATACAGTACATCATGTACAACTGCATATAGCTGGAATATTGCTGAGTGCGGCGTGAAACAACAAACAAACCAACCAATCATGTACAAGTTATCATGGACCAGTTTGCACAACCATTTCTTGCTTTAGGATTTTAGTTATAAATTACAAAACCATACATACGAATACAGTTCATGCATTGTCAGGGTTAATATTGCAATATATCGGTAGCCTGGTGGATAAAGCATTGGCTAGTCACGCCAAAGACCCGGGTTCGATTCCCCACATGGGTACAATGTGTGAAGCCCATTTTCCAGTGTCCCCCGCTGGAATGTTGCTGAAGCCATACTCACTCAACCCTTCAGCTGTGGTCAGATGTCAGTTTAATCACTGACTATTACATGAGCTGACCAGTATTTGAACTCTTGTAGTGAGCAGCGAGGTCGTACGTAGCTGTGATAACATGTTGGCCTTTTCTTCTTGATCTGGTTTCCTTACTCTAACAGGTGCACCAGATCCACACATGCCCGCTGCCGGTGTCCCTGTGCTTCTACCATCGACTGATCCAAGCCCTGCGCTACTACTGGGACCTCTTTCAGAAGGAGGACACAGGCCGATTTGTACACAGCTCAGGTAGGAACTCACCTCACTTGTTGGAGACTTCACAGCTTATAGGACACCTCTGTGGTCTAGAGCGTCCGCCCAGAGAGTGGAAAGTCTGGGTTCAGTCCCAGGCCGCACCATACTAAAAGACATTAAAAGATGGTACTTGTTGTTACCCTGCCTGGTGCTCGGCAATAAGGGGCTAAAACAAGGACTGGTCGGGTCGGAGTCAGTATACTGTCTCTGAGTTGGGTATTCATGTTAAACTGCGACATGGTATCTCAGTGGGCTAGCACTATAAATCGGCATCAGTCCAGACTAGTACAAGCAGCCACACATGCATGCATATCGCTATTTAAGTGCAATTATCTTTGACGCGACGTTAAACTCCATTTCACCTCACCTCATAGCTTATAGAAACAGACCTTGCGTGTTCAGGAACTTCATAGCTTATGTAGGAACACACCTCAGTTGTTGGATACTCCATAGCTCAGGTAGGAACTCACCTAACTTGCAGGGGAACTTCATAATAATAATAATGTGAATTACTTTCCATGATTTTATGCACATATTCAATAGGGTGGGGGATGTCTGCTACTTCGTCTTCTTGTTTGTCAATTGTTCAATGACATGATGCTAACAGTATACATGGTATATTTCCAGGTTCCTTTGTCCCGGTTCAGGAATTTTGGGTGGATACTCGGGAATATTATGATTTCCAGAGGTGCGGAGGTCTGATGTCACATCTCAACAGGACTCTGGGTGGTAGGTCATCGGCATCCTCTCCCATCTCTCAGATGTTCATCTTGTTTGACATCAACATGCATGATGCTGAAAGCATAGACTGTCTTGTAAATGTTTGACATCAACATGCTTGATGCTGAAAATATAGACTATCTTGTAAATGTTTGACATCAACATGCATGATGCTGAAAATATAGACTGTCTTGTAAATGTTTGACATCAACATTCTCGATGCTGAAAATGTAGACTGTCTTGTAAATGTTTGACATCAACATGCTCAATGCTGAAAATATAAACTGTCTTGTAAATGTTTGGTCTCAGGCGCTCTTATAAAGATTACTTGCAGATTGGTGTAGAATTTGGCCAGGGTGATCAATGTGGTGAAATAAAGAAAATAAGTATAGATACTTTGATGTAAAATATATTTTTTTGTGTATGGTGTTTTTATTTTCATGTTCTTCTTCAGCCGAGGTGAATAAAGCTCAGGGTATTTCCGTTTCTGATGATGGAAAAGTTGTTCGAACGGATAAGAAGTCCAAGGATTCAGCAGGTTAGTAGCCTCCAGTGGGAACATGAAGCAGGATGATCGTGTCTGTACAAAGCACTCTTTCTTTCAGATTTGGCTTTGTTTTGATGTTGTCTCACACCCATATTGGTTAATGTTTATATTTGTGATATTCTTGCCCAGAAATACTACTCCAGAACAACTAATATGCAACAACTTCTTCTTGAGCCTGACTAAGTTATTTACAAACTGCCATGATATGGCTGTGGCACTGCTGGGGGCATAAAAAAAACGCCTCATTGCACTTTGCAGAGTTGCGTCCCTTGGGCATGCATGAAAATTATGATCATGGGTACAATTCCCAGTCCGACTTCCGGTTCGCTCTCAAAATGTTTCTAGTTGTCAGCACCATACCTGTACTTGTGGGCTTCAGCAAAGTGGTAAACATCTTTCAGCTTTCCTCCCACATTAAGCTAACACACTGACATAACTGGAATACTGTTAAAAGCAGTGTTAAACCCTACTCACTGTAAACTTGCTGACTGTGCAAAACAACTTTCACCTACTTCCTGACTTGATGGACTTAAGTTTGTCGTTTGTTGCAGCTCAGAGTACTGAGGTGTACCCCGAGCCCGAGATGCCCAGTGGGAACTCCCTGATGAAACTATTGGACAGCCTCGTCATCCTGTACCACATAGCAGCCCACAAGCAGCTCGGCAAGGTAGGCCACTCAGTGGGAACAGTCTCACCTTGATGAGCTGTGTGAATCAGTTACTTGGTTCAGCAACCCATGTTGTAAGAGGGGATTAACGGGATCGGGTGGTCCGGCTTGCTGACTCGGTTGATGCATGTCATCGTGTCCCATTTTTGTAGATTGATGCTCATCGTGTCAATCACTATATTGTCTGGTCCAGATTTGATTATTTACAGACTGCTGTCATATAGCTGGAATACAAACAAACAAACAAACAAACAAACAAACAAACAAACAAACAAACAAACACACAAACAATCAATCAAATAAGGAACAGGATAGGAAGCGTGAGCCCAGGTGCAGGGTATGATGTTGCTGAGAATTGTAGTGTGTCACCAGGCATTGGTCTACCTGGCAATGTGTAGCTCTTTGTTTCCTGGGTTACGGGTCCACCTGGCAATGTTTAGCTCTTTGTTTCCTGAGTTATTGGACCACCTGCATATGAGTAGCTCTTTGTTTCCGGGGTCATTGGTCCACCTGACAATGTGTAGCACTGTCTTATCATGTTTTAAGCAATTGGTTGTATTTATCATTGTATCTTTCCATTTTAGATGTGTGCACTGAGGGACAACATGAGAGACTTCGTGTTTGCTCTGCAGGATACAGAAGAAAAAATCAAAAGGTGCTCCACCGAGGTATGTCGTCATTTTCAACATTTGTTGTTAGTTTCAACAGGGGCATTGGTGGCCCAGTGGTCTTAGATGCTACACTTTGCTGTGCAGAGTTGCTTCCCTTAGCTAGCAGTATCCACTGATTGTGAGTTTGAATCCTAGTTGATCATCCTTGTTGTAACTTTGGTGATGATCTATTGTCTGTCAGCACCATGTCAAAGTGGTAAAGATCTTTGTGGAAAGCTAACATGTCCTGACACATTTGAAATACTGAACTCATTCACGTACATCGCACAGTAAATGTCTACAAGCTGCCTTTCTCTCATATTAAGCTTACACCCTGTGAAGATCTGGGGTAGACTAGGTCTTCAGCAACCCATGCTTGCCGTAAAAGGCGACTACGGGATTGGGTGGTCAGACTCGCTGACTTGGTTGATGCATGTCATCGTTTCCCAATTGATGGATCGATGCTCATTTTATCAATCTATTATTTACGGACTGCTGTCATATAGCTGGAATATTGCTGAGTGCAGTGTTGTACAACAAACAAACAAACAAACAAACAAACAAACAACAAACAAAACATTAAGCTTACTTGCTATGATATAACTGATATAAGTAGATAAATCACATTGAAGTAAATACTTTATCACTTATCCCTGTCTTCATGTGCTGCATGTGCTTCATTTCTTGGGGCCATTGATGGCACAGTTGTCAATGCAACACAATTCACTGTGCAGAGTTGCATCCCTTGAGCACGCCACAATCCTGGTTCTCCCCGAATATATTTCTAGGGTTGTCAGCACCATACCTGTGCCCGTCTAAGACCTGCATGACTTTGGTCTTTCCTTCCACATTAAGCTGATCGGGGTGATATAACTAGAATACTGTTCTTAGTGGAATTAACTCACTGACTCACTTACCGGGGCCTGGCGTGTATCAATATATTATCACAATTAACCTTGTCGAGATTATTTCTTATTCTCATCAGTAGAGCTACAGCCTTGAGACTAGAGACACCAGCGCCAACTCATATTGCTTTGCAACAGGGGTCCAGAAACCGTCATATGCGCCGGACATGTCCGATTAGGAATCTCAAATGTCCATTTTAAAATATTGCTTACCGGACATTTTAAAAAGTATTGTCCGGACATTCTTAAATTTGGACCGGACATGATCAACAGTTAGGACTGAGCAGTTTCTGTCTGCAGTTGCAACACAATGAAGATTAACTACACTGACAAGCTTTGTTTGTTTTGATTGCTGTAAATACATCGTACCTACATGATAGTCCAATCGGTCAATCACTGTAATAGGCAATAAACTGAGTTGACACTGATTAATCGAGGATTAATTACTGAGAACATCTTGTTAATTTGAGTGAAAGGTGTTTACAACTGTACATTAATACCTTGCATCATCGTTGTACCTCATTATCCTCACAATGCTACGATACGTAACCTCAGACAAGAAGCGAAAGCGTGACGACAGTCAGTCGACCGATGCAGATCAGTCAAGCGGATCTGCCAAACCCTCAAAGTCTGAACGATCATTTTGTAAGTCGTGGCTAACGACTTTCACTTGGTTGACATACAATGAGGATTTGCAGATTTTATTGTTTTCAGTAGTTAGTCGTACATTGAATTTTGATTGACCGCCATTTTGCTTTCTCGGACGATCGATATCCAATTTTTTTATGGTCAATAATTAAGTACAGATAAAAAAAGTATTCAAATAACTATCAACGATATTTTAGTATTTGTGATTAAATTATCTGTCTTGTTTTTAAAAAAATCTTTAGTTTAAAAAAACACTTTTCCCGTGAGGTCATGTGATAACCAAATATGGGATAATAGTCTCGATCCAAATGTTACAATGCGTACACTTGAGCAGACTCATGAATATAACTCATGAATATTAATTAGACCGTTCACTACGTTAACAGATCGTTATTATAACAGAAACAAACGTATGTTTTCCATGTAAATCTAAAATGATATTATTTGTTATTAATTGTCCGGTGAATTAAACAATTTAAATTGAAACAATTCATAATTCATCATATTATGAATACGTAAACTTGTAATGTGTGTGAAAAGTCGTACTAAAATACGCTATTTGAAGGGGGCGTGGCCTAAATGCAAATGTCCAATTGGGATTTTAAATTTTCCGGACCCCTGCTTTGCAACCATGTGAAAATTATTATTACCTCAATTATTTCATGTTGTTTTCTCAATATAGACGACTGACATCCGTGATGATCTGGAACAGGCCAAAAAGGTTTTCCTCGAGAAGATCACAGAACAGTCTCGCCAGATGGGTTGGGTTATTGCTGTTATATACTCTAAGGTAGGATATGGAGCAACACTGTTACTTGTGTCAGTGGTGGTGCTGTTATAAACCTGCATCAAGTGAGCAAATTGTTTTGATGTGACATGTCAGTTAAATAAGCGGGGATCAGAGACCTTTGAAAAATGGACTGGAGGAACATGCTGTACTTGCAGCGAAAGCTAGCCATGCAGATATAAGTATAACACTACAGAAAGAAGCCCCTTCCTATGTCACAATAAAGAGGTGGGCAGCGGAGTTTACGCATCTCCCAGAAGGCCAGACAATAAATTGAGGATGTTATGCTGTATTTTTTAGAAGTTATGGAATGAATGGGATGAGAAGCTGAGAAAAGGTATGCTCTTCCATCCGACCGATGGGCCATTGAACGTATAAGTCATTGCCATGGCTACTGTTCACGGTGTGGCTTTGAACTCCTTAAGCACCCCCTGTTTTCTCCAGAACTGGCTCCGTCAGACTTCCATCTGTTCCCAAACATGACGAAATCTTAAGCCCAAACCCATTTCGACTTGAATGATAAGGTCATAGCAGCTTTGTAGAACCTTCTTAGGACAGCCGAGAGGAGGACTTGTGGGGCGGTCCGGTGGTTAAAGCGTTAGTTTGTTCCTTTCCCGACATGGGTACAATTTGTTAAGCCCATTTCTGATGTCCCCCACCTTGATATTGCTGGAATATTGCCAAAAGCGGCGTAAAACCATATTCACTCACTCACTCTACAAGATTGTGATCAAATCCCACATTTGCAAAGTGTATCAATGTTGAAGGGGATTATTTTGAAAGAAAAGGATAATTTTCATGTCTGTAGTCAAGTCTTTCTATGTGAAGCTTGGAACCTTTCAATCAACCCTTGTTCTAAAATCATCCTCTTTCCTCCATCATCCAGTCGAAGCAGAACGACATAGCGTGGATGCTGCGGGTGATCCTGACAACAGTAGAGAAGGCTTCCAAGTACAAGCAGCTGTTCCAGTTTGTCCCCGAGCTGTACATAGAGAGCTGCATCAACAGCTACAACGCCCTCAAGAACTACCTGCACCCAACAACTAAGTGTGATCAGATTGAAGGTGAGTCATCCTGCAACAGAGAGGAAGGAATCCTCTTGCCTCACAGGGGCGGTCGGGTAGCCTAGTGGTTAAAGCGTTCGCTCGTCATGCCGAAGACCCGGGATCGATTCCCGACATGGGTACAATGTGTGAAGCCAATTTCTGGTGTCCCCTGCCGTGATATTGCTGGAATATTGCTAAAAGCGGCTTAAAACCATACTCACCCACTCACTCTTGCCTCACAAGTCTGGGACTTTATGGTAGCAGAGTCCTGTATGGTTCTTAATATGTCCCTACATTCATGTTTCTTGTTTGTTTGTTGTTTAGTGCCACACTCATCAATATTCCAGCCATATGACGGCGGTCTGTAAATAATCGAGTCTGGACAAGACAATCCAGTGATTGACATCATGAACATCGATCCATGCAATTGGGTTACGATGACATGCATCAACCAAGTCAGCGGGGCTGACCACCTGATCCCGTTAGTCCCCTCTTACGACAAGCATAGTCCCCGGTTACGGCAAGCATTGGTTGCTGAAGACCTATTCTACCCCTGATCTCATTGGTCCCAACATTCATGTGTGTCTAATGCATGACCTAGATGATTGTGTGTCATGTTACTCCAGTCGTGAGGATTGGTGCACTGCTATTAGCCACTGTGTGAAGGTCTGGGTTAGGTCTAGTAACCCATACTTGTGGAGGTGACTAATGTCATCGAGTGTCACATTGGTGTAGGTCAATGCTCAATGTCAGTCACTGGATTGACTTGTCCAGACTCAATTATTTACAGACTGCCGTCATACAGTTAAACTAACCTGCCATTAACCACTGGTCTGTCGGGCCCAGACCTGAATACCTGCAGGCTACTAAGATGTATCTGAAATATCCTGATCACAACCTCTGAAACAACACCCTCACTCAGGAACAAAAAGAATGATTTTGACAAGAAATAAAAACTTGCCAAAACTTGTTTCTGGGAGACTTTTAAAGTAGATGACAGTCTTACCTTAAGGACTATCATTAGCGGAGTTGACACTCTGAAGAATTAGGCTTTGGACCAGCAGCTGCAATCACAAACTGATCCATAATATTGTTCCCCACTTCTGTGTGTGTGCAGTGTTAATGCAGTAACATCCGTCTGTACCTGGGTGAGGGGAGGTATCCTCATGGTCACAGCATCTGCTGATTACAAGACCTGGTTCAAATCCACAGGGTACAGTTTATGAAGCCCAGTTCCGGTGTGGCCCTGCCTGACATTGATGTAATTTTGCTAAAAGTGGCTATAAAGCATACACACTGACATGGGGTGGACTTGATCTGTTTCACCGCCCAGATGTCAGGTGATGAAGTTGTGAAGATGTTGATGTAAATGCCATGTGTCTTGTTCCAGGTTATGATGAACTTCTAGTCAAGTATGCCAACTTCCTGACGAGCCACTTTGCTGATTCCAGGATTGTCAGCAACGGTAGGTAGTGATTCTAAACATTGATGCTACTCATCACAATGAATATGAATAATAAAAAGGCTACTTCTATAGCGCAAAATTCCACATCACTGAGGGACATGCTCAATGTGCAGTATAAGATTAATTAGTGAATGTAGGCAATAGCAGATGATGTTGATCATGATCGTCCAGTAATAACACAAAAAAACATTTCCATTCTCCACATCAGCTCAGAACAGAAAGATTAAGCTTTTCATTTGGTTTTGGACAAAGAAGGGATACACATTTAGTCACATGAGTAAGGGTCTCCCCACACTAGACATCCTGAAGTCATTGCCAGAGAAAGTGGTTCAATATGGATTAAAACGGAATGGAACAGAACGGAATGGAATGGAACGGTACCAAACTAAACCGAACCGAACCGAACCAAAATGAAACGAAACGGACTGGACCAGACCGAAACATGATACATAACATGATACAGGGACTAGATAGATACAGAAATGTATGTAGCCTAGTTTGAAAGCTAAGGATGAATCAAGTAATGTGATGGTATGGAATGGTTGGCTGGTTGATGATGATGGTGTGTGTTTGTGTTTCAGACCTGAGGGACAACCTGGTACAGGCGCTGGCCTGCTTCACCTGCTACCCCCGCACCCTGCAGGTGCTGGAGGCTCTACCATGGGAAAGGTGTGTGTCTGTCTTGCTGTATTATCTTGTGGGGGAGGTGTGGTAGCCTAGTGGTTAAAGTGGTTAAATTTCCCACATGGGCAAAATTTGTAAAGCCCATTTCTGGTGTCTCCCGCTGTGATATTGCTGGAATATTGTAAAAGTGGCGTAAAACCATATTCACTCACTCACTATATTATCTGGGGCACTTAGGGACCAGTAAACTGCCCATTTGTATCCCTTAGGCATGCCTGAAACTCATTTTTTGCTCTAATTATGTTTCTTGGTTTGTCAGCACCATGCTGTCACCACTTTGGGCTTTCTTCACACATCAAGCTGACATGCTGATACTGAACTTTGATACTTTTTTAAGTAGTGTTAATCCAAACTCACTCATGTGTTGTATACCAGTTACAGTGTTCTCTACAGGCTTAGCATGAAGGAGTTAATTCATCTGTTCAAAATCTCATCTTGTGAAATATTAAATTGGTGTTAACTGTGTTGACCACATCTTCCCGGGGCAAGAGAGTTAACTTTAAATGTCCAGTTTCCACCCTTGCCTAACTAGGCTGGAATTACTGGGCTCGATCGTAGCGCCACCAGTGGCTATTACGAGTTAAGTCCCTTCTAAGCCTCTCCTATGGACCAATCCGATTCCACCCCTCGTATCACTTGCATTTGCTTCAAACAAAATGGCGGCGCCCAGTCAAGATGATCTGATCGATAATCAACATCTATATTGTGATAAAATGGGTCTTACATCGTGAAGTGCATCAAATCACTTGAGCACCTTGATTAAAATCATGAAAAGATTTGGAAAATATCTGCTGATAACGAGTTGGCGGTGCATAGACTCGTTAGTCCAGCCAAAATGTAACTCCATAATACCAGACTAGTTTGGCAAGGGTGGAAACTGGACTTTTATGGTCAGTTAACTCTCTTGCCTCGTGAAGATGTGTTGACCATGAAGACCTGTAAGTTTTAGTGAAAAGAATAATTAAACATTTCTTGTGTCTCAGGAGTAGAAGACCTTACATATAAAACAGTATATTCTGCTTCCGGATATCCAAGGAATATCTGGCTGGCACATGTTTTACAGCTAACATAGACATGATGCCATCCCTAACCAATTATTTAGAGAACCATCTTTTGCCTTCCTGATGACTTAATGACAAACTGGTAAATTCCTTACAAAGAAAGTGTTATCCCAAACATAACAGTTGTTACATTTGACCACTTTCTAAATGACATTGTGTGTTCATAGCTTTTCAGTCATGGGAGCCGTGCCAATTTACACTTGTCAGAGGGGTACACAAAGTACGCGATCTAGACTACCAGTTGTCAGACTTTTATTGGAAAGTCGAGGCCTCGTTGGCTGAGTGGGTTAGATCACTGTCTTTGTGTGCTGGCGATTAGGTGCCTCACTCCGGCAGTGTGGGTTCGAATCCTGGATGGGACTTAACCCAGAAAAGTACTAGAATCTGAACTTTTCAAAGAAAGTGTTATCCCAAATGTAACATTTGTTACATTATGTCTTTGTTTTGTTCTTTAGGAAGGCATCTGTTATCAAGTCACTTATAGCCCCTTATGAGAACAGATCCTGGGCACACACAAACTGGATCTTGGTCAGATTGTGGAAGGTTAGACGCTTCACTTCAATTGTTCGTTTCTATGTTTCTTAGCTGAGGTTAAAAGAAAATGTCACCATGAAGATTTTCCTGTTATATGTGTGTAAGTAATGTGTCATTAAAGCCACTACTGAAGATGAAAGTGTAATCTGTGTAGTGGTAGTTGAGGTGTATGTTTGCTATAGTAAGGTTTAATTAGTTCTAATGTTTTTATCTCACATGATGCATGGTGACAATTTGTTTAAACTTTCATCTCATCTTCTCTTTCCAGGGTTGTGGATTTGCATTTCGATATCGCTTCTTGCCAAATTTGGTGCCTTCTAAGGTCCAACCCACAGAGTTCAGCTTTGTCAGTCTTCAGAGTGAGTACTGAGTGATTATATGTAAAACTTAGTAAAACCATATTGGTACAGATAAAAAAAATGATATTTATTACAATTTAATAACTCTTATTAGTAAAAAATTATTTCCGAATGATGCTGAAATGTTGTCATCGATAGCATTTGTGAACTTGTAAAACGAACCTATGCTTGTAGAGCCGTGCCCCTCGTACGTGTATCAGTCTATGCTTGTGTCCTTGTAGAGCCGTGCCCCTTGTACGTGTTTCAGTCTATACTTGTAGAGTCGTGCCCCTCGTACATGTATCAGTCTATACTTGTGTCCTTGTATAGCCGTGCCCCTCGTACGTGTATCAGTCTATACTTGTGTCCTTGTAGAGCCGTGCCCCTCGTACATGTATCAGTCTATACTTGTGTCCTTGTAGAACCGTGCCCCTCGTACGTGTATCAGTCTATACTTGTGTCCTTGTAGAGCCGTGCCCCTCGTACATGTATCAGTCTATACTTGTCCTTGTAGAGCCGTGCCCCTCGTACATGTATCAGTCTATACTTGTGTCCTTGTAGAGCCATGCCCCTCGTATGTGTATCAGTCTATACTTGTGTCCTTGTAGAGCCGTGCCCCTCGTACATGTATCAGTCTATACTTGTGTCCTTGTAGAGCTGTGCCCCTCGTACATGTATCAGTCTATACTTGTGTCCTTGTAGAGCCGTGCCCCTCGTATGTGTATCAGTCTATACTTGTGTCCTTGTAGAGCCGTGCCCCTCGTACATGTATCAGTCTCTACTTGTGTCCTTGTAGAGCCGTGCCCCTCGTACATGTATCAGTCTCTACTTGTGTCCTTGTAGAGCCGTGCCCCTCGTACGTGTGTCAGTCTATACTTGTGTCCTTGTAGAGCCTTGCCCCTCGTACATGTATCAGTCTATACTTGTGTCCTGGTAGAGCCGTGCCCATCGTACATGTATCAGTCTATACTTGTGTCCTTGTAGAGCCGTGCCCCTCGTACATGTATCAGTCTATACTTGTAGAGCCGTGCCCCTCGTACATGTATCAGTCTATACTTGTAGAGCTGTGCCCCTCGTACATGTATCAGTCTATACTTGTAGAGCCGTGTCCCTCATACGTGTATCAGTCTATACTTGTGTCCTTGTAGAGCCGTGCCCCTCGTACATGTATCAGTCTATACTTGTAAAGCCGTGCCCCTCGTACATGTATCAGTCTATACTTGTAGAGCTGTGCCCCTCGTACATGTTATCAGTCTATACTTGTAGAGCCGTGCCCCTCGTACATGTATCAGTCTATACTTGTAGAGCCGTGCCCCTCATACGTGTATCAGTCTATACTTGTGGAGCCGTGCCCCTCATACGTGTATCAGTCTATACTTGTGGAGCCGTGCCCCTCATACATGTATCAGTCTATACTTGTAGAGCCGTGCCCCTCATACATGTATCAGTCTATACTTGTGGAGCCGTGTCCCTCATACGTGTATCAGTCTATACTTGTGTCCTTGTAGAGCCGTGCCCCTCGTACATGTATCAGTCTATACTTGTGTCCTTGTAGAGCTGTGCCCCTCGTACGTGTATCAGTCTATACTTGTGTCCTTGTAGAGCCGTGCCCCTCGTACATGTATCAGTCTATACTTGTGTCCTTGTAGAGCCGTGCCCCTCGTACATGTATCAGTCTATACTTGTGTCCTTGTAGAGCTGTGCCCCTCGTACGTGTATCAGTCTATACTTGTGTCCTTGTAGAGCCGTGCCCCTCGTACATGTATCAGTCTATACTTGTGTCCTTGTAGAGCCATGCCCCTCGTACATGTATCAGTCTATACTTGTGTCCTTGTAGAGCCGTGCCCCTCGTACGTGTATCAGTCTATACTTGTGTCCTTGTAGAGCCGTGCCCCTCGTACATGTATCAGTCTATACTTGTGTCCTTGTAGAGCTGTGCCCCTCGTACATGTATCAGTCTATACTTGTAGAGCTGTGCCCCTCGTACATGTATCAGTCTATACTTGTAGAGCTGTGCCCCTCGTACATGTTATCAGTCTATACTTGTAGAGCTGTGCCCCTCGTACATGTTATCAGTCTATACTTGTAGAGCCGTGCCCCTCGTACATGTATCAGTCTATACTTGTAGAGCCGTGCCCCTCATACGTGTATCAGTCTATACTTGTGGAGCCGTGCCCCTCATACGTGTATCAGTCTATACTTGTGGAGCCGTGCCCCTCATACATGTATCAGTCTATACTTGTAGAGCCGTGCCCCTCATACATGTATCAGTCTATACTTGTGGAGCCGTGTCCCTCATACGTGTATCAGTCTATACTTGTGTCCTTGTAGAGCCGTGCCCCTCGTACATGTATCAGTCTATACTTGTGTCCTTGTAGAGCTGTGCCCCTCGTACGTGTATCAGTCTATACTTGTGTCCTTGTAGAGCCGTGCCCCTCGTACATGTATCAGTCTATACTTGTGTCCTTGTAGAGCCGTGCCCCTCGTACATGTATCAGTCTATACTTGTGGAGCCGTGTCCCTCATACGTGTATCAGTCTATACTTGTGTCCTTGTAGAGCCGTGCCCCTCGTACATGTATCAGTCTATACTTGTGTCCTTGTAGAGCTGTGCCCCTCGTACGTGTATCAGTCTATACTTATGTCCTTGTAGAGCCGTGCCCCTCGTACATGTATCAGTCTATACTTGTGTCCTTGTAGAGCCATGCCCCTCGTACATGTATCAGTCTATACTTGTGTCCTTGTAGAGCCGTGCCCCTCGTACGTGTATCAGTCTATACTTGTGTCCTTGTAGAGCCGTGCCCCTCGTACATGTATCAGTCTATACTTGTGTCCTTGTAGAGCTGTGCCCCTCGTACATGTATCAGTCTATACTTGTAGAGCTGTGCCCCTCGTACATGTATCAGTCTATACTTGTAGAGCTGTGCCCCTCGTACATGTATCAGTCTATACTTGTGTCCTTGTAGAGCCGTGCCCCTCGTACATGTATCAGTCTATACTTGTGTCCTTGTAGAGCCGTGCCCCTCGTACATGTATCAGTCTATACTTGTGTCCTTGTAGAGCCGTGCCCCTCGTACATGTATCAGTCTATACTTGTGTCCTTGTAGAGCCGTGCCCCTCGTACGTGTATCAGTCTATACTTGTGTCCTTGTAGAGCCGTGCCCCTCGTACGTGTATCAGTCTATACTTGTGTCCTTGTAGAGCCGTGCCCCTCGTACGTGTATCAGTCTATACTTGTGTCCTTGTAGAGCTGTGTCCCTCGTACATGTGTCAGTCTATACTTGTGTCCTTGTAGAGCTGTGCCCCTCGTACGTGTGTCAGTCTATACTTGTGTCCTTGTAGAGCCGTGCCCCTCGTACATGTATCAGTCTATACTTGTGTCCTGGTAGAGCCGTGCCCATCGTACGTGTATCAGTCTATACTTGTGTCCTTGTAGAGCCGTGCCCCTCGTACATGTATCAGTCTATACTTGTAGAGCCGTGCCCCTCGTACATGTATCAGTCTATACTTGTAGAGCCGTGTCCCTCATACGTGTATCAGTCTATACTTGTGTCCTTGTAGAGCCGTGCCCCTCGTACATGTATCAGTCTATACTTGTAAAGCCGTGCCCCTCGTACATGTATCAGTCTATACTTGTAGAGCTGTGCCCCTCGTACATGTATCAGTCTATACTTGTAGAGCCGTGCCCCTCGTACATGTATCAGTCTATACTTGTAGAGCCGTGCCCCTCATACGTGTATCAGTCTATACTTGTGGAGCCGTGCCCCTCATACGTGTATCAGTCTAAACTTGTGGAGCCGTGCCCCTCATACATGTATCAGTCTATACTTGTAGAGCCGTGCCCCTCGTACGTGTATCAGTCTATACTTGTGTCCTTGTAGAGCCGTGCCCCTCGTACGTGTATCAGTCTATACTTGTGTCCTTGTAGAGCTGTGCCCCTCGTACATGTATCAGTCTATACTTGTGTCCTTGTAGAGCTGTGCCCCTCGTACGTGTATAAGTCTATGCTTGTGTCCTTGTAGAGCCGTGCCCCTCGTACGTGTATCAGTCTATACTTGTGTCCTTGTAGAGCTGTGCCCCTCGTACGTGTATCAGTCTATACTTGTGTCCTTGTAGAGGTGTGCCCCTCGTACGTGTATCAGTCTATACTTGTGTCCTTGTAGAGCCATGCCCCTCGTACATGTATCAGTCTATATTTGTAGAGCTGTGCCCCTCGTACATGTATCAGTCTATACTTGTGTCCTTGTAGAGCCGTGCCCCTCGTACATGTATCAGTCTATACTTGTAGAGCCGTGCCCCTCGTACATGTATCAGTCTTTACTTGTAGAGCTGTGCCCCTCGTACATGTGTCAGTCTTTACTTGTGTCCTTGTAGAGCTGTGCCCCTCGTACGTGTATCAGTCTATACTTGTGTCCTTGTAGAGCCGTGCCCCTCGTACATGTATCAGTCTATACTTGTGTCCTTGTAGAGCCGTGCCCCTCGTACATGTATCAGTCTATACTTGTGTCCTTGTAGAGCCGTGCCCCTCGTACGTGTATCAGTCTATACTTGTGTCCTTGTAGAGCCGTGCCCCTCGTACATGTATCAGTCTATACTTGTGTCCTTGTAGAGCTGTGCCCCTCGTACATGTATCAGTCTATACTTGTAGAGCTGTGCCCCTCGTACATGTATCAGTCTATACTTGTAGAGCTGTGCCCCTCGTACATGTATCAGTCTATACTTGTGTCCTTGTAGAGCCGTGCCCCTCGTACATGTATCAGTCTATACTTGTGTCCTTGTAGAGCCGTGCCCCTCGTACATGTATCAGTCTATACTTGTGTCCTTGTAGAGCCGTGCCCCTCGTACATGTATCAGTCTATACTTGTGTCCTTGTAGAGCCGTGCCCCTCGTACGTGTATCAGTCTATACTTGTGTCCTTGTAGAGCCGTGCCCCTCGTACGTGTATCAGTCTATACTTGTGTCCTTGTAGAGCCGTGCCCCTCGTACATGTATCAGTCTATACTTGTGTCCTGGTAGAGCCGTGCCCATCGTACGTGTATCAGTCTATACTTGTGTCCTTGTAGAGCCGTGCCCCTCGTACATGTATCAGTCTATACTTGTAGAGCCGTGCCCCTCGTACATGTATCAGTCTATAGTTGTAGAGCTGTGCCCCTCGTACATGTATCAGTCTATACTTGTAGAGCCGTGTCCCTCATATGTGTATCAGTCTATACTTGTGTCCTTGTAGAGCCGTGCCCCTCGTACATGTATCAGTCTATACTTGTAAAGCCGTGCCCCTCGTACATGTATCAGTCTATACTTGTAGAGCTGTGCCCCTCGTACATGTATCAGTCTATACTTGTAGAGCCGTGCCCCTCGTACATGTATCAGTCTATACTTGTAGAGCCGTGCCCCTCATACGTGTATCAGTCTATACTTGTGGAGCCGTGCCCATCATACGTGTATCAGTCTATACTTGTGGAGCCGTGCCCCTCATACATGTATCAGTCTATACTTGTAGAGCCGTGCCCCTCGTACGTGTATCAGTCTATACTTGTGTCCTTGTAGAGCCGTGCCCCTCGTACGTGTATCAGTCTATACTTGTGTCCTTGTAGAGCTGTGCCCCTCGTACATGTATCAGTCTATACTTGTGTCCTTGTAGAGCTGTGCCCCTCGTACGTGTATAAGTCTATGCTTGTGTCCTTGTAGAGCTGTGCCCCTCGTACGTGTATAAGTCTATGCTTGTGTCCTTGTAGAGCCGTGCCCCTCGTACATGTATCAGTCTATACTTGTGTCCTGGTAGAGCTGTGCCCCTCTTACATGTATCAGTCTATACTTGTGTCCTGGTAGAGCCGTGCCCCTCGTACATGTATCAGTCTATACTTGTGTCCTTGAAGAGCCGTGCCCCTCGTACGTGTATCAGTCTATACTTGTGTCCTTGTAGAGCTGTGCCCCTCGTACATGTGTCAGTCTATACTTGTGTCCTTGAAGAGCCGTGCCCCGCGTACGTGTGTCAGTCTATACTTGTGTCCTTGTGGAGCCGTGCCCCTCGTACATGTATCTGTCTATGCTTGTGGAGCCGTGCACCTCATACGTGTATCAGTCTATACTTGTGTCCTTGTAGAGCTGTGCCCCTCGTACGTGTGTCAGTCTATACTTGTGTCCTTGTAGAGCTGTGCCCCTCGTACGTGTATCAGTCTATACTTGTAGAGCCGTGCCCCTCGTACGTGTGTCAGTCTATACTTGTGTCCTGGTAGAGCCGTGCCCCTCGTACGTGTATCAGTCTATACTTGTGTCCTGGTAGAGCCGTGCCCCTCTTACGTGTATCAGTCTATACTTGTGTCCTGGTAGAGCCGTGCCCCTCGTACATGTATCAGTCTATACTTGTGTCCTTGAAGAGCCGTGCCCCTCGTACGTGTATCGGTCTATACTTGTGTCCTTGTAGAGCTGTGCCCCTCGTACATGTGTCAGTCTATACTTGTGTCCTTGAAGAGCCGTGCCCCGCGTACGTGTGTCAGTCTATACTTGTGTCCTTGTGGAGCCGTGCCCCTCGTACATATATCTGTCTATGCTTGTGGAGCCGTGCACCTCATACGTGTATCAGTCTATACTTGTGTCCTTGTAGAGCTGTGCCCCTCGTACGTGTGTCAGTCTATGCTTGTGTCCTTGTAGAGCCGTGCCCCTCGTATGTGTATCAGTCTATACTTGTGTCCTTGTAGAGCTGTGCCCCTCGTACATGTATCAGTCTATACTTGTGTCCTTGTAGAGCCGTGCCCCTCGTACATGTATCAGTCTATACTTGTGTCCTTGTAGAGCTGTGTCCCTCGTACATGTGTCAGTCTATACTTGTGTCCTTGTAGAGCCGTGCCCCTCGTACATGTATCAGTCTATACTTGTGTCCTTGTAGAGCCGTGCCCCTCGTACATGTATAAGTCTATACTTGTGTCCTTGTAGAGCCGTGCCCCTCGTACATGTATCAGTCTATACTTGTAGAGCCGTGCCCCTCGTACATGTATCAGTCTATACTTGTAGAGCTGTGCCCCTCGTACATGTATCAGTCTATACTTGTAGAGCCGTGCCCCTCGTACATGTATCAGTCTTCAATGTGTCCTTGTAGAGTCATGCCCCTCGTACGTGTATCTGTCTATGCTTGTGGAGCCGTGCACCTCATACGTGTATCAGTCTATACTTGTGTCCTTGTAGAGCTGTGCCCCTCGTACGTGTGTCAGTCTATGCTTGTGTCCTTGTAGAGCCATGCCCCCTGTACGTGTATCAGTCTATACTTGTGTCCTGGTAGAGCCATGCCCCCCGTACATGTATCAGTCTATACTTGTAGAGCCGTGCCCCTCGTACGTGTATCAATCTCTACTTGTGTCCTTGTAGAGCCGTGCCCCTCGTACGTGTATCAGTCCATCCTGGCCAAGATACTGCTGGATGAGGAGGCCATGTCCACCCGGTTCCTTGACACTCTGATGAACCAACTCAACTGGTCCTTCTCCGAGTTCGTGGGCATCATGCAGGAGGTGAGACTGTCACTAATGCATATTTTGGCCAATGGAATTCGTCATCTAAGTGAACTACTGATTATCACATTAAACTTTGGATACGCGTTTCTGTAACTGCTAGTGAATGTGAGGTATTTGTTTTTGATATTGGTAATTATTTAATTAATTAGTCATAAAATACCAGGACATTGTTTTTTTCCCTCAGATTAACCAGTTGGTATCACACACAGAACACATGTTCCTTGAAGGGCGACAGCTGAAGATCTGTGCAGCGTGTTTCGAGATCTCCGTGTGTCTACTCAGGGTTCTGGAGATGGTGGTGTCCATAGCTTCGCAGCTGTTTACAGACTGGTCACGGCCTTCTGCCGAACTCTTCCTCAAGAGAATCATGCAGGTAACCATAGACTTAGCGACACACAGAGCTAGTCTCTTCCCTCGTGGTAAGGTGTAGGTCACGGCCTTCTGCTGAACTCTTCCTGAAGAGAATCATGCAGGTAACCATAGACTTAGTGACACACAGAGCTAGTCTCTTCCCTCGTGGTAAGCTGTAGGTCACGGCCTTCTGCTGAACTCTTCCTCAAGAGATTCATGCAGGTAACCATAGACTTAGTGACACACAGAGCTAGTCTCTTCCCTCGTGGTAAGGTGTAGGTCACGGCCTTCTGCTGAACTCTTCCTGAAGAGAATCATGCAGGTAACAATAGGCTTAGTGACACACAGAGCTAGTCTCTTCCCTCGTGGTAAGGTGTAGGTCACGGCCTTCTGCTGAACTCTTCCTGAAGAGAATCATGCAGGTAACAATAGGCTTAGTGACACACAGAGCTAGTCTGTTCCCCTGTGGTATGGTGTAGGTCACAGCCTTTTGCCGAACTCTTTCTCAAGAGAATCATGCAGGTAACAATAGGCTTAGTGCAACACAGAACTAGTCTCTTCCCTTGTGGTAACGTGTAGGTCTGCATCTGTTCTTGGATGATTTGATGTCTTCAAGTTTCTCAACAAGTGTGTTGGGTGGTCAGGTAGCCTAGTGGTTAAAGCATTCACTCATCACCCCGAAGACCCAGGTTCGATTCCTGACATGGGCACAATGTGTGAAGCCCATTTCTGGTGTCCCCCGCCGTGATATTTCTGGAATATTGCTGGAATATACACTCACTCACTCACTCAACAGTGTGTCAAAGTTAGCATGAGTATCAAGGTGTCTTTGTCTTCATCCTTATGTTAAAAGATAAAGATTTACTGGCTGAGATACTGGCTGAAACCTGGTGCCATGTTAAATAGTAATTCACTCACTTAAAGCCAACTTTACCCTTTTTTTAAAATGGATGTTTTAGCTTTGAGATATTTATTTATGTTATTTTACCTCTCTAGTTACTAAGTCAGGTGATGAGCAGAATCACATCCAAGAATGGTGCTTTTGAAAAGCTGGTGTCACTACCACTGCCAGGTGAGTTGACCAGACACACTCTTAGTAAATCTGAAAAAAGTGCCAATTAGGCTTAAAAAAATAAAAGAATTGGTTCTCAGGCAATGGTTTTTGAAAATATAGTGCGGGCGGGCGGGCGGGCGGGCGGGCGGGCGGCGTCTTTTTTGCTGTTTTTTGTTTTTTGGTTGTGCAAATAAGTATGTGACCAAATAAACAGTTGTGTACAATCAACCTGGGAAAGGACCTCCTTACATAAATGTATTCCTTGATGACTAAAATACTGGAAACCATATTTGACTAGCATTGGAATATTTAAGGAATATTTTTGTTTTTTCAAAAAATGGAAATAAAAACGAAACATGATGATGCGGACGGTGCCTGAGAACCAAGACTATTATTTTTTAGCCTTGTTTATGCATACTTAGCATCATGGTCTTTGTCCAGTGATATGTAATATTCCTCACCAGATGTTGAAACACAGCCTCAGGATTGAGGTAAATGTTGATGATTAGCATGGTAACATCTTTAAAGGGCAAGTTCACACGGAAATTAACCTATTTTTCTTGTACTTTTTCCACATTAAAAGTGTTAACATAGAAGTGTCATAGACAAAAATATTAAAATATCACAATTAATTAACATATTTTTCGCATTAAAACGATTTATATTTTTCACATTTACCAAGTGTTCTATTTCCACAACAAAAACACCATGGCTTATGCCCCTTGCAATATGACGTCATTGGTTCCAATTGATAATCATTATGACGTCATCATGCTTTGTTAGAGCCGCTTCACGTGGTGTAGGTCCAGGTGTGTGATTCTAGCGTCTCAGATGCCAGCCAGCATAGTGTTATGCTGAGTCACCACTGCGCCGGAGTGTGTCGTAGGCCATGTTGTTTTACCGCAAACTGGTACTTGATATCTTTTGCGTTGAGAATAGACAGGGACCCAGTTGAATTGGCACCAATTACGTCATAATCTAAGGGGGATAACTCAGGCCTGTTTAGCTCGAAAAACGAAGGCCTCATAACGGCATATCATTTTCACACTATTGTGAGCTTCCTACGTTCACTGTGAAAAAAATGAGTGTATATTTTCAAACACAGATACTAATTAATTCTAAAATTGCGTTTTGTTTAGAAAAAGAAAGAAAGTGATTTTTGCGTGTACACTTCCCCTTTAAGTGGGATTTAGTGACTGGTATGATGAACAAGGGAGATAACTCTATGGATAGTTAGTCTACTTATTTATGCACAACTTCTTCACAATTTTGTATATCACTTGCTTGATAATGATGAAATATCTACACCGAAACGTCACATTCATTGTAATAAAGAAGTTGTATATCCATAGCGCTATGTCCCTTGTTCAATAAGCATGGTGTTGATACTGTGTTTGACTTGTTTGTTGATGTGTTGTCATCCTGCTTGGTCAGGTCTGGACAGTGTGACCTACTTCCCGGTGCTCACAGTGGCAGTAGGCATCCTCATCAAACTGCTGATTGACACACAAGGAGAGAGGTATGTGCATCATGTGTAGGGTTGTGTAGTTCCCAAAGCATTGTCGTACTATATAAGTAAGTGAGTGAGTATGGTTTTATGCCGCTTTTAGCAATATTCCAGCAATATCACTTCGGGGGACACCAGAAATGGGCTTAACACTTTGTACCCACGTCGGGAATCGAACCAGGGTCTTCGGCATGACGAGCGAACGTTTTAACCACTAGGCTACCTGACCGCCCTGTGTGCTATATAAAGCGATATAGGTATCTGTATTGTGATTGATTTATTATATACTTAAGCGTAAAAGACTGAGTTTTCCGAAGTTGAGAAAAGTGAAATTTTCATTGCAGTGAACATAACACTTGATATTTCACTGCAGTGAACATAACACTATGACGGAACTATTGTCATACAAGAGTTACATTCCCGCAAGTTCTCTCCCTTTATCGTAAGTGTCTGGCCCGTACACAAACTATTGACTTTTTTTTTTACTTGGTTCCACACTGATATATAATAATGACAAATGGTTGTATTTGGCGATAATATTGCTTCTTGCAATTTGTTATTCTCTTGAATATATTTCATTATCAACTGTATGTTTCTCATTAAACTCATCAGTTGAGACTGTTCGTTTCGCAAAGCGCCATTTTTGTTACTTGACCAGCATGTATTCTTTCGCTTCCAACAGCGTTTTCGTAGGTTTTAAGAACATTTTTTGTTGAAGTTGATTTTGCATATCATCATATCCAAAGGTTTCATAAAGAATTTTAGTGACCCTTTTGTTTATATATTTTAAGATTTTGCAAACATGAAACTACTTATTAAGTCACAATTACAAGTGTTAGGTAGGGAGAATTTACGTTTCAAGGTTTTACATTTGTAAAGAAAGAAATTAATTTTCCGGTAGACAACTACACAAAAAGTATATAATATATCAGATATTCCATGTGTTGAGTAAAATATCATATTTCTCTCATCAAGTGACTGGAGAAAGGAGATATTTTCATGAGTGGCTTATGAAATATCCTCTATATAATTGGAGCTAGAGTGTTTGATAGTGTGTGACACTGATTGCACATGCAGAGCCATTTTTCTATATACTTCAGTGTATATTAGTCTGTATGGTCAGTCTGTAGCTCTGGGCACAGGGTAGATAACCGTTTTGAAGGAAAACATCATTTGTGAATGAGTGTCTGTGTAAATGTGCAAAACAATACAAATATGTAATGATGAAACTTGTTATATATGACCGCCTCCGTGGTCTTGTGGTAGAGCGTCCGCCCGGAGAGCGGAAGGTCCGGGGTTTGATCCCGGGCCGCGTCATACCCAAAGACGTTAAAAGATGGGACTTGTTGTTACCCTGTCTGGCGCTCGGCATTAAGGGGCTAAAACAAGGACTGGTCGGCTCTGAGTCAGTATACTGTGTCTGAGTGGGGTATTCAAGTTAAAACTGCGGCATGGTATCTCAGTATGCTAGCACTATAAATTGGCATCACTCCGGACTAGTACAAGCAGCCACACACACACACGTGCATGCAATAATCTTCGACGCGATGTTAAACCAAATTTCACCTCACCTGTTATATTTTTTTTACGAAATATACACAAAAATAATATTGCTATATGTGTCGTTTGAAAAGCAGTTTGCTGGTATGCTGATATACCGGTAGTGTAAAGCAGTCCAATTCATATGTGATGTTTAGAAATGCTGTCACTGAGTAAAGTCTGTAATATAAATCTCCATGTCAAATGTTGGTTTTTTTGCTGGCTGTGACAACATTAATAATCTGTATTGGACCAGATCAACCTATGATTGATATTATGAGCAACATCCCATGTTGCTGATGTACAGTGACACACAATCAACCAAGTTCACCATCGGATGCATTCACTCCCGTCACAACAGCATAGATTGCTCAGGACCTGTGATGACACGGAATCCCATGTTGCTGATGTACAGTGACACACAATCAACCAAGGTTCACCATCTGATGCATTCACTCCCATCACAACAGCATAGATTGCTCAGGACCTGTGATGACACGGAATCCCATGTTGCTGATGTACAGTGACACACAATCAACCAAGGTTCACCATCGGATGCATTCACTCCCCTGTCACAACAGCATAGATTGCTCAGGACCTGTGATGACACGGAATCCCATGTTGCTGATGTACAGTGACACACAATCAACCAAGGTTCACCATCGGATGCATTCACTCCCCTGTCACAACAGCATAGATTGCTCAGGACCTGTGATGACACGGAATCCCATGTTGCTGATGTACAGTGACACACAATCAACCAAGGTTCACCATCTGATGCATTCACTCCCATCACAACAGCATAGATTACTCAGGACCTGTGATGACACGGAATCCCATGGGCATACCTGTAAACTGAGCTGCACATGGTGTTTATAACCCCTGTGGATAAGAAAGGGGGGTTGGTGTGAAGATGAGTGACCATTACCTTCATCATCAACTCTGCATGATAGTGACAGTGACATATTAGTGGATAACGTTGCAAGTTGAGAAGAAATAAAAAATTCAAACTTTCTAATCAAGATCTGTTAAAATTGTTTTGCAATACCAAGTATTCAAATACGAATATAAAATTGTTCCCACAAATATATTGCTTTCTGCATGTAGGCTTGTACCCTGATGGTGTGGATGGTTGCTCATGTCATCGACCACTGGCTGCCTGGCTGGCTAAACCTGTCAGATTAGAGTATGTGGGCAATAAACCCTCCTGAAATTGCCCAAGACACTGAATTAGGCAGTCCAAGACTATTAGATTCAGATGGATCCACCTTTAAGTGTGTACTTGTGTGCTGCAGGCAAGAGAAGGCAACGCGAGCCCTGCTGCTGGATGCGGGATTCAAGATGTCCACGCTCGACTTTGTTCTCGGGGAGATTCCACCTGAGAAGGGCAAGAAAGGGAAAAAGTTCTCTCTGAAGACATGTAAGTAAACCTGTGAAGCTCAGATGTGTTTCTAGATTGGTTGATAAACTGTTGTGGGAAATATATTAATCATGTTTATCTTCAACAATTCAGTGTCATCGAGGTCTGTAACATGTTTCTCAAATATAGGTGGAACTTTTTATCCCCTGCCCCTCAAAGTTGGCGGGGGATATAGAAACGGGCTCCGTCCGTCCGTCCGTCACGTTTCATTTCCGGAGCATAACTCATAAACCGTTTAATATTTTTTCATCAAACTTTGCAGGTCTGTCAGGTACATGCTGAACTGGTGCTTTTTGCTATTTAGAAATTTTAGAAATTTTTATTTTTTTACGTTTCCATGGCAGCAAGATGGACTTCTTTTTTTTACAATTCTATGACAAGTTCCACCTCGGGTTAAAAAGGTTAGGGTTTGTTTAGATTTAATTATGTCATAAATTCTGCAACAGGGGTTGGGGATATAGCCACGTAGGGGCAAACTCTTGTTGATTTTCCGGCAGCAACATGAATGGTGTGCTATACATTGCAGATGAGGAAGTAAGCAAGGAGGAGCTTGAAAACATAGAAAGTCTGCGAGTCTACCTCAAGCACAAGGAGAACTCTCTGGAGTCACAGTCTCAGGTAGGTAAACCATTCATGCAGCGGTCTGGGACATTAGCCGCTAGTCCCAAGCCCAAGGCTAGTAAATTCTGTTTAGTAAGCTTAGCCAATACCAGTCCATATACATGACCAACCATGGTTGGTTGGTTGTTTAACGCCGCACTCAGCAATATTCCAGCTATATGACGGCTGTCTGTAAATAATCGAGTCTGGACCAGACAATCCAGTGATTGATATCATGATCATCGATCCACGCAATTGGGATCGATGACCTGCATCAACCAAGTCAGCGAGCCTGACCACCCGATCCCGTTAGTCGCCTTTTACGACAAGCAAAGTCGCCTTTTACGGCAAGCATGGGTTGCTGAAGACCCATTCTACCCCGGATCTTCACGGGTCTGACCAACCATGAGGTGAGGGACCTTATGGGTGAAAAATCACATTTTGACATCTTATTATGATTTAAAAACTACAGCATCCTAGGACCACAAAAAGATAAATCCTAACCTTCAATTCATATTTATTACATCGATACATGACATCAAACATTTGGACTCATTTTTTGCAAAGTCCCATTTTCAGACACATAACTGTTTATATAGATTGCAGGTTTTAGATATGAAGTTTGATTAATTGAAAGTAGACACGTATGCTGAAATGTTTTGAAATAATGTTTTTATTATATTATGAACTAAGGAGAGAAAGATAAGATATTTATGTACAGTCTGCACATATGGCATTTTATTCGGAAGTAAATTGATGTCTTTATGACTTCAAAGCACAATTGTTTCCTGGCACCAACAAGGTCTCTTTTCTCCTCGTGGGTCACATGTGTTAAAGTCATGTTTAGGCTAGTGGACTCAAAAGGGTTTGGCAATGACTGATCTTAGCATATGGAAGTCTAGAGTCTTAAGCAAATCTATTTTGACTGACAGTTTTATAGTCAAGATTGTGTTACAGTTATAATTACAATATGTGAAATTATAAAACATGTAACACTGTTAAACTTTTATTCATCAGTTTTGCATTGATTAATGGTTCAATAACAGAAAGGAGGCGGTCGGGTAGCCTAGTGGTTAAAGCGTTTGCTCGTCACGCCGAAGACCCGGGTTCGATTCCCGATATGGGTACAATGTGTGAAGCCCATTTCTGGTGATATTGCTGGAATATTGCTAAAAGCGGCGTAAAACCATACTCACTCACTCACTCGATAGCAGAAAGTGTCTTTCATGTATGGAATGTTTTCATATTTACATTTACACGTAACTCTGTGTCCATCTGATTGCGTCATCTGTTTAACCCCACCCAGGTGAAAGTGAGAGACGAAGACCTGTGTACGATATGCTATGCAAGTCCTCGGTCGGCTACGTTCATCCCCTGTGGCCATCAGTCCTGCAGGTAGGCAGCCATGGTGTCATGGATATTTCCGTCAAAGTATCAGGACCCACTGGCACCATGTGATCTCAGTGATAATTGTTAGGCTGTTGTTAAAGTAATGGATTTTACACTAGCCCTGGTCTGTACAAGTAGGTCTTATTGATTGTTGGTTTTGAGTATATGTTTTGAAAGAGACTCCGCTCTGGAGCCTTGTGAAGTCAGTGTTTTGATGGCAAATATTTTATCATCAAAAAATGGCTCCCACAGGAGATATGGCTTGGGTGAGATCAAGAGATATTTACATTGAAGATATCGCTGCAATTAAATTGCATCACAATGCTTTGCAGACCATTGTGACGTCATCGGTTACCATGACATCACAATCATATGACATCTCTGATGGCTCTGCTACTGATGCTGTTAGCAGTTCTTTTTACACTTAAGACACTGCTTATTACTGTCTACAAACTGAAAAAGTTCAACGAATGATGTTGGATGATAAATAAAATCTCACCCTCGTGTCTTTTGATATCAAATATATCAACACTCGTTGAGGCTTGCCGAGGAGTTCTTCCACTTTTATCAACTCATGTTGATATATTTGATATCAAAAGACACTCAGGTGAGATTCTCTATCTCTTTCCTATATTATTCTTGTTATTATTTGTTTCACTTTTATCTATACCCAGCGGGCGCCAGGTTAGAATAGGTGCCAAACACTCTACTGACTGTCATAAGGCATGGAGTGGGGCATTAAACAACAAACATTATATAACTCCTTACATTATAAGATGTTCATCACCTGTGATATAACCTACTGACTCACTCCTTACATTATAAGATGTTCATCACCTGTGATATAACCTACTGACTCTCTCCTTACATTACAATATGTTCATCCACTGTGATATAACCTACTGACTCTCTCCTTACATTATAAGATGTTCATCACCTGTGATATAACCTACTGACTCTCTCCTTACATTACAAGATGTTCATCACCTGTGATATAACCTACTGACTCACTCCTTACATTATAAGATGTTCATCACCTGTGATATAACCTACTGACTCACTCCTTACATTACAAGATGATCATCCACTGTGATATAACCTACTGACTCACTCCTTACATTACAATATGTTCATCCACTGTGATATAACCTACTGACTCTCTCCTTACATTATAAGATGTTCATCACCTGTGATATAACCTACTGACTCTCTCCTTACATTATAAGATGTTCATCACCTGTGATATAACCTACTGACTCACTCCTTACATTATAAGATGTTCATCACCTGTGATATAACCTACTGACTCACTCCTTACATTATAAGATGTTCATCACCTGTGATATAACCTACTGACTCTCTCCTTACATTATAAGATGTTCATCACCTGTGATATAACCTACTGACTCTCTCCTTACATTATAAGATGTTCATCACCTGTGATATAACCTACTGACTCACTCCTTACATTATAAGATGTTCATCACCTGTGATATAACCTACTGACTCACTCCTTACATTATAAGATGTTCATCCACTGTGATATAACCTACTGACTCACTCCTTACATTATAATATGTTCATCCACTGTGATATAACCTACTGACTCTCTCCTTACATTATAAGATGTTCATCACCTGTGATATAACCTACTGACTCTCTCCTTACATTACAAGATGTTCATCACCTGTGATATAACCTACTGACTCACTCCTTACATTATAAGATGTTCATCACCTGTGATATAACCTACTGACTCTCTCCTTACATTATAAGATGTTCATCACCTGTGATATAACCTACTGACTCACTCCTTACATTATAAGATGTTCATCCACTGTGATATAACCTACTGACTCACTCCTTACATTACAAGATGATCATCCACTGTGATATAACCTACTGACTCACGCCTTACATTACAAGATGTTCATCCACTGTGATATAACCTACTGACTCACACCTTACATTACAAGATGTTCATCCACTGTGATATAACCTACTGACTCTCCTTACATTACAAGATGTTCATCCACTGTGATATAACCTACTGACTCACTCCTTACATTATAAGATGTTCATCACCTGTGAAATAACCTACTGACTCACTCCTTACATTACAAGATGTTCATCACCTGTGAAATAACCTACTGACTCACTCCTTACATTACAAGATGTTCATCACTGTGATATAACCTACTGACTCACTCCTTACATTACAAGATGATCATCCACTGTGATATAACCTACTGACTCACTCCTTACATTACAAGATGTTCATCACCTGTGATATAACCTACTGACTCACTCCTTACATTACAAGATGTTCATCACTGTGATATAACCTACTGACTCACTCCTTACATTACAAGATGATCATCCACTGTGATATAACCTACTGACTCACTCCTTACATTACAAGATGTTCATCACCTGTGAAATAACCTACTGACTCACACCTTACATTACAAGATGTTCATCACTGTGATATAACCTACTGACTCACTCCTTACATTACAAGATGATCATCCACTGTGATATAACCTACTGACTCACACCTTACATTACAAGATGTTCATCACTGTGATATAACCTACTGACTCTCCTTACATTACAAGATGTTCATCCACTGATATAACCTACTGACTCACACCTTACATTACAAGATGATCATCCACTGTGATATAACCTACTGACTCACTCCTTACATTACAAGATGTTCATCACTGTGATATAACCTACTGACTCACACCTTACATTACAAGATGTTCATCCACTGTGATATAACCTACTGACTCACTCCTTACATTACAAGATGTTCATCACTGTGATATAACCTACTGACTCACTCCTTACATTACAAGATGTTCATCCACTGTGATATAACCTACTGACTCACTCCTTACATTACAAGATGATCATCCACTGTGATATAACCTACTGACTCTCCTTACATTACAAGATGTTCATCCACTGTGATATAACTTACTGACTCTCCTTACATTACAAGATGTACCGACTGACTTGCTCTTGGCAGGGCATAAGGGATGATGCGGGTGGTGCCTGACAACCATGACGATTATTTTTTTTTGGCCTAAGATGTCCATCACCTTTGGTGTACTGACTGACTCGCTCCTTCCATTGCAGGACGTGCATCACACAGCAGCTGATGGCCAAGAAGGAGTGCTTTTTCTGCAAGGCAATCATCACCTCTGTAAAGGACATGCATGGAAACACGATCCTCCGAGAACAATGTCAAGGCCAGTCGAAGCACTGACAGTAAGAGACAGTCTTCACAGGCGGACAGCGTTCACATATCAAGGCCGTCAAAGGGTCATGGGTCATGAGAGAGTTGGATTTCATTCTACATTGAGATGATCCAGACGATGTGATTTTTTCACCTTTTACAAAGTTGTAACGGTTCAATTGCTTTGAAACAAATTTGTTATGGCGTATATTTTAGTATACTGAGACAACATGGTGTGGTTGCAGCTGTCGTTGCAGGATTGGAACAATGTGTATCTGGATTTATTGAATGCAGTAAATATGGATTAAAGGGGTTCCAATCAACGTAAGTCATAACAGAACACTGTGAAACAAAACAATTTATGAAGTACATCATTTGCTTGGGTTTAGCAGGGACCTGAACAAGTTTGACATGTTGACGTAAGCTGTTAATGCACAAGATTTTATGTAGTGGAAAGAGTCAAATATCTTTTGTTGAAACTATCCGTCTCAAAGGCAGAGCTGTTGGGTGAGAGGGAGGGATTGTACTGAACAAGTTTGACATGTTGACGTAAGCTGTTAATGCACAAGTTTTGATGTAATGGAAAGAGTCAAATATCTATAGTTAAAACTGTTCGTCTTGAAGGCAGAGCTGTTGGGTGAGAGGAGAGGGAGGGATTGTTCTGAACATGTGGGAGATATTGGCCCATGGGGTAACCATGAGACGATGATCGTTTCAAGATTTGAGATAAACAGTGTCTACGAGTTTTGCCATGATATTTTTATATTAAGTGCAATAGGCTATTTCAGACAAATAATAATTTTGTATTAAATAAGACCAAAGTAAGTTTTTAGGAAAACCTGCAGAGAATTTTTTGACTCCCGTCATGGAATATTGGATCCAATGTAGTATTATAGTGCCTGCAGAAACTTTATAGACACATTGGTCTGATATGGGCATTCTATATTGTAATATAAAGATATGTAGCTTTGAGGGTCCTGATGTTTTCAAGTTAACAGGTGCCAATAAATACACCTGAACACGAAAACAACTGATGGAGATGGATACAGGTGAAAGTATCCCACCTGTACCGATTTGTCCGTCTCATTTGGAAAACAACTGACATTATGTATTTGACATTTCAACCATGCATGCAGGGCTCCAGATATGTTTTGAGTCATTGAGTATTTACTCACATGTTATTATTCACATCGTGTATTGAGTTTTCTTTGGTATTCAATATCTTTTTACTCTCTTTGTCCAGTATGTTGTGTTTTGTAAACCAATGAGGAGACTTTTAAAAAATATGATTCTACTTCTATGCTGTTTCAGGTAACTTCTAATTAGCATATGATAGTGTGCTGTCCTAGGAAAGTCACATGTTGCATACAGTAAGGAGGATGTTGCACATCTGTGCATTATTCTCTGCAGTAGACTCGATGTATACGTGAAGCGTGTATTGAGTCAGTACGAAGACCTGTAAAGATATACCGTCTTCGACGTAATAAGTGCCCTGGGCGCTCTCAAAATTAGAAATAGGGGTCTCTTATTAGAATATTATTTTGGTGAAAAACAAGAGTTGAAAGATAAATTTCATGGTTTATACTGACAGCCTGAAATGTTTATATATGACATATATATTTTTCCAGAATTTAAATGCCTATAATTAAGGGGGCATATAACACACGAGTGCGTATTATACGCGAATAAATAAGCCTTGTGTACATTGATGAATACGAAGGGGTGCTAATTGGGATTGCTCACTAGTCAATATATTAGCAAATATGACCGTGGGTGCCTATTAGAGCGGGGCGCTTATTACGTCGAATACAGTATGTGTACCAAGCTGAGGAAACCACCTCGAGCAATTCCGCTGTGTTGATGTGCTAGCGGGTTATCGAATTTCTTCATGTGTGTTTGTACGCAAAGAACCATATTACTGGGGGTATGGTGATTAGTTTGCATGTTTTTACACAAATACTCAGCTTATCTGGAGCTCTGTGCATGTTGCTGTATCTGATGACCGTGTGAGAACTGTTTGAAAGGCCACGGGTGATCTGTCTGTGATGAGGGTAGGGCGTGAGTTCCTACACAGGGAGTGCATCGTGTTGTCAGGTGTTTTGTCATGAAGGTGAAGTACTTTAAAATGTCTGTGTTTTATGATGGAAGAAACTAGCGTCACGTTTGGGTTCATTGTTTCTGTTTCTAATAAAGATCGACTGAAAACAATTCTCCATAGGACAAACCAATGGCAACATATCACTGTCTGTAAACATATCGGACATATATTGTTTATTATTGACCATGTAAACACTGGACAGAAAATATACAAGCACCAGTACTTATTCATCGATGCTCATGATGTCAATCACTGGATTGTCTGGTCTGTTCCAGACTCGATTATTTACAGACTGCCATCTTATAGCTGGAATATTGCTGAGTGCGGTGTTAAACAACAAACACCTGAAACAAATCAATACTTGTTCAGCCAGACAGATTTATTTTCTTGTAACAGATTTCCAAATGCTAAGTCTCCAGAGGGAATGGAAGTAATGTGTTGAGGTCGACAATGGTAAAGTTTCTAAAACACAGTTGAAATGAAATCTTCATGAAAATGTGAACAAGAGGAATTCAACAGCATTTTAAATTGTTTTGGTTTCACTGTTGCAAAGTTTAGGATAGGTTTATCGGCAATACAAGACAAGAACTATCCTTAACTATTGGAGGCATGGGTGGCCCAGTCATCTAAGGCACTGCGATTCACTGTGCAGAGTTGCGCCTTGGGCACACCAGAAACCTATGATTGTGGGTTAGAATTCCGGTTTGCCCTGATTATGTTTCTAGGTTTGTCAGCACCATACCCGTGCTCGTGGGTTTCACCGAAGTGGTAACCGTCTGAGACCTGCATCACTTTGGGCTTTCCTCCCACATTAAGCTGACACGCCGTGATATAACTGGAATACTGTTAGAAGTGGCGTTCAGCCCAACTCACTCACTTACTTAATTATTGTGCTGGGAACATTCTTTATGATAACTCTCTGTCACATCATGAGCTATAAAGTCGTGGTAGGCCCCAGTATTTATGATTCCTCATAACAAAAATGGGATATTTTATTTTGATTTTGTGTAACAGAAAATATCATATGCAGATTCAAGTACCATATACCTTGAAATCTTTTTTATTGGAATATGCATTGAATGCATGTACATTTGGATAAGCCCCCAAGTGTATAACTGTGTGATACATGCTGCATGTCCACGATACTGGGCAATAACTGACTACAAGGCAGGGAGACTTACTCTTTTGGCGCCAAATCGGCCAAAAAAGTGTAATCGATATGCAATCCTTTACACTGTAAGTGCAAAGTCTTATTCGAAGCAGCTGTTGAATATGTTCTTCATGTTTTTGTTTGTTTATACAATTAAGTTAAAATAAGACTCCTTCAGCACAAGATGAAACACAGACCTTGTTATTTTAAATGCAAACTATTATCCAAATGGCAGCTAATTTTAGCATGCACTAATTGCTTTTTTATCCAATGTTGCAGCATTTTATTTCACTATGATATGAATGTGGCACATTATACAGTGATAGTCCTGTGATAAAATATCCTTCAAGCTTTATCTGAACTAGGGCAGGTTTAACAATCATGCTGTGATGTCGTTAATGGAGAAAAAACAAAATATCCATATGTAGATTGGACAGTGAATTTTTTCAATTCAGACAGAATTGTCACTGATGAGGTATATGTTTACAGAGCATTGATGGGGATAAGTCGGAATTAGGAAAAGGGTCAGTTTGATTTGACTAAGAGGGGATAAGAGGACATTATGGAAAAGCATCGGTTTGCGTGTGTTGGAATAGAAATGTAACTGCCAAACATGTTTGACTATTATAGTCTGATTCAGTATTCGGCATGTGTATGATAAGAAGTGATATTCTCATACCAGGTACTTTGGTGTGACCTTGAAATTTGAACTACATATTCAAATTTCATTTGTATGCTTTGTTATGTGTAATTGATTTATGTTTTAATTTTAAGCTCTTATGAAATGATTTGAAGTTTTAACTCGACACTTTTCTAACAACAGGTAACTGGTGCTTCTTATGATCAGAGTGGCACCGGTGGCACAGGTGCCACAGTTGTCTAAGGTGCCACAATTCGCTGTGTAGAGTTGCCTCCCTTGGGCATGCCAGAAACCTATGATTGTGGGTTCGAATCCCGGTTTACCCTGATTATGTTTCTAGGTTTGTCAGCACCATACCTGTGCTCCTGGGGGTCACCGAAGTGGTATACATCTGAGACCTGCATCACTTCGGGCTTTCCTCCCACATCAAGCTGACACGCCGTGATATAACTGGAATACTGTTAAAGGGGCGTTAAACCCAACTCACTCACTGTTTATGATCAGGAATACAATGTTCTTGTAAAAGAGGTTTGCTCAGCTGTAGACAGCACAGAGAGTCTCACTGATGTAGCAAGGCAGTACTGGGTTCAGGGGAAGTTAATGCCTGTATTATGCCCTTATGTTCAATAAGCAGTTATTCACGTTTGTGGACTGCTTCAATTAAAAAATGAAATTTAAAAAAAACTGAGTGTGAAATAAATTATAAAACAGTATGTGTCAGTAAAATGTGTGTATTGTGTATCTCATCCCTTGGTATAATATCCGGGTGCATGCTGGTACATTCTTGTTGGGCCTCACCCGGCGTTTGACAGTTTGCAAAACATTTTTCTGGATCAAGGACATGTAAAATTATCCTATTTTAAACTTTAATGAAATGATTTGAAGTTTTAGCAGTACACTTTTCTAAGGTGCTGTTTATGTTTATAATCAGGAAACAATGTTCTTGAGAAATAGGTTCGTCACAATATGGCTGAAATATTGCCTATGTGACGTTAAACTTTAACTCACTCACTCACTCACTTGAGAAATAGGTATTCTGGCATGGAGAGACTGTAAACTTAAAGGCTGCTTATGTAGGTGTTAAAAGTTAAAAAGACAGACTCTCTGTGCTGTATCCATCATGTCATCGTCATATGTGCCACTTTATCACCACTGTTGCAACCTCACAGACCTCGGTCAATATATAGGGGCGGTTGGGTAGCCTAGTGGTTAAAGCATTCGCTCGTCACGCCGAAGACCTGGGTTTAAATCCCAACAAGCGGCATAAAAACTCACTCACTCACTCACTATCGATACATAAACAAACTGAACTGATAAAAATATTTTATGTTTTAAACTTTTTATCTAGTCTTTTTCATAATGCTTTTCAATCTTTGTAATTTTTATGTTGTTACTTAGTTTTAGACTTGACATGACTTGACATGTACTATTGTATTTAATTAATGTGGCCCCGGAATGTTTGCTTGGCATTTACACTGTGAAATGTATTATATATTTATGACCGCAGGAGTGTTTGATAGAACGTACTTGTACTGTTATACATGTTATATTTGAAGTGTATAAATAATAGACTGTGATATGTACTTTCATCCTGATCTGTGCCGCCTTCAGTCCTCTGTGATGGTGTGAGACTGCTTCACTCACACATGTAATTCAGTATTCTCAACATTAAACAGGGGCGGTCGGGTAGCCTAGTGGTTAAAGCGTTCGCTCGTCACGCTCGATTCCCGACATGGGTACAATGTGTGAAGCCCATTTCTGGTGTCCCCCGCCGTGATATTGCTGGAATATTGCTAAAAGCGGCGTAAAACCATACTCACTCACACACTCACTCAACATTAAACAGTTGGTGTCCTTTTGACCAGGAAACTCACCTGGGACTGTTGTACCGATGTTACGGATTGTTGGAGTAGAGCATTCTGTAGGTCAGAATTATTGATGAATTTAATTAATGTCAGCATACAACACTAAATATTTTATAAGATACATAGAAAAACAAAATTGAGTGACAAATTCATAGAGTGCTCAAGAATCATGATATTTCAGTTTTTTTATTTACGTATATATAATTAACATGCTGTTGATATTGTTTATTTGTAGATCATGAAATGTGCAAATCGGGCACCTACCTAGGGTAGTGTACAAACATTGTAACTCTATCCAGTGGGACTATGGGGGTGTGGGTACCTCCTCAAACATGGGTGGATTGGCTGGTTATTCTAGAACATGAATTAGGGTTCAGCAAGCTAGGCTTTCTAAGATGTAGGTATATATTTAGTAGTATACTATGGGGATTTATCAAGGAACCAAACTATGTTTCTTTGAAAAACGTACTGGCAAATAAAATCATTATTTTATTCAAATTTCTGATTTTCTTAATAATATGCAATGATATGAAACTGGATGAAAGCCTCTCACTCTATGGTCATGTTATCGGTGAAATACAAGTCACAAACGGCAGTTTGTTATTCCTGGAATTTGTATTGAGACCAAACATTGTTTCAGCTACAGCTGCGAAAACAGATATTTTTTTTTCTTAAAACTATGAGCCCAAATATATTTTTCTAAAAGGCACATTACAACAAAGAATGTTTTGTGGCAGGCAATTTTTTTTGTCCAACAATATGAAGCATGATTATTTTTTGTAAGAATATTTGGAGGCAATCTACCTTTTTTGACCCCCTGCAGCCCCTAACATGCAATATATACACATTGTTACAAAATATTCCCTACATGTGTATCTGTTACTCAACATCTTATGCATCTGAAGTTTAATTGGGTTTGTATTGATACACTATTGGTTTACTAAAAGGCAAGGTCATATATGCAAAAGAAAACAACATCAGTATTACTGGTAAAAATTGAATATTTGTCTATGTTAATTACCATTAAGGGGCGGTCGGGTAGCCTAGTGGTTAAAGTGTTCGCTCGTCACGCCGAAGATCCGGGTTCGATTCCCGACATGGGTACAATGTGTGAAGCCCATTTCTGGTGTCCCCCGCCGTGATATTGCTGGGATATTGCTAAAAGCGGCGTAAAACCATACTCACTCACTCACTAATTACCATTAACTAAGCATTGACAATGATCAGAAATATTTGAAATAGTGCATTGCTTGTCCAACTGCGGTTGGCTGATGTGATTGAGTTAAAGAATTTGATTTGTTTCTGAAGGTTTCAATTTGTGTTTCTATTTATCAATTAGTGAACGTTCACATGATCATGGAGGACTGAAGCCCACAGTTGAGTGTCTAACACTGTCATTGTTTTAGATTCTCAAGCAATTTTACATATGCTGGTAATCATCATAAAGAAAATATTGTACAACAGTAGATGAAATGCCATTTGGTAATAAAAATACCACAAACTTGTTTTATAAAAATATGTTGTTGCCTTTTTCAGCATTTTGCCTGAGTGCACTTGTACAACAGAGAAAAAGTCATCTTTATCTTTGGTTATTTCTTGAGAATAGAAGCCGACAATATGAACTTTAGCTTGAACAGCTGGTACTACTGGACACACAGTGTGTATTCATAATTAGACAAAAAAAACACACACAAGTATAAGATAAAACAACACACACACAAGCATTAGATAAAACATGTACAAAAGTATGGCACAAAAGGGGATTCTGATCACAGAACAAATTTAAGTAACCGATAGGATGGATGATTTACTTACATAGCTTACAGTACATATTCACATTCTTGATGCCACACAAACATCATTACATGCTTTGCATAGAGAACGAACTACATCACATCCAAAATGGCTGTGGACCCACTTTTGGCACCTGGGTCCATTTCCACAAAGTTGGTTGGTTTGTTTGTTGTTTTACGCTGAACTCAGCAATATTCCAGCTATATCATGACGGTCTGTAAGTAATCGACTCTGGACCAGACAATCCAGTGATTGATATCACGTCATCGATCCAAACAATTTGAATACAATGACATGCATCAAAGTCAGCGAGTCTGACTACCTGATCCATTTAGTCGCCTTTTACGTCAAGCATGGGTTGCTGAAGACCTATTCTACCCTGAATCTTCACGGGTCATTTCCACAAAGCGATGTCTGTTGCAGATCTATGTAGAAGTTCGTGGCTTGCATCTGGAATTTGTCCCCAGCAACCCATGCGTGTCGTAAGAGGCGACTAATGGGATCGAGTGGTCAGACTTGTTGACTTGGTTGATGTGTGTTATTGTGTCCCAATCACTGGATTGTCTAGTCCAGGGTCGAATATTTCCAGACTGCTGTCATAAAGCTGGAGTGTTACTGTGTGTGGCATTAAACAACAAACAAACTAACAATTATCTTAGCTGTTAAAGCACTTTGTGGAACACTGCCCATGTTAACAGGCAGATCTGTTTGGGTTTACCTGATGCTAAATATTACATCCTATATGCATAAGATCACAGTGATATTCACTGCCATTGGACTAAAAACAGTATTGACATTGGAACTAATTAAACTGAAATGTACTAAGATCTATCTGATGTTTCTGTTCCGATACAAAATACAATCAATGTTCGTACAGTCCATGTCAAATTTGGATTAAGCAAAGAAAATCAATGTATAATAAGCATACGGCATCACACATCATTGTGTTGTATTTGCTTCTGATACAGCAGTAGAACATCATTGAATCCATTACCAAGTCACAGGACGCGCATGAATGTTAGCAAAGTTACACAAACCCATTCTTGGCGTAAGAAGTGACTAATTGGATTTGGTGGTCAGGCTTGCTGACGTGGTTGATACATGTCATCGATCTCAATTGCATGGATCGATGCTCATGCTCAATCACTGGATTTTCTGGTCCAGGCTTGATTACAGACCGCTGTATATATAGCTGGAATATTGCTGAGTATGGCGTTAAAGAACAAACAATCAAACAAACAAACAAATACATCCTGGTCAGGTACAGTCTTTCTAGTAATGTCGGACTTCGTACTACAGTTGATCCATGTGCCAGGACTTGACTTCTTCATTCCATTTAACGTTGCTGACGACAAGCTACTGTCACTGATATTGGCCAGTCAGGATGAGGAGGTTGGGGTTGTCTATCTCCTATTTGTCGAGTGTATGGTTTGTCAGAATGGACCACCAATTCTTTATGCTTGTTGTCCAAGCAGACAAACATTGGAATTGGTTGATGTGGCTTGGTGACTTGGCTGATGATCATTTCAGACCCAGACAAGATAGGACATAACCACTGATTTGCCCGGCCCAGACTCAAATCTTACATACTTGTGGTGTCAATGGCACACCCTTTTGACCAAATAGTACACTGAGAATCAAACTGGTCCTTAGTAATGACAACTGTTGAGTACTAATTCTCTTATCCAACAACTTTACCCAGTTGATATATCATCAGGAATCGTCTCTCTGAAGAATAGTGGTTTTCTCAGTGTACTTTCAATGTGTGGACTCTGTTTCCACATACCCCAGAGTTTCTGGCAGCTAATTTCTGCTGCAAGGTGTGTCATGCAGGTGACAACATCAATATTATTTGAATGTCTGTCCATCAATTCAGTAAACTTCTTCACCCATAAAGTTCCACTAAATTCATCATCACCAATGACATTAAATCCCGGTGCTGTAGCCTGAAGCACAAGAAAGTCAGCTTCACTTGGGACAGTAGTATCATTTCCAGTTCCACTTCCTGGCTTGACACCCGACATGAAATTGGTCCCCTGCCCACATGGTATCAAAAACACTTTTGGTTTACCTGACAGAGTCGGGCATCGCGATGCATTGAACAAATCTTTCAGATCTTGGAAAGGCACTGGTGCTGCTTTTGCATCAAGAACACACTGACGATAACCTATTATCTTGGTTTCAGTGTAGATGACACACACAAAAGCATCAAACTGACTATGATCCATCTGCGCAACACTGTCCAACAGTGTTTTCATACGTTTTTTAGAAATATTTGTATGGAGTCGAGTATCAAAATCGAGCTTCTGAAATGTTCTGTACAGTTTGGCAGCATCCTTTTCAAAATAGCGGTGTAATTCAGCATGTGGATTTGATTTTGGATTACAAATGATAATTGCAATGCCCTTAGGGGTTGAATGAACTTGATATTCTGAAAAAATAAAAAAGAGAGCATTATTGATCTCCCAGGGTGCCATGCTTTACATAAGAGGGATCAAACGATTATGTTGATTTTGAACCAGTGAAAGATATTCTCACTTATACATCTTCAAACAATAAGCCTTATAGCATGCCTTCCATAAAACCTCATTAACTGTGTTTTGAAACACATGGTAATGGTATAGAATTGCGTTATGAGTGATATTTTCCATCAGTGAGATGCAAAAGGGTAACAATTCGAGAAGAGCAGATGGTTAACGTGTATCTGCCAATTTGATATCTCTTTAACACAATTATCAAATCCATTTGGCCGAATCTTACTATTCATTTTCATTTTCACACTAGAATACTTTAATTCCAGGGCCAAGTTGTCCAAAGCGATCATAGCGCTACATATGTTAAAGTAAGAATTGTAACGATAATCTTGGCGCTTAGGTCGCTTTGAGGAAGTGGATCCTGGATTATTATTTAAAAAAATCCAAAAGGATGCTGCTATGAACCTTATCCAAACAGGAAGGACATGATAATGGATCAATCAATTGCAAAATCCTTCATTTAAGCAAAAGCTATAACATCTTGGTTTTCCAGCCTGTAACTGTGGACCTGTATTTTGATGAAAGGTTGTCATGTCATCTAAAAAGATCCATTTTTGAGGTGGTTAAACCATTGGACTGACACTCTGGGTCCGATGCCCAATTAGGTTATAATGTGTCAATACGATTCTTGCTGTCCGCAAACATGACATTACTCGAATATTGCTGAAATATTGAAAAATGTAAATGAATATAGTATTGTCATTGTGACACTTTATGCAGGTTTGGGGAGATTTAAATGTGAAGATTGATTATTTAAATTATGTACATACCCGTTTGTGATAATGTTCCTGATGCAAACGAGACACTTGTTTCAAACAGAGATTCCAGATCAGACAGACGTCCTACATCACTCCTAGCGACATCTGCAGACTCTTTGTCTGTCGAGCAGCTGTCATTTCCTTCCTTCAGGGATGAACAATTGCATCTGAGGTCAAGTTTGTTTTGGTGCTGAAGTTGTTTGTATATTTGCGGATAGCTTGTTTTTATTGCTTCAGCAACGTGATTCAAGTTGGTTATTTTAGCAAACAGGTATGACCACTTTGTGGTATTGGATGTTTGTGTGTTTCTCAGTTCTTGGTAATCGTCTGCAGATATTACTCCGTCTTTTGAAAGATGTTGAGCAAGGTGCTTGACTTGGACATTTTCCCTCATATTGCAAACAGCACATACATAGGTCCTTGTTGGTACGGTCTTCAGATGTTGTGCTGTTTGACTTAACTTCTTTGCAACGTCTGGATACTCTACCCCAATTGCTGGTATGAAGTTATTCTGTAAAAAAACCACGAAATGAGAACTTGCGACACATAAAAAAAACCCATTCTTCTCAACAGACGTAAGGCTTTATGGCATTGGTTTCAGACATGTAAGAGTGAGTGAGTGAGTGAGTGAGTGAGTATGGTTTTATGCTGCTTTTAGCAATATTCCAGCAATATGACTGCGGGGGACACCAGAAATGGGCTTCACACATGGTACCCATGTCGTCAATCGAACCCGGGTCTTCGGCGTGTCGAGCGAAGCTTTAACCTCTCAGCAACCCGACCGAAATTCATTCGCACTCTATAGAACATAGTATGCTACCAAATATCTATTTTAACAGGTGGTCTTTCAGACGATTAGTCATAAAACACCTACCTACCATCAAAGTTGAATAAGAAAGTCGACCTCTCATGAGATCCAGGAAGGCATCCTTTCGTCGCCGGGATGTGGGATTCATGGCGATTATGCTTTCACGTTCGTCGTCTGTGAGAAGCTGATCTTGTATCAGTCTGTCCAGAATGTATGTGCCTTCGATGCTTACATCGTTGAGTAGATCATGATGACATAGTTTGAACAACTCCAAATGGATGTGGTCTGCATCCTCGATATCAGTGCCTGAATGATCAATACTATGTCTGGTCAGGACAGTTTGTCAAAATGAAAGCAATATGTGAAATACTGGACTTCCTCATTGATAACATCTGTGTAAAATATGGGGTAAGACATTCCCTTCTTGCGGATCTGTTTCTTTATGCACATGAATCGGGATTTCTGCTCAAATTGGCAAAGTCAAGACAAAATTGTTTATCTTAAGCTCCAGTTATATCGATGATCTGATATCGTTCAAAAACCATCAAATAGCCAATTCCCTTCCACTGATTTACCGACTTAGAACTAGAAATAAATGAAACCAATGAGACCGCCTCGTCTGTTTCATATTTAGATTTATGCATAGAGATTCAAAACAACTTCCATAAGACTGTATAAGAGGGATGACTTCAACTTTACAATTGTCAACTTTCCCGTCATGTCGAGTTATATTCGAACATATTTGGTGCCTACATATCACAACTTCTGAGGTACAATGGGCTCTTCTAACCGAGATCTCAAAGTGCGTCATACAACTCTTGTTCAAGGAGTTGTTTGATAAAGGTTACAACAATCAAGGCCTCAGCAAAGTTTTTAAAACATTTTTCGGTAGACATGTGGGTGACATTTCCAAATTCGATGCATCAATGACAAAAATAATGTCCGATGTAATGATTCCCTATTTTGACTTGTACCACATGTTCCCGTGGGTTTTCAGGTGAGCAACTGCCTTGCCTTTGCATGTGTTTGTGAAGGGTGCCACCGGAGGGGCAGGATACTCTGACCTTTTCGTGAATACCTTGTATTGGGACTACATAGTGATTCATCAACACATTCTTTCGATATAGCCTACATCCGACGCTGCTCATGATTATAAACATGGTTTTGTGGCTTTTATTTACAGGAAACACACCAAATATACAAACTTTGTTTACCGAATGGAACATGAATTCTGTAAAAAAAGCATTTTCTCCTGCCAAGACAAGTAGCTATCACATTCTAATAATGCACGTACATCATGTGACGGTCCTTTCTTCGTGCATTTCGAATGTTAACACGTGTACACCTTTCCCGCAAAATGTCATAACCATATGAAGTGGCCATAGGCAATCGTCGTAACTAGGGGTACGTCACGTGCCGTACCATGGTGTAAGTACTGATATCCAGGTCTCGAGGCTGATCTCTTGGACACACTGAATACCCTCGCTACAGCGAACCAGCTGCTTCCAATCGTCCGAAGACGTTATTGTGCACAAGTTTGTCGGGCATGACGTTGAAGTTGGATAATCTCCTCACTTTCATAGCCCTGTTCATAATGTTGACGTACCGATCTCGTTCGCCGGACACCCCGGCCGTGTCATACCAAAAGAGGGATAAAGATGTTACTATTTGTTTCCCTGCCTGGCGCTCGGTAAGGGGCTAAAACAAGGACTGGTCGGCTCGAAGACAGCATACTGGGTCGGAGTGGGGTATTCGTGTTAAACTGTGGTATAGTGTCTCAGTGGGCTAGCACTATAAAATCGGACTAGTACAAACACACAAACGCATGCACGCACTCACGCACTCACGCACGCATGCACGCACGTCTCTATATAAATGCAATACTATTGAACGCGACGTTTAACCACATTTCACCTCACCAATTCATATTTAGCATTGATGTTTTGTATTTACTTGAACTAGGTCAGTGTGATTTCACCACAAAGCTCAGTAGCATTTATCAATAATGTCGAGTCAACAGCAAAGAATTGTGTGAACATTAAAACTGCCCTGCACTGTGTTGCAAAACATATTTCTGAAACGTTGTTTCTGTACTTATAAACAGTAGAAACTCTGCACTTGTACACAACAGACGCAATTCAAAATTAACACATTGTATTTTTGTTCCAACAAATAAGTACATGCCCTATCGTGTCACTGAAAGTTCTGGTCCATCACTTGATTCCAGACCGCCGTCGCATGGCATGAGTACTTCTGTGCGGCGTCAGACAACACTTACTTGGGTACTTGTGTGAGTGGCGGGTGCTACCTGTAGGGCAGGACATGCTTCCCCTTTTCGCAAACACCCGGTGTCACCACTGAGTTTCAATGATGAATTCGTTTAATTGTCACCGATATTTTAACGCCCAATTCAATCTGTTTCTTTGGAAAATAGACTGGTTATTTTCTAGCATTGACGTTTTATATTCACAATCGTGTATGTGCTAATATTTTTCATATATGTACATCAATATTACTATGTAATTTTAGGGAGTATAAATGGCATTCGTCTTCGTTAAAACTCGTATCAACATATAGACATAGAGGTTACTTTTTGTAAGTGTTACATTATCAGACTCATGTTTATGTAAATAAAAGGACACCGTTTTCCTGCCATCTAAGCATTGTCACAACAAACACATTCGGAATTAACTGCCTCTTCTACTTACCTTCATTTTCACTTTGATCAATTTCTAGTTCTGTTCTTTTATTCCGAAAGATTTGCATCAAAAGATGTTCCATATATATCATTTGGTGACATATCTGTATCAGTCCTTCTTGGTCTAAATCTGGCTTACAGAAGTCTTGATGGTAGGAACTAATCCGCTCCTCAACGTTATGAAGTCCTGTCTCTAAGGTTTTGTCTAGTTTGTCTAGAATTTGTCTCCTTAATTCCAACGGGACATCACCAAGAGCAGCCTGGGTCTGAGATATCAGTTCACTGATGTACCTGTTTCTTGCACCTTCCAGAGGGGAGACTCCAGAACCTGCCATCTAGAAAATAATAATCAAGGATCTCTGTAGAGTAGAATGGGCTGTGATAGGTGATGCATGACGTGGATGTTATGAGGGTGAAACCACCGACATGTGCATCATGCTGACAAACCAAGAATCACATGCATCAGGTCATGCATGAAGTTAATTTTATATGATTGATTTGGCAAACCAACATTTTCTTACCAAAGAAACATTGGATTATAGAGTAACCTCCTCGCAACTCGAAACGATGGGTTTCCCCCCAAATGAATTGTGTTGAAAGTCCCCAGTCTAAATACATTAACACTCGAACGTCATTCTGCAAATACAAACTATTGTTTTTTTATTTATCTTCACTGATGGATATATACTGTCAAGAGTAAGGTTAAGAACCTTTTGCAATCTCATAAAAGAACCAAGTTTAATTCTGCCAATAAATATCCTCTATTTATTATATACTTCAGTGTGAAAGACTGAGTTTTCTGAAGTTGAGAAAAGTGATATTTTCATTACAGTCAACATAACACTTGATATTTCACTGCAGTGAACATAACACCTGATATTTCACTGCAGTGAACATAACACGTTGACGGAACTATGTTGGCCTACACGAGACAGCTCGTACACAAACTGTTGATTTACGTCAGTTCAACGTTGACAAGTCATATAATGACAGATAGTCATTTATGTAGTTAATACCGATTCTTACCGTTTGTTATTTTGTTGAAAATGATTTGTATTAAACTGTGAATTTCTCTTCTGATTTGTCATTCGATACTTTACGTTTCGCAAAGCGCCATTTTGTACTCCCATTCTTATTGATAAGTTTCTATATGAATTCGGGCTGTGGGGTAGTCTTGTGGTTAAAGCGTTTGATGGTCATACCGAAGACCCGGGTTCGATTCCCCACGTGGGTACAATGTGTAAAACCCATTTCGGTTGTCCACGGCCGTGATATTGCTGGAATATTGCTAAATCCGGCGTAATTATATCTTTATGCATATGAATCAGAATTTCTGCCCGGACTGGCAAATTCAACACAAAGCTATCTGGCCAAGAAATTTAATTTAAGCTTCACGATCATGAACTGTTATCATGATCTGATAACGTTCAATAATAGAAAAAAACCAAAACCTCCAACTGATTTTCCCACCTGTCACATCAAAATAGAGCTGAACAACTACAGAACATGCCTTCATTCGTTCACTTTAAACTGTACTGTGTTGTGCGATCTACAAAACATGCCTTCATTCGTTTACTTTAAACTGTACTGTGTTGTGAGATCTACAGAACATGCCTTCACTCAAGGGAAGAGGGTATATCGATGTCAACGTCTTTGTTATGAGGAACACATCGTTTCGGTGTATATGTTTACTCTTTCATCAGGTTGATGAAGGAGTAAGCATATACTCAGAAAAGTTGTGTTCCTCATAATGAAGAAGTTGACATCCATATAGTCTCTTCCTTATGTGTATCAATTCGAAATGCCTTTCAAAGACCTGATGCCTGCGCTCCTTCACTTTAAATTGTATGGTGCTGTGAGATCTACACAACAGGCCTTCACTCGTTCACTTTAAGCTGTCCAGTTTTGTGAGATCTACAGACCAGGCCTTCACTCGTTCACTTTTAACTATACTGTGTTGTGAGATCTAAATAACAGGCCTTCACTCGTTCCCTTCAAACTGTGTGGTGTTGTGAGACCTACAGAACAGGCCTTCACTCGTTTCTTGAACTGTCCTGTTTTGTGCAATCTACAGACCAGGCCTTCACTCGTTCACTTTAAAGTGTACTAAGTTGTGAGATCTATAGACCAGGCCTTCACTCATTCACTTTAAAGTGTACTAAGTTGTGAGATCTGAAGACCAGGCCTTCACTCCTTCACTTTAAAGTGTACTAAGTTGTGAGATCTACAGACCAGGCCTTCACTCCTTCACTTTAAAGTGTACTAAGTTGTGAGATCTATAGACCAGGCCTTCACTCCTTCACTTTAAAGTGTACTAAGTTGTGAGATCTACAGACCAGGCCTTCACTCCTTCACTTTAAAGTGTACTAAGTTGTGAGATCTACAGACCAGGCCTTCACTCCTTCGCTTTAAAGTGTACTAAGTTGTGAGATCTTAAGACCAGGCCTTCACTCCTTCACTTTAAAGTGTACTAAGTTGTGAGATCTACAGACCAGGCCTTCACTCCTTCACTTTAAAGTGTACTAAGTTGTGAGATCTGCAGACCAGGCCTTCACTCCTTCACTTTAAAGTGTACTAAGTTGTGAGATCTGAAGACCAGGCCTTCACTCCTTCACTTTAAAGTGTACTAAGTTGTGAGATCTACAGATCAGGCCTTCACTCGTTCATTTTAAAGTGTACTGTGTTGTGAGATCTACAGATCAGGCCTTCACTCGTTCACTTTTAACTGTACTGTGCTGTGAGATCTACAGACCAGGCCTTCACTCCTTCACTTTAAACCGTGCTTTGTTATGAGGGCGGTCGGGTAGCCTAGTGGTTAAAGCGTTCGCTCGTCACGCCGAAGACCCGGGTTCGATTCCCGACATGGGTACAATATGTGAAGCCCATTTCTGGTGTCCCCCGCCGTGATATTGCTGGAATATTGCTAAAAGCGGCGTAAAACCATACTCACTTACTCACTTTGTTATGAGATCTACAGAACAGGCCTCCACTCGTAAACTTTAAACTGTATGGTGTAAATTTTGTTGTGAGATCTACCCTGCAGCATTATTGACTGTTCAGCAGTTACTCGTCAATAAGGTAACGTTTTACTTCCCGCTGACCCAATGCTGTCAATATATGTTACAACGCTAATGTCCATATAGAGCAGTATTCATTTAGGAATACAACACAGTAATGGCTTGAGTGGCGGAGAGGGAGATGCTATCGCGGGACGGGTACACGCACTGTGCATCTGTATTGTGTTACACTGATAAACAGGTAATGTCACCGCCACCACTGTGCTATTTAGGACAATGTGTCACGATGAATGTTGGGTTTACAACAAAGCGGATTTCATCTTACATACTTATCAAATAAATATAATGTGGTATCTGTGACATTTTCGTAGAGGTGAAAGATGACAAGGTTTAATATTTCTAAAAGAAAATGGAGGTCTAGTTTGATATGTAACACAATAAGACTACATGGGTTCGACAACAAGATAGTTACTGCTAAGCAGCGGAACTGTTGTTATCCTTCGGTCTGAAATAGGATCAAATCTAAAGTTACCCTTACCTTCAGTGGTAGAACATGAAGCTGCAAGGTATGGTGTTACGTGAAACGCCCGGGCACATGTAAGACTTCCTGGTTGGATCCAGCCCGGCAGACTGACTGATATCAACTTGCGTGATCCACGTGATATGTTTATCTTGATACCGCATGCCTCTGTTACACACCTGCACAGCACAACCTTATTACGGGTGTGGCGGGTTTTCTTCCTGGTGCGGACCACCTCCGTGGTCTAGTGGTAGAGCGTCCGCCCGGAGTGGGGTATTCATGTTAAACTGTGGCATGGTATCTCAGTGAGCTAGCACTATAAATTGGCATCAGTCCGGACTAGTACAAGCATCCACACAAACACACACGTACATGCACGTCACTATATAAGTGCAATAATCTTGGACGCGATGTTAAACCCCATTTCACTTCTCTTTCTGATACGACTGAGTGTCAGTGTCGATGTCGATAAGTTGACATATATGAATTCACTTCTTGCTTCGGGTCAGTTCACAATTGATTCTCTACAGGAGCAGTCAGGCATAGCGCTCCTCTGTGTACACAGCTAGACTTGGTTAGTGCTCTTCAGTAAAGGGTTCAAGGTTTGCAAGCTATAGGTTGTGTATTGGTATTGTCCGTCAGTAAAATTAGTTCTCACAAGGGAAACATGTCAGAAGTAAGTACTTATCAAATACAAGGGCATTCCTTCCATCACACATTAGGTGAGGTACAAGCACTACTGTTCCTTGCATTATTCAATACTGTAAAACACTCTTATCTTAAAGAATCATGTATAAAGAATCAAATAATAATATTTATTCCTTCAAGAACAAAATGAAAAAGAACAAAACCTGAAAAACGTTTATGGAACTAGAGAACATAACTATATCAACAGCAATAAGCAACAGAAATATCTTAACAATATCTGGAAGCATCAGTAAATTATCCTTAATCTGTGCAGCATGTTCATTGACAAAAACACAGAACAGGAAGGAAGGGTATTTTGATAAATATAGCACAGTAATTTACCCATTTGAAAGAAACAATGACCTTTTTGAAATCTACAACAATTGCTTAAAAATTCCTCCTGGTCTCTGCGTGTATTTGTAAATAATCGCATTTACTATAAATATATTATCTGTGGTTGAGTTATCGTGTCTAAAACCTGCGTGTTCTTCCGAAATTTTATCTAATGAATCTGACCAAAAGGTAAGCTTTTTATTGATAATAAAAACAAATATTTAGCTCAAAACACTCAGAGGGTAATTAAACGAAAATTGTTTGCATCAGCACACGATCCTGATTTGTGTAGTGGAATAATCACACCAATAGCCAACTCTTTTGGACGTTTCTAAAATCAAATTGAAGTATTCAAAACGGTTATAATTTCTCCATATTTCTGCACAAGGGCCTATAGCTGCGTCAGTTTTACTTGCTAAATTGCACGTTCTGAATGGCAAGTGAATTTCTGGCGCAGTATCCTCCCATTAGCGTGACGTCATAACGATTGTTTATCAGTACCAATGTTTTGTGAATATGAACATGTATTATTTCGGACGATTGTACTGGAGACAGTGCTATCACGACGAATGAGGTTTGACTGTTTTTAATATAGCACAAAACGGTTTTCTGGGAACATCTTTCCTTTGAATTAATTTACAATATCAGACAATAATCATGCTTTTGAATCTGTATTCCATTATTATTGACCCTGGAATAATGCATGATTTATTGTAACCTGATTAGTAGAGTATAGAATACAAAACGCTAACGCCAGCAATTAACCAATCTCGATTATCAGCGGAAACAGATGCCACTGAGCATAAAATGCAAAATGATGCTAAAATACATATGAATGGATCACTACTTGAAACTACCGTGCACGTCAGTCCATGAGGAAAGTTATACTTTCTGTTACACCTTCCCAAACGTCCTTTCCATCCACCCATCAACAACGCCCCAGTCAACACATGCCCATCACCCCGACCACCCCACCACCGATCAACAACGCCCAAGTCAATACATGGCTCCCATCCCGCAACACCCAACCACCCATCAATAACCCCCCAGTCAATACATGGCCCCTTCCCAACATCAGCCCACCCATCCATCAACAACGCCCCAGTCAATACATGGCCCCCTCCCAACATCAGCCCACCCATCCATCAACAACGCCCCAGTCAACACATGGCCTCCATCTCGCAACACCCAACCCACCCATCAACAACGCCCCAGTCAATACATGGCCTCCATCCCGCAACACCCCACCCACCCATCAACAACACTCCAGTCAACAAATGTCCGTCACCCCGAACACCCCATCCACCCATCAACAACACATCAGTCAACACATGGCCCCAACCCCGAACACCCCACCCACCCAACAACAACACTCCAGTCAACACATGACCAACACCCCAAACACCCCACCCATCCATCAACAAAACCCCAGTCAACACATGGCCTCCATCCCACAACACCCCACCCACCCATCAACAACACTCCAGTCAACAAATGTCCGTCACCCCGAACACCCCATCCACCCATCAACAACACATCAGTCAACACATGGCCCCAACCCCGAACACCCCACCCACCCAACAACAACACTCCAGTCAACACATGACCAACACCCCAAACACCCCACCCACCCATCAACAAAACCCCAGTCAACACATTGCCCCAACCCCGAACACCCCATCCACCCATAAACAACTCTCCAGTCAATACATGACCGACACCCCAAACACACAACCACTCATCAACAACACCCAAGTCCCGCAATAAGGCAAGATCCTATATATAAAAATATCAGTATTACTGGTAAAAATTGAATATTTATCTATGTTATTTACCATTAACTAAGCATTGACAATGATCAGAAATATCTGAAATTAGTGCATTTGCTTGTCCAACTGCGGTTGGCTGATGTGATTGAGTAAAAGAATTTGATTTGTTTCTGAAGGTTTCAATTTCTGTTTCTATTTATCAACAAGTGAACGTTCACATGATCATGGAGGACTGAAACCCACAGTTGAGTGTCTAACACTGTCATTGTTTTAGATTCTCAAGCAATTTTACATATGCTGGTAATCATCATAAAGAAAATATTGTACAACAGTAGATGACATGCCATTTGGTAATAAAAATACCACAAACTTGTTTTATAAAAATATGTTGCCTTTTTCAGCATTTTGCCTGAGTGCACTTGTACAACAGAGAAAAAGTCATCTTTATCTTTGGTTATTTCTTGAGAATAGGAGCCGACAATATGAACTTTAGCTTGAACAGCTGGTACTACAATCAAGGGACACCCAGTGTGTATTCATAATTAGACAAAAAAACCACACACAAGTATAAGATAAAACAACACACACACAAGCATTAGATAAAACATGTACAAAAGTATGGCACAAAAGGGGATTTTGATCACAGAACAAATTTAAGTAACTGATAGTATGGATGATCAACTTGCATTGCTACCAGTACATATCCAAATTCTTGATGCCACACAAACATCATTACATGCTTTGCATAGAGAACGGACTACATCACATCCAAAATGGCTGTGGACCCACTTTTGGCATCTGGGTCCATTTCCACAAAGTTGGTTGGTTGGTTTGTTGTTTTACGCCGCTCTCAGCAATATTCAATCTATATGACGGCGGTCTTTAAATAATCCAGTCTGGACCAGACCATCCAGTAATTGATATAATGAGTATCGATCCACGCAATTGGGATCGATGATATGCTTCAACCAAGTCAGCGAGCCTGAACACTCGATCCCGTTAGTCGCCTTTTACGTCAAGCATGTGTTGCTGAAGACCTATTCTACCCCTGATCTTCACGGGTCATTTCCACAAAGTGATGCCTGTGGTAGATCTGTGTAGAAGAATGGGATTTGCATCTGGAATTGGTCCCCAGCAAACCATGCATGTTGTAAGAGGCGACTAATTGGATCGAGTGGTCAGGCTTGCTGACTTGGTTTATGCATGTCATTGTATCCCAATAACTGAATTGTCTAGCCCAGAGTTGAATATTTCAAGACTGCTGTCATAAAGCTGGAATGTTACTGTTTGTGGCGTTAAACAACAAACAAACATACAGTTATCTTATCTGTTAAAGCATTTTTTTGTGCAACACTGCCCATGTTAACAGGCTAAACTGTTGGCAAACAAACAAATACATCCCTGTAACCTGGTCAGATACATGCCACTTTGAGGATCAAGTCAAGTCTTTCAAGTAATGTCGGACTTTGTACTACAGTTGATCCATGTGCCAGGACTTGACTTTTTGATTCCATTGAACGTTGCTGACAACAGAAGCTACTGTGACTGGTATCGGCCAGTCAGAATGAGGAAGTTGGCGTTGTCTATCCCCTATTTGTCAGAATGGACCACCAGTTCTTCATGCTTGTTGTCCAAGCAGACAAACATTGGAATTGGTTGATGTGGCTTGGTGACTTGGCTGATGATCATTTCAGACCCGGACAAGATAGGACATAACCACTGATTTGCCAGGCCAAGACTCAAATCTTACATACTTGTTGTGTCAGTGGCACATCTTTTTGACCAAATAGTACTCCGAGAATCAAACTGGTCCTTAGTAATGACAACTGCTGAGTACTTATGCTCTTATCCAACAATTTTACACAGTTGATATATCATCAGGAATCATCTCCCTGAAGAAAAGTGGTTTTCTCAGTGTACTTTCAATGTGTGGACTCTGTTTAAATAACCCCATGAGGTCCTGGCAGCTAATTTCTGCTGCAAGGTGTGTCATGCAGGTGACAACATCAATATTACTTGAATGTCTGTCCATCATTTCAGCAAACCTCTTCACCCATAGAGTTCCATTGAATTGATCATCATGAATAACATTAAATCCTGGTGCTGTACCCCGAAGCACAAGAAAGTCGGCTTCACTTGGGACAGTAGTATCATTTCCAGTTCCACTTCCTGGCTTGACTCCCAACATGATTTTGCCCCTCTGCCCGCATGGTATCAAAAAGACTTTTGGTTTACCTGACAGAGTCGGGCATTGCGATGCATTGAACAAATCTTTCAGATCTTGGAAAGGAAGTGGTGCTGCTTTTGCATCAAGGACACACTGGCGATAATTTATTACCTTGGTTTCAGTGAGGATGACACACACAAACGCATCAAACTGACTATGATCCATCTGTGCAACACTGTCCAACAGTGTTTTCATATCTTTTCAAGAAATATTTGTATAGAGTCGAGTATCAAAATCGAGCTTCTGAAATGTTCTGCGGAGCTTGGCAGCATCCTTTTCACAATAGCGGTGAAATTGAGCATGTGGATTTGATTTTGGATTGCAAATGATGATAGCGATGCCCTTAGGGGTAGAATGAAATTGATATCCTGAAATCATAAAAAGAGCATTATAGATCTCCCAGTGTGCCATGAATTACATAAGGTGGATAAAACGGTTACATTGATTTAACACCGATGAAAGATATTCTCAATTGTAGATCTTCAAAGCATAAGACCTCATTAACTGTGTTTTTAAAAAAAACATTTGGATGGTATAACATTGCATCATGATTGATATTTACCATCAGTGAGATACAAAAGGGTAACAATTCGAGTAGAGCAGACGGTTAATGTATATATGCTAACTTTATCTCTCACACAATGATCAAAATCAGTTGTCCAAATCTAACCAAACATTTTTCATTTATTAGAATACTTTAACTCCATGGCCAAATTGTCAAAACGATCATAGTGCTACCAGTTTAAGTAAGAGTTACGATCATCCTAGCGCTACCTATGTTAGAGTTAATGTTACGATAATCTTGGCACTAAGATGGCTTTATGGAAGTGGATCCTGGACTATTATTACATATAAATCAAAATATATAGATGCTGCTATGAACCATATCCAAACTGAAAGAACATGACAAGAGATTCAAGAAAAGTCCTTCATTTAAAAAAGCAAAAGCTTTTACATCTTGGTTTTCCAGCCTGTAACTGGGTAGAGGTAATTGGAATTGTATTTTGAGGACAGGTTGTCATGTCATCTGAATGATACCTAGTCTCGATATTACATTGTAAGAATATGGAAAAGATCCGCATTTCAGGCTAAACTTTCGTCAGGGCTTTTGGGCACAACAGTGGTTAAACCATTGGACTGCCACTCTGAAGACAAGGGTCCGATGCCCAATTTGGTTATAATGTGTCAATCCCATTCTTGCTGTCCGCAAACATGACATAACTCGAATATTGCTGAAATATTGAAAAATGTAAATGAATATAGTATTGTCATTGTGAGACTTTATGCAGGTTTGGAGAGATTTGAATGTGAAAATTGATTATTTGAAATATGTTCATACCCGTTTGTGATAATGTTCCTGATGCAAACGAGACACTTGTTTCAAACAGAGATTCCAGATCAGACAGACGTCCTACATCACTCCTAGCGATACCTTCAGACTCTTTGTCTGTCGAGCAGCTGTCATTATCTTCTTCCAGGGATGAACAGTTGCATCTGAGGTCAAGTTTGTTTTGGTGCTGAAGTTGTTTGTATATTTGCGGATAACTTGTTTTGATTGCTTCAGCAACGTGATTCAAGTTGGTTATTTTAGAAAACAGGTATGACCACTTTGTGGTATTGGATGTTTGTGTGTTTCTCAGTTCTTGGTAATCGTCGGCAGATATTACTCCGTCTTTTAAAAGATATTGAGCAAGGTGCTTGACTTGGACATTTTCCCTCATATTGCAAACAGCACACACATGGGTCCTTGTTGGTACGGTTTTCAGATGTTGTGCTGTTTCACTTAACTTCTTTGCAACGTCTGGATAATCTTCCCCAATTGCTGGTATAAAGTTGTTCTGAAATAAACATAAACTGAGAACTTGGGACACATAAAAAACATTCTTCTCAACAGACTTAAGGCCGAACGGCATTGGTTTAATTCCTAATGAATTAAGATCAGTGAAAAGAGTGAGTGAGTGAGTATGGTTTTTACATCGCTTTTGGCAATATGCCAGCAATATCACGGCGGAGGACACCAGAAATGGGCTTCTCCGAATCGAACGCGGCTCTTTGGCGTGACGAGCGAACGCTGTAACCTCTAGGCTACCCGACCGCCCCAGACATTCATTCCTACTGTATTGTACATTGTATGCTACCACATATCTATTTTAACAGGTGGTCTCTCAGACGAAGAGTCATTCAACACCTACCTACCATCAAAGTTGAACAAGAAAGTCGACCTCTCATGAGATCCAGGAAGGCATCCTTTCGTCGCCGGGATGTGGGATTCATGGCAATTATGCTTTCACGTTCGTCGTCTGTGAGAAGATGATCTTGTATCAGACTGTCCAGAATGCATGTGCCTTCGATGCTTACATCGTTGAGATCCCCATTACACACTTGGAATAACTTTATGTGGATGTGGTCTGCATCATCGACATCAGTGCCTGCATGATCAATACCATGACTTGTCAGGACAATTTGTCAAAATGAAAGCAAATGCCATCTGAAGTTTACTGCGAAAACAATAACATATGTGACATACTGGACTTCCTCAGTGATACCATCTCAGTAAAAAATGGGGTAAGACATTTAATCAAGAAGCAGGCATCCATATATGCACCAATTGCGCTCAAATTGGCAAAGTCCAGACAAAGAAGTTTATCTTAAGCTTCAGATATATCGATGATCTGATATATTTCAATAACCATCA